TGTGTCAATCTATCTCGGTCTTCATCCATTTGAGATGGACCACCTACACTCTCATTGCTGGTAACTCTCTTTTCTTTTCTCTATCTTTTCTTCGGATTTCTATCTTTCTTTTAACCATTGCCTTCTCTACACACTGATTACTCTTGTTGACATAACATGCAAGTATCAAGCATGTGAAATTCAGGATGACTTTTTTTTCCCTTCCCTTTCGTTTCGTTTCGTTTCGTTTCGTTTTCTTCGTTTTCTTTCGCTTTATTTCTTCCTGTTGGTACTTTAGAAGGCATGGATGTGGTTATCATTACTATGAACATAATGTATATAAGGGTTTTATCCAAGATAGGGTTTAACAATGCATTGCTTGCATAGCAACAACTGAACTTACATAGTACCGTAATGGACACGAACTTTTGATAATTAAATTTAAATAGCATATGGGATATCTAGAAGAAACAACTTTTTTAACCCAGGCCGAGCCAATAGTACTACCACGCCAGCGCGATAGCTTCCTTGAGCACAAGAGAAGTCCTAGTCAATGAGCTAAGCACCCCCCTTCTCTGCAGCAGACTCATCCTTCCCCTTCTTCGCCCGTTCCGCAGCGAGAATCTCCTGTCTAGCGCGCTCCTGCTCCTCAAGTCCGGTCTTCGCAAGCGTATGCGACTTGCTCAGCGTCACGGGCCGAATGAAGAAACTAACAATCAGCGCGAGGCCGATAACAGCCGTGTAGAAGATCCACAGACGACTGAGCACGTAGGTGAACGTTTCGAGGACAGCGCGGCGCTGTTCCGGTTCAAGAGATGCAATGAGAGGCTTGGAGGAACCCGAGAAGGAATTCGCGAGTTTCTGCGCGGTCTCAGAGCCTACTTTCCCGGAGAGCGAAGAGGTTTGTTTTCCCAGAATGTTCTGGTAGACGACTGTACCCAGGACGACGGCCATGGAGGCGGAAGCTTGGCGGATGAAATTGAAAGTTGCGGTTGCGGTTGCGACATCTGCGGAGTGGATGTTGGCCTGTAGGCCGACGAGGGGGGATTGGAAGATTGGTCCTACACCGATACCCGCGATTATTTGGAAGATAATGATGCGCGGCCAGGAGGCGTAGGGTTGTAGGTTGATGAAGAGGCCGTAGCCGAGGGTCATGAAGATGAGGCCTGCGACGATAAGTTCGCGGTAACGGCCCGTAATTTTGATGATCGCGCCTGTGGCGATGGAGGTGAATGAGAGAGAGAGGCAGAGAGGGAGGACGTAGACGCCGGAGAGGATGGGGGTGGCTTGGAGGACTGTTTGGAAGTAGAGGGGGAGGTAGTAGTTTCCGGCGATGAAGGTGAAGGAGTGGCAGAAGTTAACGGTGAAGATACAGATGTTGTGCCAGTTATTGAAGAGGCGGAGGGGGATGATAGGGTATCTGGCGAGCTTCCATTCGTTCATCATGGCGACGACCCAGGTTACCACGCCGAAGACGATTAGGCAGATGACTGTGGGCGAGGCCCAGGGGTAGTCGATGCCGCCAAATTCGAGGCCGAAGAGAAACATGAGGGTTCCGCCGATGATGAGAAGTACACCTGCCCAATCGATGCTGCGGATGCCGGCCATGAACGGCGTCTTGGGGGATTCGATCTTGAGGAAGAAGAAAAGCGCCACCAATGACACGCCGCCAACCGGCAGGTTCAGCCAGAAACACCATCTCCAGGTCACGCTGGTGGTAAAGGCACCTCCGATAATGGGTCCGAGGGCACCTGCAATAGCCCAAATGGCACCAAAGATACCGTAGTACATAGGGCGTTGTCTGACACTGAACAAATCCGACACGGAAATGTTGGCCAAGACAACGATTCCACCACCACCAATACCCTGAATCGCACGTCCAGCCAACATCATAGGCAGGTTAATAGCCAGGGCGCAGATCAAACTAGCGATCAGGAAGACGAAATTGGCCAGCAGAATGACGTGCCTTCTGCCCCAGATGTCGCTGACTTTACCCCATAAGGGGATACACGACGCATTGGCGAGGAGGTATGACGATGCCATCCATGAGTAGCCACTTTCACTGGCGCCGAAATACGCGGCCATAACGGGGAGTGCGGTGGAAACAATGGTCTAAACCGTTATTAGCATGTCCCTTGGAACAGACATGCGTAGGGTAGGGAACGTACCATATCCAAAGCCGCCAAAAACAGAGCCAACTAAATCCACGTCCCGTCAGTCATCAATTCGGCTACTCTTCAAAAACGAGAACATACACAAAGCGCCGTCATAATAACCGCAATCTGCTTAGTCCCCAGCTGATTCGTCTGCGACTGTGTCCGATCCAGCGGAGCACCATCGCCATTAGCATTCTCATCGCCATTAACCGGCGTGTCTGGAGGCGATTCTCCCGCCTGCCCTTGTAGCTTTTCCTGCTCTCTCCGTTGAATCGGGGTCGTGGACATATCGGTTGGGGTGGAAGGTGCGGTGGTCTGTCGGGACGAGGATAGCTCGGTATGTGACTGGGCGAAGACCGGTTTGGTCAAGTCGGACAGGGTGTGGTTGCTCTCTCTTGAGGGTGGGCGTCCCGACATCATGGATTGATATCCTTCCTGAGGAAATATGTTAAAGGTGTGGAAAGAATGAAAAGGGGCGAATCTTGTATTCTTCCGTTTGGTCGGAGTTTTAATTCTGGCTATCGCCGAGAAAGACGTTTTCAGTGGAGAAGTCCGGCTTGCTCACGGCGTCTTCCGATGTATGCAATATATATAAAAATAAACAAAGGGTAATGAGAGAATGAAGTTGAAGAGTTTTCTTTACAAGAACACTTTAAATGTATTCCGGAGGCAGGGACTAATTATATCTTGGCCTGCACTATGCACTACCAATAACGCGTGATCGCCAGGAGAAGCGCCGAGTGGGATGTCATCTTGCTGGACTTGTTTCAACCTGATTGCGCATGGCTGACAGTAGACGATCTGTTTCGTCGGATTTAGGTGTGTTGACGCTGGCTTTTGCGCTTGAGCGTTTGATACGTGTGTTAACAATGCAGTTGTTGCAGACATATACATACGGGTACGCGGACATTGCTACAGAGAAATGCCGTGATCAATTTCTATGGATGAGTAGGGGTATAAAACTATCGGAATAAAGAAACACTTCCATGCTCAACCAACTTTAGTCTTGTAGTTGTATGATTTCTAGATATTCCGTCAGTCGGTTCAGGAATCGGTCAATGCAAACAGCGCTCACCTGTCAAAAACTCTTCGAAGCTGACCGTTACATAACCGTCTCGATCATCGTCATACCGCTTGAACACATCCGTCATTCGACGCAAGCTAATGCACGCCTGGACGAACAGATCAAAGCTCATACCCAGCTTAGCCGGTCCCATCATCGCGGATGAATTCCTCTGGCGACCCTTGCTCTCGAATGTTGTAAACAGCACCGTCACAAATGGTTGACTCAACCGATACCCAAATGCGACCAGCGACTTCTCAAACTCCTGCAAACTAATGCGCCCGCTACGATCTTCGTCGAACCGGTCGAACAGCTCCCGCCATGCCGCTAAATACCGCCACAATGACACAAATTCGTCGAACGAGATGGTCCCGCTACCATTCCGGTCGAACATGCGGATCATCATCTTCACAGTCTTCGGATGAAATGAGGTGTAGTCGCCATTGACCAGAGCAGAGCCCAGCTCCATCTCCGTCAGTGCGCCCGAGTGGGAGACATTGGCAGCCCGGAACAAGGGAAACAGCTGCTGCGGGTCATTGCTGGCGACAGACAAGGGAGGAGGCTGTGGTGATTGTGGTGGACGCGACGCCGGTGGGGGTCGATTCCGAACCGGATGCGCTGGTGGTGGTCCGAAGCCGTAGTTCTGCGGCGGGGGAGAGGGATGGAGGGTATGCGAGGGGCGGTATTGGCTCGGAGGTGCGCTTACTGGCGGGCGCCCGTTGTGTGCTGGATGTAGGGAATGTGACGATGCTGACGAAACCGGAACTCGCGGGGGAATACTGCTAGAAGAGGAGTGTGGTACTACTGGGCGAGCGGCTTTTGGCTGAGCTGGATGCGATGGTCCTGTTTGCATAGCACCAATCATCTGGGCGACCTGTAATTTCGGTTCAAGTCCAGCGATCAGTCGCGGGGTTCTTGCTATACAAACTCCGGGTAAGCGTGGGATGAGGGACGTACCTGTTCCGGTTCTGCGTGTCTGTAAATCCCCCAATCCCACAGTCAGCAATTACCCATATTCTCCGTTGATCCAATATCCACTTACGCCGGCAGCGCATCGGGGTTATAAGATTTGTTGTATGCCATGACACCGGCACAAGAACGTTTTAAGTTTGACGTAACGGTGCGGCGACAAGGCGACGGAGCTTAACTGAGTCTCTGATAGAGGAGAATACAAAGAAGTAACCAGGTAGAACAGGGCGAGACTAAAATACTCGAGCCAGGAGCAAATAAAACAGAAACAAGGTTGTAAGGAGTCCGTTCAGGAGAGAGAGAGAAGAAAGAGCGTTTGTTCGTTCGTCGGAGCGGAGCCGTGGGGCAAGTAGCTGCTGCCAAGAGAAGATATTGGTTTTTTATTTAGCTGTGTGAAGTGGCTGAGAGGAATGACATGGTGTATGGTGATGGTATATTATAGAAAAGAAACAGAAAGACGGGTATCACATAGTGAGACCGAGTGACTTGTACGGCCCACGGGTTCATAGGCGGAGCGGAGGCTCTTTACTCGGTATACTACCCCTGCGTTCAGAACAATTACACTCAACAGAAACCATACTACTATATACACACATTGGGTATCAATTGGGCTCTCCAACAATTTCCTCCACTTCTCCTGCTTGCTCAATCAAAACCTGTAATATCTCTTTCCACGCCTTCTCCTGGAACTGCCACCCCTCCGCCCCAGTCGTCAACGCATTCGATTCACTGCGATGCGTTAGCCTGCATTAGCCAGGGGAAATATAAGAAAGACAAACATACTCGAGATAACCATCACTGCGCCAACATCGCCCGTGCGATTCCACGCCCTGGTATGTCGCACTGACCAACGATCGACTGCCTTGTTCGCTCGTTCGTGCCAACAGCTTGAACTCGAGCCATGCTGCTGATCGCTCATGGATCCGGTTGTATTGCCGTCCTAAAGACGATGCACAGAAGCCCGGACTCACTGTGTTGATGATTACCGGGAGAGTTCCGTTCTCGTGTCGTACTCGATGGGCGGCCATCTTCAACATATATTCTAGAAGAAGCTTGGAGATGGCATATTGCATAGGCCCGGAGAAGTTGCTTCGGTTGTTCACGTGCTCTAGAAGACTGCCATCTGTCCGGAGATGTGTAGGACGAACCCGACAAAACAGCTGACTAGACACAACTGTCAGATGCGTCGCGTGCGATGTACTCGAGCTATCGCGGAGTTTGGGAAGTAGCAGAATTGCCAACAGCGCAGTAGACAACGTATTGACCTGCAAGGTCTCCTCCCATCCCTCGGGGGAGACTGTATAATCCCGATTCCACAGCCCAGCATTCAGCACGGCGACATCCAACTGGCTAAGCTCTGTGTCGACACGGTCCGCAAAACTCTTTATACTCTGCCAGCTGCTCATCTCGAGCTCCCAGATTCGAATGACGTCCGGTCTATTTGTGCGTTTCTCAAGTTCCGTCTTGACTGCATCGCCTCGTTGCACATTGCGACACCCTATGATCAAAGTTTCCACGCCTTGGCTGAGAAATTTAATGGCTGCTTCATATCCAAGACCGGAAGTGGCACCTGTCAAGAGGATTGTCTTTCCGGCAAAGGAAACATCTGTGGGATCCTTTGGCGGACTATACTGTGACCGCAGAAGACGGAACAAGCCTGTCATGATGGATATGATTGTGGAAAGTAAACCGAGCATACGTCTGGTTCAGGAACGTATCGACTCTGGAAGTTTATGTCAAATATCAATTGCCCTGTATGTTCCTGTTTGTATATTTCCGTGAAGACCAATCGCCTATGATGCAAAGCTTAGATAAATCATATCCGTATTGGATCTAATATAGTTAACTTCGCCGCCTCATCTGTATTCCCTAATGAGATAGTAGTACTCACTAGACAAATGAACAGTAGACATATATGACCAAGAAGAAACAAGAATTGCGCAAGACGAACAGCGCTGACGATGTACGATGACACGGGAACAAACAATGCAAACAAGAAGCGTGCCTAAGGATCTCGGCTGTCAATCATCTCGATCACCTCTTTTTGTCAGATAGCTGACTCGACATTAGTCAACCCAACTAAGGAGGTCATTATCTGGCCTCACTTGAGATATTTTAACATGGCAGCTGAAACAGAGGAAAGGCATACGACAACAGAAGGCCGGACATGGCGAAATTACTTTCCGAATGGGGATCTCTGGGTGTTTGGCTACGGGTAAGTGTATACATAAGAGCAGAATATCCCGAGCTCGGATACTACATGAATAAAGCATACTGAGAATTACACAGGAGTTTGATCTGGAAGCCACCACCGCACTATGGTATGGAGTAGTCTCTCAACATGAGATGACATGCATGGCCTTTGAAGGGAAGACCGGATTGCTGATGCTAGAGCAGACCAGAGAGTGCCGGGGTATATCAGCGGTTACGTGCGGCGCTTCTGGCAGGTTGGTTTATTCCTGGTTGTAGGCTATTAGGCGGTTTATGCTGATTGTGCTTCATCATTACTAGGCTAGGTATGCGGTGCTCATGGATATCTGTTTTTCCATTGATCAATGCTGAGATGGCAACAGTACGGACCATCGCGGAACCACAGAAAACCCCGGACGCGTTGTAACTGTGATCGAACGGGAGTTCTGGGAGACATTAGACGATCCAGTATGTCGTTTTATATCTTGTAATCTAAGCTCAAGAAGGTGTTAATGAAACAGCTCGCACACCTCGAAGTCCCATCCTCATCATCCAAAGCCGCAGTCTGGGGCGCAGCATATCACATCCCAGCGTCCCACGCTGAAGAGGTCCACGACTATCTCGACGACCGTGAGATAGACGGCTACACGGTTCACTACACGCCGTTCTATCCGACACCTACTTCCGCTACATCGGCTGATACCCCGACTACCCCCATCACCTGTATGGTGTACATCGGTCTGCCCACTAACCCGCAGTTCCTCCGTGAGCCGGCCGATCGGGAGCCGCAGAGTGTCGCAGACGTGATTAGCACAAGTTGCGGAAAGAGTGGGAGGAATGCTGAGTATTTGTATCTACTTGAGAAGGCGCTGGATGGACTGGGACTGGGGAGTGCAGACGTGCATGTTACGGATTTGGTAGGCCATGTGAGGGCCATTGAGAAGGAGGCGGCAAAGGTTGATGAGGAAGAGGCAGAGAAGGATCTAGCGAGGTCGCTTTCTATTTCTAATGCTGAAGCACATGAAGATCTCCCTAGGACAGAGTGATTTTATATATACGAAGCAGAATCTACGCTGAATGAGAGCACGACAATTCATAGCATTATATCATCTCAATGAGAAATACAACCGAGATCTCCCGTCATTAATAACAAATTGTGATCCATATCCATCGAATTATTTCGCGTTCCTTTTTTAAGCGCCCAGCAGCAAGACCGTGTTCGCACCATTTTCGATATTCTACTTAGCAGCAGCAACAAGTTACCGCTTAGTATCCACCACCGTAACCAGAGTTGTAACCACCGCCTGGAAATTGTCAGTCATTGCTCAATAAAAGCCGCACAAAAGACGAAAACAGTAGGGGGGAAAACAAAAATAAAAATATTCAAACGTACCGTAACCTCCTCCAGAGTACTGAGAGTCTTCACCTCCACGGCTGTTGTAACCGCCGCGACCTTGGAAGCCTCCGTTGCTGCGGGGGGGCTTGTCGGCCGCCTTGTCGACGCGAATGGTACGGCCGTCGAACCTATGCAATGTTAATATCTTCCAGGTCTCCCTGTTCGCTCAATAAAAAGGATTATAACGTACTCCTGGTTGTTCAAGGCGTTCATGGCGGCATCGGCATCTTCCTCGGCAGCGAAACGGACGAAACCGAATCCACGGCTGCGGAAAGAGTCACGGTCCTTGACAACAATCTGCAGAGAGTTAGTAAAGGCAAGCAATGAACACGAGGAGTAAATTGAGAGCACTGACAGCTTCATCAACGGCACCGAATTGCTCGAAACCTGCGCGGAGGGATTCGTCAGTGGTGTGCCAGGAGAGGCCGCTATTTAGTGTCAGTTTGAAAATTTCAGAGATAGTCGAGACTGGATAATGCAGACCCGACAAAAAGTTTGGCCATTTTTGTTGTGTAGAGAAAAGAAGTGATTAATTATTGAAGAGAGAGAGAGAGAGAGAGTTGGTTGAGAGTGGATGGAAAAAGGTGAAAAGCGGGTGGTGAGAGAAAGAAAGAAAAGAGAGGGGAGGAAAAAAAAAAGGAAAAGAAATGATACGAAAGACCAGGATGTCCCAATTGGGCAGAAATGTGTGACAGTCAGATTTTGGTGGTTTGTCTTCCAATTATCTGTTTTAATAGTATAGCAATCAAAGCTCACTTGTATTTATCTAGTATTGCCCATATTAATTGGGTATTGTTCTCTTTCACATAATAATAATCATCGTTACCCCTCCATGCCCCAGCTATAATCCCTCTTATGAGTGACTTTTAGCTGTATTTGTGGGCGATTTTAGAGAAAAAAGTCTTCGGTGAATGCTTGACTATCTGTTGAATTATACTACTAAATACAATAAGACATCGCCGTGACCTGCCACTATTGAGGATGCCTGCCGTTGATACTAGTATAGGTAGCTGCCTCCTAGCGCGCCTCCCCAAATGGCTCGACAGCTATCCACCAACAAGCACACTCGTTCAATCTTCTTTTGAATTCTATATCATTTCTCTCAGCAAACTCGCGAGAACCGCGGCCCAATGGACCAGGACAGCTCTTATTTCATCCGAAAATGGTTGCAAGATGCCGAGGGAGGTCGCTGGACTCGCATCGCCAATGGACCAGGTACTCCCTCTACTATCACTGCATCTATCATCGTTACCTGTAATGTCTAGCGTACTAACCAGACAAACAGACAACATGCTCTTCTCCCCACGCAGCCCATTTGCGCGCCTGAGTGAAGCCTCCGGGGCGCAGATATTCGATCGTTCTTTCCAAACACCGCAATCGTCTCCCGAGCCTTCACATCTCAGAGCCCTGTGAATGAAGCCGTGAACTCGAGAAAAGGAGCACGTAGATACGAGCGCAGACCTCAGCGCAAAATCAGAAACGATCGCAATGAGTACAAGGGACATGACCGTCGCGCAAATCCAGAGTGTCCAAAGAAAAAGAAGACAGCCAAACAGAGTCGGAAACAAACTCTGAGTCATGATTTTCATGCGCCAAACATGTCTCAGACACGGCTGGCTGTATGTGCAGATTGTCAACCTTTTGAGGTTGTTGCTAACTCTGTGTTAGCTCGCTTCTCGTCCGAACATGGGGATATTCGGCAAATGACGAACGTTCTCCCTATCAAATCTCGCGAGTGTAGACTTCTTGCTTCTGGGTTTATTGGTCCATCTCACAAAAGTCTAGTACCCGACCTTACGTTCTCGGAGATGAACTTCTTGTCGAGAAGATCACGGTTGAATCTGAATGAATTGCCAGCAGAAGAACAAGACAAAATAAACAAAGCTACGCGAAGGGAACGCGACTCAGAAACGCAGGTCCCTCAATACTTCTCCAACCACTATTATGACGAAGTTCCTTCCACGGTGTATGCAGACGCAGATCAATCCGCACCCTTGCTACAGCTCTCCGTCAAGGCTATCGCACAGCGCTACACCATACACTTGGTCTGAGTGATTGTAGGGAAAACGCCTCGTCTTGAAATTGTACAAAAAGCATCCTGTGTACCGACTTGAATCAACACGTTCATGATGAAGAGAAAGCAAGCAGAAGATACTGGGATCTCGACGAGCTGAAGCTAATTTTGAAGATATGCCAGCAAACACGTAATGAATCTAGAGCAAACAAAGAGCTGAAGACCTGCGATTACTTGAAAGGAGACATCAGCCAGACGAGGCAGACGACGCACCCAGAAACCCTAAGAAACCAAAGCTTTCCAACGCTGTCGCCTCTATTCAAAAGAGGCTCTCTTCTCTAGTGTCATATAACATGAGCGTAATATCCCACGGCACGTACAGCGAGGACTAGGCACATATACTCCAGAACTGTAGAAAAGCCACGATCAAGACCACCATGAACTTGAACTTATTCCAAAGCAAGCGTGCTCCTCGGATCATCGTCTAATTAGTCAAACCTACAACCCAGCCATCGCCCGTACCAGAATCCAGTCAAACAGGAACATCGACGGCGCAGGCCCTAACGAGATAGACCTGGACGCTGAATTCAACAGCATAGTTCACACCTGCTCAAGAGACACGGCATGCAACAGGGACGAGGGCATGATTACGAAGGACTTGGACGCGGTATACGACTCAATAGCCTTGGACGACAAAGATCCAGCACATGGGAGACTTCCACAAGCACCAATCAACCAGACTACCTCTTTCCCACCCCAGACTGTTCGACGTCACTGCACTATAATGGTTGGAACGCGTCTTTGCCTCCTGGAATCACCAACCACAGTTTAGGCAACGGTTTATGGGCCGCTCACCGACTGCATACATCACAATCCAAGACGAAAGCGTGCGGGCCACGAGTAATTCTATATATGACGCATGGAACGGGTCTTCACAGCCCATAACGTCTGCAGTTGGCATGGGGGCTATTGCATTTGGGCCTTCGACTGAGTTTTGTTGGCGACAGAACACATTGCATTGATCTGGTCTGCAGCTGTACATTTCTGATTAGGGCAGCGCGGCTTGGTGCAATTCGAGTTGGAGGTAATCGTTTATGTGTGATACTTTGACAGCGAAATTGGTCTTATATAGTTTCCTTTCCAACTTAGAGACTATCCATTCGCGGAGAATCTCTGCAAGTACAGTAAAAAATGGCCAGGGACACTCAAAGTAACGCCTGCACGCCAATGGGAGTGAATGTGAGCTAATGGCCCATTACGAGGTAGATCAAAGAGGAGAGACGGAGTTCCAGCGCCGCACTAGGTATTAGTGGTTCTGGTATGTTGCATGCGTCCCCGCGGAAAGCAATCAAAGTTAAGAAGAGCGAAACGACAGCTGAACGCAAGATACCAGCACATGGAGGCCGACCACGAAGAGATGTAAAAACGGAGAAGACGACAACAAAAGTGATTCCAAGTGAGGGTTCGCGAAATTATACGGTGTTGAGTACTGTTGTGCATTTGGAGGTCTGGCGTTCACATCAACACAGTGTACGCAGGCACCAAGGCCTTTCCCGAAGGTTTGATGCTAAGAAGACAGTGTCTGTGAGAGAATCAGGTTACACTAGGCGCAGAAAGCCAGATGCTGATGGAAGGCGAGCATTGGACGAATGACATTGCTGACTTATCTTCTTATAATTATTGTTAGTATCAACATGTGGCACTGGAGGGTGGCTTGAATGGACGAATGATCATGGGCTATTTCATGTATGATAGCAAGAGAAAGACCAAGTACACTGTTCCAAGCCTTCTAACATTTTCGTATCCCGATCACATCTCAAACCACGCAACAAGCCACCGTATCCGCAGCTTGCGTAGCTGATACGAAGCCACGTCTTATGTGCATACTGTAGGGCAGGCTATACCCCAAAATCCCACAGGTAAAAAAAAGTCTGACTCAGGACCTGCATGCATCGGTCGAACAGCACGTGAAAGCTTTAGATCAGCCTGTCCGTCCAGAGTGCGACTCGAGTCTCGCCGATTATAGAGTATGAGCCGAGTCTTCTGTACCGAGTTACTATGAACTTCAGCAGTAATGAGTAATAAACAGTGATCGCCTCACGATGTACATCAAAAAGCCATATTTAGCAGGGTTATAACTGCACATAACCTATTTAGGAAGGTAACAGGAGGCTCCGACCTTGTAATGTAATCGTCAGTAATATTATCCAAAGAAAAACAGATTATGCAGAAGGCTGCGAATTCTCATTTCTGTAGTACTGTATCCTACTCTGCACACCATGCATGCCCCTTTTCTCTGCATGCTCCTGCAGAGACACTTCAATTAACGCACAGGACTGTTCAGCCGGCACATGACCATTGACTGGGGCACGTCGGCTATCTATGGTCCCCAATTTGCAGTTTATGGCAGGGATTGGTGCCCGGCTGGGCGGTTGGTGGCCTTTGTGAGTATACAACAGGTGTCGAGTGTTCCAGCCTTGTTCGGCGTTTATGGGGGAGTCGTGTCGATCATCCATGTACCGAACGTTCGGTGCATGGCACACTCTGTACTATACTTGCGGAGTACTCCGGACGAAGGATTGGACTATCGTGTCCTTATGTCCTTAGTCATAGGGAGGGGATTGTAGTTCGTAATGTCGGAAATTAGCGGATCGACAGATGTCAAGCGGAGAATGTGTTTGTTCGGTGATATCGGAAGCCTTGGCTTAGTTGTTATTCTGTCTAACCTACGGAGTACTTATAGACGAGCACGACATCCTAAACCCACGCTGATCAGGCTGTGTTTGCAGAAATTACGGCTATGACCGGATATCTTAGCGAACTAAGCTGAAGAGTCAACACGAACACGCAGACAACAACTTGGTCTCTGCACGTAATGACTGCGCTCGACATGAACGATCGTTTCAGACCTGCAGCATGGATTCCCCGTGCCCTGCAGATCTTGGGCCAGAACGCTACGGGATTCGTGGTGATCGGGCGGTCAGGAGCAGATGATGCTCGCGACCCTAGTCAACCGCGTGGCAGTCCGTGTTCCTGACCCTGGAGAGACTTACGATGATGAAAATAGTAGCGACATACTGGACTTGAGGTCACTTACCCCATGCGCTGGCCAGTACACGGTGCGTTGTATGCCTGGACAGTATGCCTTGTGGTAATCATGCCTGTCAGATGTGGTATTGAAACCAGTACGGCGGCCTTCCTCTGGTGGTCTCGGTCGTTCCTCCCATATAAAGGGCGCATCTGGCTGGGCAAAGGCAATGACGCCTCGCTGCCAAAATACTTTCAGTTTAGTCTTATGTCTTGTGTGCAGTCCCGGCCTGGATATCCCCTTCTGTGTTGCTAAACTCATGTAAAGTTCAACCTCGTCCTTTGACGTTCCTGTTTTGCTGACTTTTCCAGATCGGTTGAGTAGAAGACCCTTCGAGGGCTGCCCAAAATGAAGACAGCCGGAGATAGTACGAATCGTTTGACGGTGTCCAACTTGGAACAACACGGCGAATTCCTGCAACGGGTATGCTAATTCAATCCTTCCCGGAACATGGCAGTCTAACATCTATTAGCAGGAGTCCAACACCAAAACAGTCCCATGGGCCGAAAAAGTCATCAAGGACGAGCAAATCCACCAATTCTACTCGCAATCCCACCAAAGAACTCTCGAGCGCCGGCATCCGCAAGACGCCATCCGTGACATCCACCTCGCCGCCACTAGTATCTCGAGAACAGATCCATCAATTGGAAGCCTCAAGCTCTTCGAACCACAGCAAGGGATGTGCCTTGAAGAGCCGTTGGAACGCTTCTTGACGCCGGACGGGTGTGGTGGTCCGGATGCTCGAGCTGCATTGAGAGAGATGGGGTACTCGTTTGGGAGTATGGATGGAAGGGAAGAAAGGAAACAAATAGCCCAGCAGAGGGCTGAGACGGTGGTCAAGATGAAGGCCAGGGAGCGGGCGGTAGACAGTCGACGAAGTTGATGAAGGGTAGGGTCACATAATATCATGGCACAATATGACATGCGTGTTCGGGAGATACAGGCGTTTACTAGATGCTTTCATGCTTCGTGGTCATGTTCTGATGCAAAATGTTCAATTGGGTATATAGACAGCTTGTCTCAAGTAGCGTTTTTCACCTGCTGTTGCAAATCGATATTCCCCTGCCAATTTCATTTTCTTCTGCACTTGACTTGGTGACACTTATTGAACACCGACTGTTGAACCGGCTTCAGAACGCTCCCTGTCCCAATAAGACAATTCAGCTGTGGTTCAATCCCCAGCTTCAGAATGATCAAGACGCGCCCAAACGCCATTAACGTTGAAGTCCAAACATGGTGTGAAGTATTTAACTGGGTATAGTGAATGATATGGACAGAATTGCGGAAAAGGTAGATACTCGGATGGCGAATTATGGCACGACTTGCGCATAAATAGGCGTACTCGAACCGAATAACTTAAAGTGCAGCCATGGCTCCAGTTCCCTTAAAGGAAGCTTGGTTGTTCACGACGACTTCGACGGGGTACTTCCATTGCATGAATCTGGTCCAGCCTGCAGCGAGCAACCGGTTAGTACCCTTGCGATTATGATGACCACAAGAGACAGAAGACATACTCCAGTAAGCACATTTCCTCCCCAAGTACTTCCCCACAAACGGCACAAGAACCATCGACAAGAGCAACTCCAGCTGTTCAATGCTCTCTCTCCACTCCTCCTCCGCATCCGAGTAATCATCTGAAAGCGCATCCAGATCCGAGCTCGAAGTCGATTCCGAAGGCAGAGAGGCAACTTCGTCGTCCGAGCCGTACGAATACCTATCAACCGACGGCACCATGTAGCCAGATGCCCCGAGAGGCGATGGGTTGGGGGCGGCGGGTTCGGCGGCCATGATGGAGTGATTGACGGAAAGCACGAACGAGGGGGCGGGGTACGACGGAGATATAAAACCGTGAAAGTTAAGCAGTGGCCTGCCTACCGCTTGGTTGAAGATCGAAGCATGCGCTGAGGGCTGAGAGACCCGGACTGATACCGACGACGCTAGTGATAAATACTGTATATCGACTACTCTGTTGATAGTATGGTCGACTTGATGTAATCCAGGAGGGTCACGTGCCGTATGGTAATCGGGTGACGATACGCTTGACTCAGAGGTCACGTGCACGAGAGCGAGTGACTGGGTCGCCTTTGAGACGCCAAAAACGGTTCGATTCACACAGTTCAGAGAGATTTCGCTGTGAGGGAAGTATAACACTGAGCTACTATTCTGAACTTCAACTGTGAGTGACTTTGTACCACACCACAATAACTTATCATAAATACACCATGGCGGAGGCTGTACGTATTTACCGATGGTCCCTCCCACATTTTCTTAACGCGAGCCTTCACAATTCAGACCCCTCGGGCACTACTACCACGTTGCCACGCATTCTCCATTTCTTCTTGACTGCCTTGGTCTTGCGCTTATAGCAGACTATCTTTTTCGCTTTCTTTTTCTAACTTGGTAACCTCCGATCTAACAAGCCGAACAGAAGCAACGCAAGTCGGTCGCTTTCAGCGAAGGTTCAGTCATTATGGATACGAACGGCGAAGTCACAGAAGCCCCCCAGGCTGTTGAGAAGCCTGTCGAGGAGAAGCCCACCGGTACGTTATCCCACACTGAATCACTTGGGCGGAGCATGAGTTCTAATGACTATCGGACTATATACAGGCGCGGACGAGCAAGTCGACGAAGTCACCGAGATGTTCAAGGGCCTGTCCAAGAAGAAGAAGACGACAAAGAAGCCCAAGGATGAAGGCGAGGGCGACGAAGCCGCAGCTACCCCCGACGGCGAGTTCGACCCTACCGCGCTGAAGAAAAAGAAGAAGAGGACTACCAAGAAGGCCGACACAGGCGATTTCGAAGCCAAGCTGGCCGAGGCCGATGTCGCGGAGCAAGGTGCGGACGAGAAGGACGAGATCCCCGAGGGCGACCTTGAAGCTGGCACCGGTATCTGGGCCCACGAATCGACGCAAGCCATCCCGTACTCGCTCCTCGTCAACCGTTTCTTTTCCCTCATCCAGAGCCACCACCCCGACATGCTCTCCAGCGGTACCAAGTCGTACAAGATCCCGCCGCCTCAGTGTCTGCGTGAAGGTAACCGTCGTACCATTTTCGCCAACATTGCCGATATCTGCAAGCGTATGAAGCGTTCGGACGACCACGTTATGCAGTTCTTGTTCGCCGAATTGGGTACCAGCGGAAGTGTCGACGGTGCCAGACGTTTGGTTATCAAGGGTCGTTTCCAGCAGAAGCAGATTGAGCACGTCCTCAGAAGATATATCGGTATGCAATCCTTTCTCCCGTTTTCTTTTTCTTCTTACTAAGTGATACAGTCGAATACGTTACCTGCAAAACCTGCCGCAGCCCCGATACCGAACTCAACAAGGGTGAGAACCGTCTGTACTTCGTCACCTGCAACTCGTGCGGTTCTCGTCGTTCGGTCGCCGCCATCAAGACTGGTTTCCGTGGACAGGTCGGCCGCAGAAAGCGCCAGGGTTAAACAGTTGGTCCGGTGGTTATCTTGCTGGATGGTGGTTGTCATTCCCATATTCTCATTTGGTTGTTACTTTTCTTTTTATTTCCCTGTCGTATAAAGATTTCTCTTGCTTCTTTTTTATCTGTTATTATGATGACGAGGGAAACTTCATGGTTTAGATGATGATAGTTTGATGGTCTGAAAAGCAAATAGCCAAAAATTTAAACGATTTGAAGACTTAAACATGGGTTCGTTGTCTTACATTTCCCAATCCGGCTCTTGACGGGGTATCCAAATACCCAAAACTAACATAGACATAAACCAAGAGGATCCTATTACTGTACTATTTCACAACGTCGAGAAAACACCAAAAAATCGAATCAAAAGAGGTATCAAAAGAGCTAAACACAGAAAAGAAAAGAAACAGGAGGGTATATGTATCCTGGTAATCCAGCCAGGGAAAATGAGATAAAAGATGCACTTCAGCGATTGGCCTTCTTCAAGTGGGCCGCAACGTCCTGGATCTTGCGAGTCTGGTAGAAAACCGTGCCTGGTCCCATGAACCTGCAAGCAAGGCCCTCACGAGAACTAATCCCGGAAATAATACCCCCGGAAGCTACACGCTCGATCTTGTACTGGCAATTCCAGGCTACCAGGTAACCATTGTCGATTGTAAATGTTTCGCCATCCGCGATCTGTATATCATTAGCATATCAGTCCACATGGCTTCGCATAGACCGGGAAGGGCACAACAACGTACTTCTTTCTCAATGACTCCCCCGAGACCCTGTACAAAGAGGGGTCCCCAACCACGGAAGGTATAAACGAAGAAACCTTCACCAGAGAACACAGCTTGAAGAAGATTTTGCGTTTGGTAGTCACTATCGACTGCGTGTGTCGCAGCTAGGAAAGCGTCTCTTCCAACCTTCCATTCGCTTGTAAAAGGTGGATCACGACCTTTCACAGGATTGGGCTCGACAGTATTAACGCGAATAACTCCAATACTACCAAGGGAGGATGGTGCAAGCATCACTTCTCCGTTTCCAGTGATCTTTGATTTGCCGAATCCGCTTCTCGTGAGAAGCTTCATCCATGAAAAGGAGAGCTGGCCTCTCAAGTTCATACTGGGATCCATAGCTACCATTGCCCCTGTCGTTCAAATTAGTTAACATTAGATGCGATAAAGGGCACTGGCTTAGAACCAAAGCATAGAGGCATACCTGGTTTCGCAATCAATGGGACATCTCCGCCCAGTTTCACGGTCAAGAGTGAACCGCTGTCATTGTTGGTGGCGAGGTAAGAGCCACCATTATAGACTCCAGTGATGTCTTTAGGAGTGTACCCTTCCTCGAGCTTTTTGGTAATTGCCTGGGATTGTTTCAATCCCTCGACATACGGTTTCAGTTGCTCTTCAACCAGTTTCCTCATTCTCTCCTCTTGTTGTTTCTCGTCCGTCGAGTCGTCCCTGCGAGAGTCCTGTGATTGTGGCTGCGTCGTTGCATAGTCGTCGACTTTGGCGGGTGCTTGCTGCTGGAAAACATTGTTTTTCTCATCCCAGGATTGGTCAGTTGATGTTACAGCGGTAGGCTGTCCGTGTTGAGAGTATGCATGCTGTTGGGGTGGCTGTTGATAGCCGTAGACGGAAGGGGAGTTTGAAGGAGGCGGCTGGAGGGGGTAATTCTCTGCAATAGAACATGAGACTCTGTTCATCGTTCAAGGTTGTGCCACTATCCGGCTTCTATCAAGGGACATACTCAGCTCAAAGGCAGCTGGAGATATACATATTAGTTATGGTGATAGCGATCCCATTGGAGGAATGAACGTACCAGTATGAGCCTGGTTCGCATACGGTTGGTAAGCCACTTGCTGAGCCATAGTGATCGGAGGCTCGTCGCAGATGAATAATAATAGTGAGCTTCTGTCCGATCAAGACAGTAAATATTGCTGTTACGGCTTCGCGTCAGGATCGGGTGTCGTCTCTTCTGGAGAGAGAACGGCAGAAGCGACCAATTTTAAATGCATCCTGAGAATCCGAGACTTGAGGAGACACGAAGGATCGACTGTGACGAAAGTTGATGAGGTGCATTGATTCGACGCTTGGTGCTCTCCTCGGCGCTTAGAGGCCCTTCTTCAGCGCATGTGTGGAGATGCTCATTGGCTGCCCTCGATGTGCTCACAAAAATACCCTGTTCGTCACAGCAAGTCGCAAAATAATAGAAATCTTACTCTGGGCGCGTTCTTATATTTTGCCGGAAGAAGATTGAGTAGATATCGAGGTCTGGATCCGGTGGTGTTCCTTCGGTGGTGGTGGTTGTCACGGTTGCTATATTTGTACTCGGAGACATCCTGCGGGGTTGGACTTTGTACAAAAAATTACCCCGGACCAAGTAGGCAAAACTGATGGCTATACGGGGGAAGAAAAAAAAATCGCGTATATACTAGTTTCAGCCCCCGGGCTGGCATTATACGCAAATATCTCATCATTATTGCTCACGACTGTCTGCATGAGTCTTCTCTTGTGAAGATTGCTGCTCTTTGTAGTAGTGTTCTTCCAGAATAGCCTTTGTTTCTTTAACCAGAGATTCATCGCACCCGTTGAGTATCCCGAAGACTGTTCTGTTCTCATTGTCCCCCAAGTAAATGTCGGCTCTTCTTTCAAGCAAGACACGCAGCGCATCTGGTGACGGTTCACACGCTGCCGTCATCAAGGGCGTCCTTCCATTACGACTCTTCACATCGATATCCGCTCCGTGATCGAGTAGAAATTCAACCATGCGAGGACTATCTCTCTGAGCAGCACATGTGAGTGGTGTCATGCCCAATGCAAATGTCTTAATCGAAGCGCCCTTTTCCAAGAGAAACGAAGCGGATTTGCAATCATCTCTTCCGCATGCCAGATGAAAGGCTGTGTTGCCATCTCTATCTGTGCTCTCGATATCGGCCCCATATTCCAAAAGCACTGCCATGACTTCTGGGCTTCGAGCCATCAGAAAGACCGGTTCGTAGTCGACCCGCTTGTGGCAGACATTCAATTTACTACCGTGTGCGAGAATCATTGCTGTTGCGTCTTTGTCATCAAGAGAGACAACATTCATCAGTGCCGTCCTGACGCCTGGATTCTCAGCATCGTTGATATCGAGACCGTGGCGGCATAGGGTTTCGATTGCTGAATCGGATCCGCTCCGGGCCGCATACTCAAATGCAGTGGCGCTTATCGCGCACTTTAACTTGCAGACTTCAGCCCATTGCACCATAAGCCAATGGCGAAGGGAAGTTAGTCCGTTCAGGTTGACCAATCTTAAACACTGGAGATCTTGCTCCTTTGAGAGGTCATATTTAGAGAAATGGGACGGACGGGCCTCGGGGAAAATGGTTAGCCATGAGAATAACGCCGACATGATTTGTTCCAAGTCTCTTTCGGACATGTCTTTGTCGCTCGTATAGTTGAAGTAGGCATTAGCCCCTAATTTCTCCAGGGCTGCTCTCTTTGACAAATCCCGTCTATTGAAAAGATGCCATGCGACCCATCCAACCTGCATAGAAAACTGTTTCCACCACTGACGTTCTTTTCGGGAATCCATCCAGCCCGCTTTACGAAATCTGTCCAAAGGTTGGTTCAGCTTTTTGAAGTAGTCAGATCGACTATCAGCCTGGAGAATCTGATAGCTCTCATAGTATCCGTGTTTCTCGGCGTCAGGATCTTTATGAACTATTGCCCGATGGCAGAGCCGGCCTAACTCGAAAGCCGAACGCTCGAATTCTGATCCCTCGCATCGCTTACAGAGCCAACGGACAATTGAGAATGCATCTGACCATTGTCCTCTAGTAACCAATCCGTCAATCTGTTGAAGCACGGTAGGAGTGTCTGCTGCCAGATCCGGTAAAAGATGTCGTCGTCTAAGAACAGGTACAATGCACAACAGGGCGTCTTCTCTCGATCCAAGATATCCAGACCGAAAACATTGTACCAGTTCATCGAGATGATGACTAGAAGCAAGGTGTCCATGTGGTCCGGAAAGTACTTGTGCCTGATCTGAGAGGTGTCGACCCTCGAGAATATTGTTGAGGAAATGGATGTAAATGTCTTGAGCGGCCATTTCCTCGAGTCCATTCTTGGTCTTGACGACAAGTATATCCATATCTTCCGGATGTGAGTCCGAGTAAAAACCAAATAGTTGCCGGGAAGAAGATATCACGCTGGATGAAACCATTTCCGCCCGTGTTTCGCAAAAGATCCATTTGTGAAAATAGAGGTCGGTCTCTTCAGCTCTGGCCTCCTCCTCATGAAGCCCAACCAACCGGCCAAGCTCTGGCTGGAGCCAGCTTTCGTTGGATTTTAACAATGACCACGTCCATAAGCCTAATATCGCCTCAAGTTCGCCGACGTCAACTGTCCATTTTAACTTATTTTCGGACCGCTCGATCTTCAGTGTAATCTGCTCAAGGGAAGTGACAGTAGTCCCTTCATTTTGAGACAGGCACTCAAATGGGAGCGTAAAGTAATAAACGCCACTGGCCATGGTTGTCCACCTGGACAACAGGTCCATCGTTGTCTCGATTGTCTTGGCCAACCTATAGGTCGCAATCCGAATGGGAAGGTCGTGCCACGCTTGGATTCCAGATTTCTCTGCGTTGGATGTGAGCTCTGCTAGGCGAACTCTTGTCTGAATCAATCGGATACCGGGCCCAGCTGATGTGTCCGGTTCTGCCGCCGTTGCTGTCACAGAAGATAGACTGGATGGGGCTCGAGAGACATCGTCCGCGAAGTTTGCGCGCAAGTTGAATGATTCGACTCCTTCCAGATGAAACGCAAAACAGTCCAGTTCTTGTTTTTTATGTGAACTAAGTCGGCATTCTTCTTGAGTAAGTCGACTATCATCTGATCCAATCCTCTTTGTCCGAAGCCAGGTTCGCACAAGTGCCATCAGAAGAGTAGACCCCATTTGCGCCAGTGAAACCGCAGCATTTAGCCCTCTTAGACCAACAAACTGAATGACCCATCCCAAGACAGTAAGAAGTACCGTGAAAACCAGCCATATGTGGTCGACTTTATGCCCTTCATGCCTTGTCGATTTGACGTATTGAATGTCAGTGCTTGCTTGCGAACGAGGTCCTTCATTGACATCTAAAAAGGCACTGAAAACTTGTTCGCCAATGTGCTGCCCTCCTGGCTGTAGCCAATAGATTTTACTGGGCTTATTAGGGCGCAAATAAAACTCCTTCGTGGACCGTTCGATAATGAAAGCGCAGAGGAACATTCCTGTGCAGAGTAGTACAGATCCAAGGAAGAACAGCGGGAAGGCGTATGCTGCGACCGGCTTCCCATCTTTTTGAAAGCTGGTCGGATATAAAAAAACGGTGAGCGCAGACAAGAAAAGTACGCCTGTAGTACCTCGTCAGCTAAACTTAGAAAAAAGGATGGGCGTTGAGGATTAGTACATACCTATTTGCAGCACGCAACCCAATCCAGCAGCCAAGTAGAACCAGCCCGGGCGTCTTCTTTTGATTCCAGTATTGAGCGAAAGGTTAGGAACATCAAGTGTTGGTGGATAGTCTTGCTCGTCAAGGTGTCCCCTTTCATACCCTTCCCGATACCAAGCGCCCTCCCTCAAGGCGTCGCGAAGGGTCCCAATATGGAGCGAGCGCTCCCCCTTCTTTGTGCTCTGGTCCTCCCATACGACGAGTTCCAATACTTGGGGCTTTCCAAAAACCCGCGAGATACCTCCATTATTAAATACCTCTGCAGTTGTCTCGGATACGCAAGAGAGAAGCTCACGCTCCGCCTCTCCAGGACCTTCCTGGCCTCGACCAACAAATGCTCGGAGTGATGAATTGCCGCAGACACGAATGACAGAGACCACGGCGGTTAGGATCCCCAAGGGAGCCAGAGCGAAAATGAAATTATCCAGTACGCTGATAGACTCCGAGAGATATTGTTTGGTGAGTCGCTCTCCGAACAGAGCGAGAATGGGCGCCTATAAGCATTGGTGTTAATTTTCTAGGAGGGCAGCAAAAAAAAAAAAAAAAAAAAAAAAAAAAAAAAAAAAAAAAAAAAAAAAAGATAGAGAATTGAGCTCACTAGATCTGTAGCAAGATCATTTGTAAAGTCATCCCAGTCATCATCCGCCTGAGTCCCCGGCAAGAGTGTAAATACTATAAGGATAAGCCATAAAGAATATGTCTGATAAAACCATGGCATCATTGAGGAGAAGGTATATAGTCACAAACCCTAGTAAGTGTAGTATGGATAGCCCAGGACGTCGGCGTATCCCCCTCATATAAGATCATATCTCAAACTACATATATCCAGCCCTGCCTTCATATTGGTCATAAGGAAGAATCCTTGAGGCGAGATTGTTCGTTTTCCAGACGGCCAACCATAACAACGATGACGATGATGCTGTTGGCTTTTGGCATTGTGGCGTTGCTTCATGCATGTTTGTTGGATGTAGTTGGAGAGTTAGCCGCTTGCACGACGCCTAGCCGCCAACCAAAATAGGTAACACAGCCTCAAGACGACTGGAGAAGTAAAAATTAAATGTGTACGTTAACGCCTTGTGTGACGCCTTATTATTATTTGTTTCCCTGTTTTGTTTTCCTAATACGACCTCAGAATTCCTGTCCTAGTATATAAGCCATGAGTCCTCGCGATAGACTCCAGTCTCCCTAATAATAAGAGAGAAAGAAAAAAGACAAAGACCAGCCACTAACACCAACCCAGCGAGCAAAACAGCAAGAAACAAAACAGGTTCTGTCCATAGTGTGGGTGCCTTGTATAAAATGTACCTGGTTACATCGGACTTTGTGTTTCCGGACTTAGAATATGCTGTTCACGATGTTGGATCCCATCGTAGCGCCAGCACCGAAGATCGCTAAGAAAGAAAAGCAGAGGGTTAGCACGGTGTAACTACAGAGCGGCATTGGGATAATCGCGCAATAACATACCGGCATTGCCCATCTTTTTACCAAACTTCTTGCCACCCTGCTCGAACTTGTTGCCCTTACCCTCGCCCTCGGGGCCGGGGGGTGCGGAACCGCTCTGGCTCACTTCCAGGGGCATGTTTCCATAGTTGGTAGGAGGGGGAGCACCCTTCTCTTGAACCACGTTCACCCAGGCGCGAGGGAAGATACCCTCCGAATTGGTTCGCTCGTTACGCCCATACCACCCTAAACATGATCGTCAGACAGGTACAAATGAAGGGGGTATCCAACAGCCATACATTGATCATTTTCGTATTTGAGGACTTGAATTTTGTCATATGGTTGTAATTCCAAGTCGCCGTGGTCTTTCACTTCAAAGGCATACAAGGCTGTAGCGGTGCACAGGACCCCCGGAGCGCCATACGCAGGCGGCGGGCCAGGCGGAGGGGGATGTTGCTGCACTGGTGCCTTTTCGTTCAATGAAGCATTGGAAAACTGGTTTGTCGGAGGCGAATACGGTGCTGGAGGGGGCACAATAGGCTGCTGAACCGGCGGCGGAGGAGGAGCGGTCTGCTGCACTGGTAGTGGAACCGGAGCCGGCTGGGGTGGTTGCGGTTGCGATAGCTGCCGCGACTGTTCCCCGGCGAGCAGGCCCAGAATCGACGACAATTGCTGAGGTGTGATTTCCGACAGCTCCGCTAGAAACTTGAGTTCCTGACCCAGAGAAAGAGACCAAGTCAGCACGGTTGATCCCGTTTATGGTTAGCATGCGGGGAGGGCAAACCGACAGTCTCGACAGTACGGCGCGACCGGTTGGCCATGGCCGCCGTGAAGTTATCGCCCGACATGGCTATGGGAAGACGGACGCAAATGAACGACTTTTGTTGGATTTAGCAATTGACAGCAATTCAAGCGAAACAAAAGAGAGGGCAAAAGACGATGGAAGAGAGGATATTGAGAAAAGGAGGAGGGTGAAGTGAAGCTGAATGGATGACAAGAGCGAGCCCGAAATAGGTTGATTCCTCAGGCAAACACCTGATAACACAGCCAAGATGAATAGCTTCAACACAAGCTGGTCATCTAAGACGCTCCAAAAATGTGTCTGTTCAAATGAGACATCGTATGAGAACAAGTTAATTTAATGAAATAGGGGCTGATGCCTCAGGTATACATCCAATGAGCATACATTCAATGAGCAGAGTAACTCGCCAGTCGCTCATCAACCTAGCAATTAACATTGGTTAACTTATGTCTTGATGATAGTGTTAAGATTCTATAATCATGATTTCGGAGCTAAATATGCTAGATGTAGCAAAATACAGACTAGACTAATATTGGCAAGAACCAAAATTTAGAACGCCCTATGAAATACAAATATAAAATCAATTCCTGTTGTTTCCATTCTCAACAATTGCCTTCTCCAAATCTTCTAATACACCATGAACAAATCCCCTTCAGACTCTCCCGTACTGGCTCAAGCCAACGGCCATCCCGACCGTCCCGACATTCCTGCACCGGGCACCCCAGAGCGTATTATGGAAAAGATAGGGTTCTTCAAACATCCATACCTGTATGCCCTTTCTCTATGTTACCACATAGTTCAGCTTGCTGATCCCGCACCTTACAGGTTCGCGACTTGCTTAGTCGCATCTTTCTATCTACTTGAGTATATCTGCCGTCGATTCTGTGACGGGGAAACATGTCGTTCGCACCGCAAGGACATCATGTCTTGGACATCGATTCTTGCGACGGCTCTGTTGGTTCGAGCAAAGTACCGAGAATTTCGTATGTACATGACAATAGATTCTTGGAAAGAGGAGCGAGAAGGGAGGATAAAAAAAGAGAAAGAAGCAATTCCTGCTAGTATCTCTTAATTCAGCCGCTACTGCATTTCAAGGCGCTCATTCTGCTGTAAGCGCGTGGTAATGCATGCTTTACCTGTGCTATGATGTATATTGATCTAAGTACGTGATGTGCACATATCAGCAGCACAGATAGAATGACGCACCCATTGAAACTGGCGAGTAAGAAGTATGGCTGGCATCACATCGTACCAACGTTAACTGACATTTTGGTTCAGATCAAGATCCTCTCCTTGAACAGGCAATACGTGTTCCTTCCGGCTGTTATAGTGCATTCTTCTTACACTAGCCGAGTGCCAAACTTCTAGGCTGCAGTAATGGTCGATGGCTCATTATCCACTCCCTGGAGCCGAACTGATTGCATTATCCCCGCTCAAAACAGTCTAAGAATTTCCCGATCTCGGTTTGCCCGGTTCCGAAAGCGACTCTAATGTCTATTCGATGCGGACATGATCTGAGCCAGGTCCGAACAGGAGCTTCTGTGCCAACCATGAGAAATAGACCGGGTTGTTGTGAGATAAAGCAACAATAAGTACAGTGTAACCGGTATCCTATAAATACGGACTCCAGTGCCGGTATGAACTTCTAGGGCTCCATGAGCTATCCAACGCCATCACTACCATATACAATCCAGTATTGGCATGAGTGAAGGCTTCTGGAGTTAGGGCACGGGCTATGATGTCACCGCATCCACTGAGAATATGCGAAGGCTTCTCAGTCCGGAGAAAGTCGAGATGCAGTATATATGGTGATGAAGATAGGCCAAAATGGCCTTTATACGCCTACTTGTAGACGGATGATCCGGCTCGACATGGTCGGAAAATATCGGTCTTCTGCATTCGTACAGATAAAATGATGTCGGAAAGCATTGCTCCAAATTAAACGGTTTGCGGAAAGATTGTAGACCGGAGTACCCCGGAGATATTGATTCCGTGTAAATGAAGCGTATTGAACTATCTTGAAGTCGTGTCTTGTGGGATGTGAGCATACCATACATAGTGGTCGTTATTGGAGTTCGGTGGCGCGGTTGGGTGTCCAAGCGACATGTCATCCTGCAAGATATGCTGGCTGCAGAATATCCTTGGAATCTAGAATAGATAATTTAAAGGTATCAAATAAGCATATCGGGCTCTAAAGAGGGAAAAGACCGCGATGATGAAATGGCTCCAACGATGATGTTTTGCCCCATCGGTAGACCGCACTAAACCCAAAGAGGAATAGTACATGACTCCCCTCCTGCTCCGCCATCCAGGGCTCGAGAAGCTTCTGTGTCATCCATATAAATTCGTCCGAGTCGCGAGACGTCCTTCCTTCCTACAAACTTCAACGCCCCCACCTGCTTTCACTCCCTCAACAGCGCAACGACACTCGAATTTCCACTGTCTTAAACCCCTCTCAACGCGACTTATTCGCATTTCTTCACCATGAGCGATTGGGACAACGTTACTCGCATCGGCCAGAAGCACACTGGTGGTGGCGCGCCCCGTGAAACCACTGTCCGGGGTAAGAGCGCTCTGAATGCCGCTCAGCGCCAGGGTCTTGTTGTTGGTACTGAGAAGAAGTACGCTACTGGTAATGCTGTATGTTGACTCCGCACGCTCCTTTTTTGCCTTCCATTTTACCAGGTTACTGACTTGATTCCCCAGTCTGCCAAGTCAGGCGGTAGCGAAGGCCAGCACTTGACAAAGGTTGACCGCAGCGATGACATCGTCAAGCCTAAGACCATCGGCAACCAAGTCGCAGACGCCATCAAGAAGCGCCGCAATGAGGAACCCTACAAGATGACACAGAAGGAACTCGCGACCAAGTGCAACACCACCGCCACTGTTATCCAGGACTTTGAGAAGGGCACCGCCACTCCCGACCAGAAAGTTCTGAGCGCAATGGAGCGCGTGCTCAACGTTAAGCTGCGGGGCTCGGACATCGGGAAAGAAAAGTTCACCAAAAAGAAGTAAATGGTGACCGGGGGTGAGCCCGCGGCTTTTCTTAAGGGAGGTTGATGTTAATGTCAAAAAATAATGAAAATACCACGTCTGTTTTCTTTTTCGGCCGGATGTCTCGAGCCTTAGCTGTTGTGTTTTATCATTCCCCGTTTCTGCTGGTCGGAAGGGCCATTTCTTGGCATTAGTTAGGAAGCAATGTACATTCTTCATTCACATTTGAATTTGATATACTTCAGAAGACTAAACATTCAAGAATTTTCTGGACTTTATCTAGTCTATGTACTCCGTACTCCGTAGAGCGTAGCAATCGGCTTGTGTATAAAGCAAGAGACAAAAAGTCTCAGCCATTCACATAAGTTTTGGTTCATTAGACACAAAATCACAAGAATATAGGTACCAACTCCGATTTATCGTGGAATAAAGAAAAAAGGAAATGAGAAAAATGAGAAACCATGCCCCCCTCCTGAATACTCTCCAAGTCACCTAATCCCGTCGTGCCCCGTTCTTTTTTTTTTGCAAGAATCGAAAGGAAAGAGGAAAAGGAAGTCTTCACCTCGTGACACATACACACGAATGCATGATTTAGAAACCGAGAATCAAATTGCCCCCACACATGCTGCGTCGCTTCATTTACCGCTTCAACTGCTCGCGCTCGACCTCGTACAGGAAATCAAAGTAGGGCTTGTCAAAGTGGTGCACACGGACGTAACCGTCCTCACCACCGGAGGCGTATGCTGTACCCTTGGGGTGGACACCGACGGTGTTGAGGGGACCGAAGTGACCACGGACACGACCGATTTCGTCCTCGAAGACCTTGTGGTAGAAACGAGCCTCGAATTTACCCTGGCGAGCAGAGGTGGTGGTGACATCCATGGCGGCCTGACCACCTCCCAGGATCACGTATTCCTTTTTGGGTGTGATGGTGGCGCTGTTGAGGGGGGTGTCGGAAACGTAGGTCTTGAGGATAGCGAGGTTACGGGTGGACATGAGCTATATGATATCAGTGGACCATCCCAGACCAGAAATTCAACGAAGAATATGAACGCACCTTGGCGGTCTTGTCTTTCGATGCGGTAATGAAGTAGGTACGGTCGGCGGAGAACTGGATGTCGTTGATCTGGTGGTCGAACTCGTGGGCCTGGATGTTCTCAATCTGATCACCGGTCTATTACAACTGTATTAGCATTGTACCGACCAAGATTTTATCACCATATAGCGTACCTTCGAGTCGTACTGGCTGACACTGCCGTCCTCGTGACCAGCAATGATGAACTTGCCCAAATAACTCCATCCTGCAACTGTTGCCTTGGCGTCTTCGCAGGTGATTCTCAAGTCCGGTTCCTCAGCCTGCGCCTCGAGGTTCCCACCCTGACCGTCACCGTAGGCAATGTCGAGCACCGCAATGGTACCCAGGAAACCCATACGCTTCTCCGTCACGGCCAACAATCTGCTACCATCCGGCGAGAACTCGACCCGCTTCACGGCGGTGGGGAAATCCCAGACCTTCACGCATTCGCCCGACTTCACGTTCCATAGTCGTACGGTGTTATCTGCTGATCCGGTAGCGAGGAGAACGGTGTTGGGGCTGACGTCGACTGTCCAGATGGCACCCTGGTGGCCGTTGTAGGTTCCCAGACGTTCGCCGTTGGCGGACCACCAAGCGCACACAATTTTATCCTTTGCGACCGAGAAGAGGAGATCGCCATCGCGGTTGAATTTGATTTGGTTCAGGGACCGTTCCTATAAACACAGAAGATAGGGAACGCGCAAGTCAGTCTTGTTGACTATTTTCTCATAGTGGGAAAGAAAAAATATGATGTGGGATCTTCAAAGAACTTGGCGGGAGCATATAGACATACATGGCCCGACAGCAAGATAGGCCTCATTTTGGGCCGACGGGGAAAGGTAACTGGTAGAAAAGAAGGTCTAAAAAGAAGGCAAAGAGGTCGAAGTAACGAGGTATATTGGCCTGACAAAGGTCAGTCTGGCTTTGCGGCGGAGTTGCTGGCGGGGAGGGATATCGGCGTCTCGACAGTCATCCAAGCTGAATTTCCATCGCACACTTTGGTTCGGTATGGATACGCGGTGATACCGGCGATAGATAATCCGGTATTATACACGTGACTACAGATAGCAGCCCTAGCCCTAGGATACTGTCCTAACAAAGTAAGGTGCCAAGCCCAATCCGATGCCGGCCCGTTCCCGTGGAATCTGACGAGTGACAGAGAAAGGATTGTACATGAGGTTATCATGCAAAAACAGAAGGAGCTTAACTGATGCGAAGCAGGATGATATAGAGATCCCTAGCTATACTGCTGTATCCGCTCAAGTCAATTGAAGATATCTCTCATCAATACAGAGTACGGGGTATAACTACAGAGTACAGAGTACATATCAATGCGAACCCAGGATCATCGCTCTTCCCCGTGATCATTATCAGTGCCTAACATGCGATTATTCGGCCGAACACGCTGCTGATGCCATTGCTCCCCGCCCATTTAGCCGCGCTACCCCGCCGCGGTGTGCCATCAAAGTCTTTTTCGCTCCGGCCCTATCACCGGCCTCCCGATGGTCACCGTCAGCCTCTTTCCCGCCTCTTTCCCTATCTCTCTTATTTCTTCCCCTCTCTTCCGTCTTCCTCCTCTTCTTCCTCCTCATTATCCCCTCCTTGTCAATATTTCCATCAGTCCTTCATTGCAGGCGGTGTTAGGGACCGCGGTTATCGTGCCCCGCTGCTTTTTAGTACTGATCCACTGCGTCGGGAAGATTTTGACTCTATCCGAAACCGCTACTATACGCACAGAGGTGCCATGACAGCCACCAAGATCGATGGCACGGCCATTGCCAAGAGTATCCGGGATGGCCTGAAGGTTGAGATTGAACAGATCCAGCAAGCAAACCCCAGGTTCCAGCCTAGTCTGGTTATCTTTCAGGGTGAGTTTACAGTTCTTACGTGCTTATCAACATTGGTCAAAACCACTAACAGCATGCTTCTCTTATAGTTGGCGGTCGATCCGATTCGAGTGAGTCAATGCCGAACTATCGAACTAATCGTATGCTTGCGAAACTGATCAACGTCCCGCTCAGGCACCTATGTGCGCATGAAGTTGAAGGCTGCTGAGGCAGCAAACATCACGTGCAAGATTGTCAACTTCCCCGAATCCATCTCCCAGTCCGAACTGCTCCAAGAAATTACCAAGGCCAACAACGACACCACCGTCCACGGTATCCTCGTCCAATTGCCGATCCCCGCACACCTGTCCGAACATGCAGTCACGTCTGCAGTGGCCGACGAGAAGGATGTCGATGGTTTCGGTGCGGTCAATATCGGCGAGTTGGCGAAGAAGGGCGGTGCCCCTCACTTTGTGCCATGCACACCCCAGGCGGTCATGGAGCTCTTGAAGGTTAGCGGAGTGAGCCCCGCAGGCAAGGAAGCCGTGGTCCTTGGTCGTAGCGATATCGTCGGCAGCCCTGTTAGCTACCTGCTGAGGAATGCTGATGCTACCGTCACCCTCTGCCACTCCAAGACCCCGGACATGCCCCGACTCGTGAAGAACGCAGACATTGTGGTTGCAGCTATCGGCCAGACTGAATTTGTTAAGGGTGAATGGTTGAAGCCGGGTGCCGTGGTGATCGACGTTGGTATCAATTACAAGCCAGACGCGACCAAGAAGTCCGGCGAGCGACTTGTGGGTGATGTCGACTTTGAATCGGCTGCGCAGGTAGCTTCTCAGATTACTCCTGTCCCCGGTGGGGTAGGTCCGATGACCGTCGCCATGTTGATGAAGAACGTGGTCAACGCCGCCAAAGTATACTTCCAGAACCAGAAGAACCGACGCCTGACTCCATTGCCGGTTAAGTTGGTCGAGCCTGTTCCCTCTGATATCGACATTTCCCGCGCTCAGTACCCGAAGCAGATCACCGACCTTGCTGCCGAAATTGGCATCGCTCCTCATGAGTTGGAGCCCTATGGTCATACCAAGGCCAAGGTCAGCCTGGATATCATAAATCGCCTGGCCCACCGCCGCAATGGGCGGTACATTCTTGTCTGTGGTATCACCCCTACACCACTTGGTGAGGGCAAATCGACGACCACGCTCGGTCTTACCCAGGCACTTGGTGCCCATCTTGACCGCATTAGCTTTGCCAATGTGCGGCAGCCCAGTCAAGGTCCTACGTTTGGTATCAAGGGCGGTGCTGCCGGTGGTGGATACAGTCAAGTCATCCCCATGGACGAGTTCAACCTGCACTTGACTGGTGATATCCATGCCATTACGGCTGCCAACAACTTACTTGCTGCTGCTATCGACACCCGTATGTTCCACGAAGCCACCCAGAAGGATGGCCCGCTCTACAAGCGATTGGTTCCTCCCAAGGGCAATAAGCGCGAGTTCAAGCCCGTCATGTTCAAACGACTACAGAAGTTGGGTATCACGAAGACCAACCCGGACGATCTCACCGAGGAAGAAGCACGCCGTTTTGCGCGCCTGGACATCGACCCAGAAACTATTACCTGGCGTCGCGTGCTGGATGTGAACGACCGGCACCTTCGTTCGATCACCGTCGGACAAGCGCCCTCGGAGAAGGGTCTGACCCGCGAGACTGGATTTGATATTTCTGTCGCCAGTGAATGTATGGCCATCCTGGCACTGAGCAACAGCCTCGAGGACATGCGGGAACGTCTGGGACGTATGGTCGTGGCCACCTCTCGGAGCGGCGACCCGGTGACTTGCGATGATATCGGTGCTGGTGGTGCCCTTGCTGCGCTCATGAAGGACGCAATCAAGCCCAACATGATGCAGAGTCTGGAGGGTACCCCGGTCATGGTTCACGCCGGTCCGTTCGCCAACATCAGTATTGGCGCCAGTTCGGTGCTTGCGGATAAGCTGGCCCTCAAGCTGGCTGGTACGGAGCCTGACGAGGACCACGAGACGCAGACCGGTTTCGTCGTGACTGAGGCTGGTTTCGACTTCACCATGGGTGGTGAGCGATTCTTCAACATCAAGTGTCGATCGTCTGGTCTGTCGCCTGACACTGTTGTGATTGTGGCGACTGTCCGGGCCTTGAAGGTTCACGGCGGTGGTCCCGCTATCAGCGCTGGCGCTGCCTTGCCTGAAGTCTACCGCACGGAGAACACAGAGATCCTCCGCAAGGGTTGTATCAACCTCAAGAAGCACATTGAGAACGCCAAACAGTACGGCGTGCCCGTCGTTGTGGCGATCAACCGGTTTTCGACGGACACGGAGGCTGAGATTGCTATTATCCGGGAAGAGGCTGTCGCCGCTGGTGCAGAGGACGCCGTTCCCGCCAACCACTGGGCCGAAGGTGGTGCGGGAGCAGTCGATCTGGCCAAGGCAGTGGTGCAGGCCAGCTCGAAACCTAAGGAATTTAAGCTTTTGTACGAGCTGGAGGGCACCGTGCAAGAGCGAATCGAGAAAATCGCACAGATCATGTACGGAGCGGAGAAGGTTGAGTTCAGCGAACTGGCACAAAAGAAGGTTGATACCTACATTCAACAAGGATATGGTAACCTTCCGATTTGCATTGCCAAGACGCAGTACTCGCTCAGTCACGATCCCGACCTGAAGGGTGCGCCGACCGGATTCACAGTGCCCATTCGGGACGTGCGGTTGGCAGTTGGCGCTGGATATCTGTAGGTTTTCTTTTTCCGTTTACTTTCCAAAACTACTGCTAATCCATGACAGCTACGCACTGGCGGCAGACATCCAGACGATTCCAGGATTGCCCACAGCACCAGGTTACCTCAACATCGACATCGACCCCGAGACCGGGGAGATTGGCGGTATGTTTTAGATGAATTGGGAGGGATGACCCCGTTGACGTAATAATATCTGTTGGTTTAATCTGTTAAGCGCTGAGGGATTCAATTTCAACATTCAAGTATATAGACATGAGCATGACGAGGACATGATTAGCATGTATTTTCAACAAAACGGTCCATTTCGGGCAATGAGATATAAAAATATTTTGTATTGCAACTGCAAGTGTATGCGATGCGATGCTGTATGTACAAATATGTAGTCTGCAGGAACCGGAGTAGAGTCGCATCTCCGGCCATGCCAGAGCAGGAGACTCGGTGAACCTCTTTTCCGCTCGTTGCCGCGGGAAACTAGTGGGGGCGGAGGAGGGTGCAGACTCCGGCTGGAGGGATGCTTGGATGTAGGTGATGGAAGCGAGGTACAATTGATTATTGAATTACATTGCTGTACAATGTCTGTCTGTAGTATAGCAGATTAGCAGATAACAATTAGTTACTTGATACAGTAGAATACTACTGCTATGTATTGGTGATCTATGTGGTATAGTATGAAGTCTCGTGACATCACCGACATCGGCCAACACAATATAGAAGAAAAAAAAAAAAAAACAGTAGTAGTGGTATGGAGTAGAAGCCAGAAAGAAAGGCACCGGTGACTTACAGAGTCATAGCTATCTTGAGCGCTTGTTCCCGGTCTGTCTGGTCCCTCTTATATGTACCATCGTTCATCCCGCTCTCTTTTTTTCCTTCTCCCACTTTCCTCTACCTCCAAACCACGGCTCCAGAGCTTCCTCAACTCCCGGAAGAGCTTAACGGATATATTTTTATAAAAGGTTCAGTGACTTTTCCCGGCCGGTTCCGTTCTGCTCCGTTGATTATTGCTTCATAACTCCAGCTAACTAATCAATGGCTGCTTGAATCCAGGCTTTGCGTTCTTCCGAGCTTCCACTGCGAGCGCAACCTCCATCTATCCGAACCCCAGACAGACTACGAGACTCTTACTCCATACATTTTCAAAGCTCGACCAATCTAGCCTCGGGTATTGCGAAATCCACTCCCATTGCTCCCTCTATCCTCCCATCCAATGTCCTCATCCGTTGTGTCCGTGACCTAACACTATTGCTCTTCTCCCGGCCGGCAGAACTGCATAGCCAGTAGGATCCGAACCGATTTCGACAACCGTTCAATCCCTCCCTCCCCCCATAGCATTAAATCATTGAACCGTGATGGCTGCTGCTCTTCGGGCCAGTTCCGCCTTTGCGCGACGCTCTCTCGCCGCCTCATCGACCCCTCTCCCCGCCGCCCCTCTCGGCTCTTTTATTGTTTCCTCTTCTTCCTCTTCCTCTTCCTCTTACCACTCTTCCTCTTCTAACACTACTTCTTCTTCTCCTGCTTCTCTCCGTGCCTACAGCTCTCGTGCTTCTGTGCTTTCTCGTTCCCTTGGAAGTTCCCCTCTGTCTACTACCTCCCGCTGGTCTGGAGTGATCCCTACGAACCTCAACCAAGCCCGCACGATGTCTTTCGACGGAAAGAAGATCAAGGTCCAGAACCCAGTCGTTGAACTGGATGGTGATGAGGTATGAAATTGTCTTTCTGGTGGTGCTGCGGCGGCATCATATATATACCTCCTGTGAACCCTGTTGCTTCCTCGGTCCCTCGGTCAAGGCGGATATCTGCATGTCGAAAAGTCAATTATTCCGAGGATGACATTCCTCATGACATATGAGACATGAGAATGAGTCACAGGCAAGCTTTGTATCGGGAGGATCGTCTGGAGGACTCTGGAGGACTATCAATAGCAATTGCCTGGAAACATGTGCTGACCGGTTTGTTCCGGTGATGTAGATGACCCGTATCATCTGGAAGGAGATCAGAGAGAAGGTATGTCTTGACCCCTGCTAACTCTTCGCAAAGGAGTACCGACTAACTTGATTGCAGTTGATCTTGCCGTAAGCTTCATGTGTCTTGAACATACTATCGGAATGTGATCAGATTGCTAAGAAAAGACCAGTTACCTCGACATTGACCTCAAGTACTACGACTTGGGTCTCGAATACCGTGACGAGACAAACGACCAGGTCACCATCGACTCGGCTGAGGCCATCAAGAAGTATGGCGTTGGTGTCAAGTGTGCCACCATCACTCCCGATGAGGCCCGCGTCGAGGAGTTCAAGCTGAAGAAGAGTAAGCCACACCCTGTACAGTTCGACTTGACGGCAATTGACCATTCCAGTGTGGCTTTCGCCCAACGGAACCATCCGTAACATCCTGTGAGTGTCCCTTGTTCTTCCGTCTAAGATCATTGTGCTGACAAGACAAGTGGCGGTACCGTCTTCCGTGAGCCCATCATCATCCCCACCATCCCCCGTCTCGTCCCTGGCTGGACCAAGCCCATCATCATCGGCCGTCACGCCTTCGGTGACCAGTACCGTGCCACCGACCGGGTCATCCCTGGCCCCGGTAAGCTCGAGCTAGTCTACACCCCCGAGGGTGGTCAGCCCGAGACCGTCAAGGTCTTTGACTACCCTGGCGGTGGTGTTGCCCAGACTCAGTACAACACCGATGACTCCATCCGTGGCTTCGCCCACTCCAGCTTCCAGGTCGCCCTCCTTAAGGGTCTGCCCCTTTACATGAGCACCAAGAACACTATCCTCAAGAAATACGATGGCCGCTTCAAGGACATCTTCCAGGAGGTCTTCGAGAAGGACTACCAGAAGGAGTTTGACGCCAAGGGCATCTGGTACGAGCACCGTCTCATCGATGACATGGTCGCTCAGATGATCAAGTCTGAGGGCGGCTTCGTCATGGCTCTTAAGAGTAGGATCCACCCCTATATTATTCCGTTTGCATCTATTCTAACTGTTTATAGACTACGACGGTGATGTCCAGTCCGACATTGTCGCTCAGGGCTTCGGCTCTCTCGGTCTGATGACTTCCACCCTCATCACCCCCACCGGTGAGGCCTTCGAGTCCGAGGCTGCCCACGGTACCGTCACTCGTCACTACCGTGAGCACCAGAAGGGCAATGAGACCTCGACCAACCCCATTGCCTCGATTTTCGCCTGGACCCGCGGTCTCGTGCAGCGCGGCAAGCTCGACAACAACCCTGAGCTCGTTACCTTCGCTGAGGAGTTGGAGCGTGCCTGTATCGACGTTGTCAACGACGAGGGTATCATGACCAAGGACTTGGCCCTCTCGTGCGGCCGCAAGAACCGTGAGGCGTGGGTTACCACCAAGGAGTACATGGCTGCTGTCGAGCGCCGTCTCCAGTCCAACCTCAAGTCCCGTTTGTAAGCGAATTATGACTTAGGAGTTATGTTTGGGTGAAATGAATTTGTTATTTGGCTGTACAGTTTTGGATGTGCCATGATTTTGTATATCATATAGAATAATGGATTTGTGATGACGTTATTGTAGAACTTTTCTGCGAAAGCCTAGGAACTTGCCCTTTCCGTTTTCGGTCCGACTTCTCGCCGCTTTTAGCTCCCTGAGTAGTCCGGAGCGACTCGGGAGCATACCCTGATTGCTCCAGCTAGGATTACTGCACCCTGACACGGGAGCCGGATAAAACGTGCATATCCAAGCCTGTAATCTTACCTCATCAAACCGATTCTTTAATTTAGTGATACTATAGAATAGCAACAAAGCCTACATTTTACAGCTGTGGCCCACCTTGCAAGTAATGAACACCGTCTATTACTGCACGATAGGGCTAAGACCGGTGTCAATTGTGCTACCCAGCCCCGTTTTCATGAAACGCTGTAATCTCACTATGAATGGACATACCTCTAAATGCCACCCCACACGGAGACCAATTGCAGTGTATCCAAGGATCCTACATCCCCATAAGTGGCATTTAGGACTCACGGAGCGCTCGCGCTCGCCAGCGGCATGTTATGTTTGACTACTTTGGCCTATACGGATATAGGGCAGGAGTCCCTTCGCATATACTAGAGAGCTCAGCGTTTGGCAGGCCCAGCTTCTTTCTTTGCCTTCTTCATGTAGATTCATATCGTTCGAGACCGTCACACCCAGTGGGCTGAATTCCTCTCCCGATCCTTTTTCATCATTCGATACCGGCCTGGATGTGAAAATACCCTGGTAGATGCCCTCAGTTGACCGACAACTGTAGGAAAGAAGAAGGATAAATACAATCACCAAATCCTTTTGAAACTGGATTCAGTTAAGTAGCAACTGGAGGCTGAGGGAACTGGATCAAATATTAGTGTTTTAGAACCTGCTTGCAGATAGTTAATTAGATGATCAAGGCAAACCAGGAATCTACTTCCGAGGAGTAGCATGAGAAATCACAAGAAGGGAAGGAAGACTGGGCTCTAAGATGGCCTGTTGCTAAAGGGAAACTAACCGTTTGTCCCTGATGACAACCCTGGGCTGTGCACATAACTTCTCAGCGAAGCGCATGGACAGGTATGCACTGCTCACTCAGGAAGACAAAAACTCAACAACTCATCCAAGCACAGTACTGCTGGCTGACCTGGAGGCGGGACATTGAGACATACATCCAAAATTGCTCGGAATGCCAGAGCCAAGAACCCTTGAGATCGCACCCAGGGTTTCTCCAACCCCTACCTATTGCAGAGCGTCCTTGGTAGCATATATCCATGGACTTCTAATCTTTTTCGGTTGATAAGGAAGGATGCGATGCTGCACTAGTGATAGTGGAATGATTCAGCAAGAGACTCATCAGCATCCCTTGCAATACTATTGCTACTTCGGAGGATTTTATACATGATTTTACTGAGCACATCTACTGACACTGAGGCCCCAATGACAATCATATCAGACTGTGGGCGCCAATTTGTGCCAGCATTGTGGAACAAGTTCTGCCAGATTCTCAGAGTGAAGCTGAAGCTCTCCGCAGTATACCATGCTCAGTCTAATGAACGGGCTGAGGTTGTGAATCAGCATATTGCTTACTGACTGAGATGCTTCATCAACTGCCATCAGGACAATCGGTCTGAGCTTACTACCATTGACTGATTTTGCTGCGGCTTCATCGCCTTTAGAATCCACTGATGCCTCTCCGTTCCTTGCTGTGATGGCTCAACACTGCGTCAACGGCTGGTACAGACGAACGACACCAAAATGCCGAACAAGCAATGAAGGCAAACGCGGGGGTGAGCCCTCTCGCACAATGTCTACGAAACCCGCTTTTTCCTGTAGATAGATCCCTCTTCTTCTTTTCTCTCCAGATAGATATCCTCGTCGATGGCTACACTACTTCAGATAGGGATATCAATTCGCTAATATCTACTGGTCTGAGCCCGTGAGATTTCGGACTCCGGACTGACCCACTTCAACGAGACTCAGGAATACTTGATAAGAAATGGCAAAGCTAATTGAATTGAAATCCCCTCTCTTTACCCCCCGCTAGGGAAACGTAGCTGGAAGGGAAAAGAAAGACACCAAGTTTTTTGCTAAGGAAAGATGACGGTCTGCACAGGAGCGCCAGTTGCTGTGTTTGGCCCCAGAGTCATCATCGCCTGTCGCGCCTTTGACTTCACCCCCTATTTCGAGGATGTGTTTTTGGTGTGCTCACCGGCTACATTATTTCTTTTACTTTTCCCCATTGAATTGTGGCTGCTACGAACGAGCACCGCCAAGTTCAGCGATCGCCGCTACTAGGTTGTAAGCTGGTGAGTTGAGTCGTACACGCAAATACCTTCAACCTGATTGACGAACCGTTGATGATTTTCACAGGGAGTTCTCGGTGCCCTTTTTGCGTGCCAATTTGCATTTGCCCTCATACAACAGTTGCGGTCACCCGCGGTACAAACCCATGCCTCGCTGCCAGCAGACGTGCTGGAGCTGTTCGCTATCGCCAGCGCCGCCGTCCTCTCGTATATCCACCATTGTCGGTGATTCGACCCTCAACGCTGCTCGTGCTCTTCTTGTCGACTCGATTGTTACTGGGGTTGGCTCGTGTTAGAACGCTATGGCTCATCCCCACAGCGACTAACGCGGCGACCCTCTTTACAATGGGCTTTGTATTCACATTGCTTTCGATAGTGATCGAATCTACAGGAAAAGAATCTAGTCTCGCGGCGGCTACAGCAAAGCTTGCGACGCCAGAGCCCTTCAGTGGCTTCTGGAAGCGCGCTAGTTTCGCATGGCTCGCTGGGACATTTCGCTAGGGTTACGCGAAAGTGTTGCCGGTCCACGACCTTCCAGAGCTGGACCCCCAGCTGAACAGTCAAGTTGTGGCGCAGAAGCTGCAGGATAGCTGGGGACAAGTCAGTAAGTAGAACCGTGTTTGATCAGACAATGGCGAGCTTCTGGCTGATTAGAACTGCTGGACTACTCAGAAGACAAGTCACCTAAATATGCGCTGCTCCGGTCCTGTCTGAGAGCGTATATCTCTCCTTTCCTCTTGGGTGTCCTGCCGCGTCTGTTCATATCGGGATTCACGTTCTGCCAGCCATTCCTCATTGATGCGGCCGTGTCGTGGGTTGAAAATCCGGACACATCGCTGGATTCTGGAAAGGCACTAATCGGAGCCATTGCTTTGGTCTATGTGGGACTGGCCGTGAGTTGATCTTGTATGCTTTTGTATTTTTGTTCTCATAGGGGACTAACTTTCTTGGATGGGTAGATATGCACAGCCCTTCACGGCTACTACACCTTTCGAGGAATCATCCGCCTTCGAAGGGGCTTGATATCGTTCATCCACCAGCAAACGGCGCACACCAGAGTAGTGGAGTTGGGGGAAATTACAGCATTCACCTTGATGGGCACCGACGTGGAACGTATCATGAAAGGGTTCCGGGATTTTCATGAGTTATGGGCGTGTCTGATCGATATCGGAATCGCAATTTACTTACTGGAGCGACAGGTAGGTGTGGCCTGCCTCGTCCCAACCGTGATTGCCGTTGGTATGCTTTGTCCAATCCACTTTATACAAGAGAAGTTGATGGTTGACTGAACTAGCTTTTATATCAGCTACATTTAAGCTATCTGCAGTTAGCAACAGTTCCAGCGGCGGTGGATTGAAAAGGTCGAGGAACGGCTACGCTTAACTTCTTATACGCTGGAGAATATCAAAGCTGTCAAGATGCTGGGGCTATCGGAGAAGGTCTTTTCTATCGTCCAGGGATTGCGGTATGCCGAGATTGCTACCTCTGCTGTGTTTCGCAAGCTGCTTGTAGGGACAATTACGCTGTGTATGTGTTCCCATTTAATTTTAGAAATGCAACTAACCTGAGTGTACGGCTTCCATGAACAGCTAACTCACCCGCTGACCTGGCTCCTATGGCGACCTTCGTGGTGTATGTCATACTCGCCCTGGTCCGACATGACAATTCGATCCTGGCCGCGCAAGCCTTTACCTCGCTGACATTAATATCACCAATGACAACGCCGATGCTGACATTTATCCAGGCAGTGCCGACTGTGGTCCAGTGCTTGGGATGCCTAGACAGAATCCAAGAATATGCCAGCGTACCAGTCCTACATGATGATGAGAATACCCACGGTGAAACTATCACAGGAAAATACGACGGCTTGGTTAGTCTTCAGGCCATGCCAAAATTGGTCACGGAAGAAAGGAACCTAGTAAAATTCTCAAACTATAGCGTCGGGTGGAAGCAGGATGCACCGCCAGTCTTGCGCGAGATGCAGCTGAATATCTAACGCGGCGGTATCACCATGATTGTCGGACCTATTGGCAGTGGCAAGTCCACATTACTCGAGAGAATTCTTGGAGAGACACTTAGCATGGGGGGAAGAGCAGAGCGAAATGTTTCCCTCGTTGTCTACTGCTCTCAAACACCGTGGCTGCAGAGCGAGAATATCCGCCGGAACATCATCGGCGCGTCTGTGATAAACATGGACTGGTACGCGACGGTAGTATCTGCCTGTGCACTTGACAAAGACTTAGCTCAACTTCCTCGTGGAGACCAAACACCCGTTGGTAACAACGGTCTGACGCTCAGCGGCGGGCAGAAGCAGCGCATTGTAAGTGAACTTCGTATCTTCTACAACAAGTTGTTGACCAGCTTCAGACTGATATCTAAACTAGGCATTAGCTCGAGCCCTGTACTCGCGATGCAAAGTCGTTTTGCTGGACGATGTCTTCAGCGGCATCGACGCATCTGCTACAGAATCAGTCACTCGCAATTTATTCGATGAAAAGGGTCTCTTTCGCCAGCCTCAGACAACAGTAGTGCTCGCCACGCACTCTAGTAAGAGATCCCATAAAAAAAAAAAAAATTGTCGGTACCACTTTTAAGTGTCATTGCATAGGATTCCTCCTCCAGTACGCGGACAACGTCGTTGTCCTGGTTGATGGGCACATCGCTGATGCCGGCAGCCTGAATAGCCTTCAATCCAGTAACACTTATATTCAGGGCCTGGAGATTTCATCATCAACTGCGCCTATCACAAGCGAATCCAATGAGGGGCCACTTAATCCCCAGGTCTCCGATAGCCAGACTAAGAACGAGGACTTGGAAAGGGTTGAACTACTCGATCATGAATTATCGACCGATTACATCCGCCAGGATGGAGATTTCTCTGTTTATGCTTACTATGCATCGGCTTTTGGACATACGACAGTCCTTGTTTCCCTTTGCTTTATCTTATGCTGGTCTTTCTGTCGCGAGTTCCCAAGTCAGTCCCGGATCCCCTTTTTTGTGATGAATTATAGACATTTATAATGTTTATAGCGATCTGGCTGGACTGGCGGACAGCAGCCAATGCGAAAAGTCCCAACAACGGGGTTGGGATGTATCTTGAGGTCTATGTAATGCTAGGTATAGCTGGGCTAATCGCCATGATTGCTGGTTGCTGGTGCGTATACATCATATGGATTGCCTCCGATGAGAAGATCTGAACTTTCTAGCCGGTAAGTTCCACGCCAATGTAAACCTTCAACATATCTAACCTGCATCCAGCTGGCTCCACATGCATCGTCAAGGTCATAATCATAGCCGCATTTGCCAAGTATCTGGGCATTGTGATCCCATTCATGGGGATCCTCGTCTACATGGCACAGAAGTTCTATCTCCGAACATCACGCCAGATGCGACACCTGGACATCGAAGCAAAGGCACCGCTTTACACTCACTTCCTCGAAATCGTCAGCGGTGCGGCTACAGTCCGCGCGTTTCGGTGGCACAGATCATCCAATGCGAAATTGATTTCTCTGCTAAACATTTCACAGCGTCCCGTGTACATGCTGTACTGCATTCAGCAATGTCTGGGTTTCTTCCTGAATTTGCTTGTTGCGGTGTTGGCAGTCATTTTGGTGGCTACGGTAGTCTTCTTACGAGACAAATTCAACCCGGGGGATGTTGGTGTTGTCTTGGTCATGGTTATGACTTTCAACAGTAGTTTGATGCAGCTCATCAGATTCTGGACCATGATGGATACGTCTATTGGTGCTGTCGTCCGAGTCAAGAGCTATGTGGCTACTACCGAGCCAGAGGAGGCTGTATCTTCTCAGCAGGACCAATTACCTGTGTCATGGCCGACCAATGGAGCCATTCGGATTTCGGATTTGGCAGCTGCGCACTTGTAAGTCCTCTTGTCGGTGAACAAAGACAAGTGACCGCTTATTGATACCAATAATTTCTAGCAGAGCGACATCTCCATCCGTTTTAAAGAGCATTTCGATGATAGTGCAACCCGGAGAGAAGATCGCAATCTGCGGCTCATCCGGCAGCGGAAAGACGACACTTATCCTCTCTCTGCTGCGCATGGTAGAGCTTCAAGGAGGTTCAATGACCATCGATCTTTCGGAATACTCGCGGTCTGAAGTTCGCACCCGACTGAACGTCGTCACCCAGGACCCATTCCTAGTAGCCGGCTCAGTGCGCTTTAATACTGATCCCTTTGAGAGGGCACCAGATGAGAAGGCCATCGCAGCACTTCACAGGCTGGGGCTTTGGGGGAACATTGACCAGGAAGGCGGTCTTGAGATGGAAATGAATGCCGTTTCGTGATTTCTGGGCCAGCGGCAGCTGCTCTGTCTTGCGCGTGCGATGGTACAAGGGGGGAAGGTGCTTATCCTTGATGAGGCGACGAACAGGTGCGTTTCTTGTCTTTTCTTCTTTCAAGTTTACCACGAAAGGATACTGATGCTGATGCTTTGTAGTGTCGACCACAAAACAGAGGAGATGATGCAGGGGGTCCTGGAGACGGGGTTCTCATCTCATACGGTCCTCTCTGTTCTGCATCGTCTGCGCTACATCCATCGATATGATCGTGTCGCTGTGCTGGATGACGGGGTTTTGGTGGAATTTGATACTCCTGCCGCACTGCTTGCTCGTGATTTATTCGGGAAGTCATTGAGTACAACATAATGAATACTTAGGTTTTTTTCTTGCATGTTAAAGCGAACATTCTTAGACCACAAAACCCAGACCGGAAGCTTTAGGATTAACCTATATTTCCTCAAAACATCCCTTAGCTTCGACATTTATTAACTCATTCGCAGTAAGCGTTAATGAGATGTGGAGAGACATTCTTACTTCTAAATAGACTCAATAAAATGATACGGCGCGGGTGGGGTGGCAGCATAGTCGTTGAAGGTCAAGGTCAGGAATACTACACCAAATAGACCAGCTGAAGTCACAAAAGGAAGGCCAACCCAGGGACTAGCAAGCTTTAGTCCGATCTGATACACCAACGGCCAGAGCAGTGTCCCAACGAGCGTTCCTAGAGCTTCCATGATTGTATGACGGAGTAGGTGATGGCGCAGTGCTCCTCAGGGGTTGAGGCCGTTAGGATAGATCGGATTGACTGGCAGTAGACGCTTCCAAGGCCGTATAATAAGATGCCTATCGCAATGTCAGCTATTTTTTACGGGAATTGGACGCGCAGGAAGCAAGGACTCACTGATAGCCAAGAGGGATGGAGAGGGAGAAAGTGCCATGCCAGCGCATCCCAAGGCGGACAGCAAAGCGCTAGCCCTGGCCAACGCGAAGTGCGTGGACACCTCTGTGGGCCCTCGTCGGGAAAGAAGCAAGCGGTCCATGGTCGGTAGTAGTAGTAACACAACTAGGTGGGTTATGCTGTCAAGGGGTATCAGATATCCAGACTACATAATTAGCATGGCCGGTAGAACCAAGACCAAGGTGCGTACCCGAGAGAAAAACCAGTTAAACACCTGTGAGGCATAGATGATCAGTAGCCTCATGACACTGATACCTAGAGACTGTAGCAGTAACCCCAATGGAAGAGCAACTAGTCTGCTCTGCTCCTTGAGAAGAGTCATCACTCGGCGCACTTTGCGTGGAATTGAATTGGGAGTGTCATCTTTGGACAGCGGCTGATTAATCTCTTGTTGGTCGGATTCTACAGCAAGTGGACGCTGTTCGGGCACTGGAAGGACCAGGCAGAACGAGGTGAAAATAAGACCGAGTCCCAGATAGACTGGGAACCATAGAGACTTGTCCATGATGGCAGAGCTCGCAAGATAGCCAAATAGGCTGCCAGAGTACGCCGCAGCCTCCAGCAGAAAGCAGCGAGAAGGCTTGTGTCAAGGTTTAGCGGGTGTTTTTGTACCAGATCGTCTTTCAGTTTTGACTTACCGCAGATAGGACGGCGAGACATTGGTGACAATGACGAAGAGCAGCGATCCACCGACACTTGGTCCACCTCCAATCAGATAGAATACAGGAGCCAGGTAGATCAGCCCAATGGGCCATATTTGTCCATGCCAGCCTAAAAAGCGTCAGTCGCACACCCTATTATGGAGTATATTTGCGCAAGTTGGACATACAGACAAGATCAAACCAGAGCTCCTCTAGAAATATACCGGAGATTGACAATAGCAAGACCCTTTTCATGCCCCAACGCTCCGCTAGAGTCGCATAAGGGACGCCCAGGGCGACGCCTGGAAGCAGGAGCAACAGACCGACGAGACCCTTGACCATCGTAAGAACCGTTTGAATGGGTTCGGCCTTGCAGTCCCGCTCATGGACAGAGGCCAATAGCGTGCCTGTTTGGCGAGCATAATATTTCTGGCAGATGATATCTTGTAGAACGCTGGTGGTGGGCGGCACTGCTATTGCAGTCCCGGCGTTGACCAGGAAAAGGACAATGAGAGCCACGTAAAATGTACATCTCGTGTGGTATGCGTGATGGCCACTACTTTCACCTTGTCTATCGCCTGAAGCTCGACTAGAGTTGGTCGACGATGCTGCCTGCAGCAGAGGTGTGGCCTCACTCTCTTCCGAGTAAGCCATAATAGACTCCGTCAGTATATATGGATGGGATGTTGAGGGGCCGAAAATGCCGACAGTTGCGAGTGGCGCTGGGCCGCCAGAAAGCAAAATGAATGAGCTAGCAATGGCAATATATTGCGAAATCGCCCAAAGGCGCTATGGTCGCACTAATAATGGCCATTGAACCACAGGGAAACGGGCGATACAATCGGACTGCAGGGGAATGCTCATCCCTGCACATGAGGCTTGTACGCTGTGTCTGGCCACCGATAAACGAGAATGAAGTGGGGTTTGAAGAATCTAGATTTGCAACTAACATGATAACGAACAGCGCCTTGCAAGTGGAATAGGGCGAATCAGAGAGACGCAGCAAGTTGTATAGAAGCCCAAATCCTCCGGTGTCGCGTATACCAAGCTACCCCTTCAACAACTAACCATGGCACCAAAACGCACTTGAACATGTCTTCCGCTGATTCTGCATATTCCTGTATAGCTTCATGGCTCCATTCACAGTCACCTTGGACATGAATCTCTTGGCACAGTCCACCTGGAGAAGGCAATCCTGGCCCAAGTGCGGGTGATGTCGAAAGCATCCGCATCTGCACACCCATGTAGGAGGCTACCCTGGTTTGCCAGGCACAATGCATGAATGGCTATATTATCCGAGCTTCAATGAAAGTGTATTTATCAGACGACCAGCTGCTCGACTTGCAATTCCTGGAAATGGCCTGGAAGAGTATCGTCCAGCAGCCAGCTGTTTTGCGCAGAGTCTTCGTGTCATCGACATCAGGGAAACGTATGTTCTGGTTGGTCATGACAGAGGTTCGACAAATCGAAAATGGCTTGCCTGAATCCTTCTTTGCACAGGCGCTGGAGTGGGAAAAAGGCTGCATTGCTCTCACCGGCTGACCTTCCGCAATATCCCCAACGGACCAGGCTATGTCAAGGTCGAGCTGCATCATGGTATTGCGGGCACTTTTGGCAGCTTGAAAATCTTCCGCAAGCTGATGTGCCTCTACGATAACCCTCAAGCAGAGCTCCGTGGACCCTCATTCCAGCGGCATGTCGACTACATCTTGGCGGACAACAAACTGCATTACTGGCAAAACTTCGTCGCCAAAGCACAGCCCTCTATATTTACTCGACTGAGAACTGGGAAACTCCCGCAACGGCCTGATGAGGGACAGCAGCTAGAAGTGAAGCTCGACCGAAAGGGCGTCCTCGCACCGGTCTCCAGCTCCAGAGTTAGCTCCTCCATGTTCTTCCACGCCGCTTGGCCCGCCTTCCTGCGGACATTATCTCAGTTGTTCCAACGTAATGTTTGGCTATATCTCTTCCGGGCATCACAAACGTGCCCCTTCCCAACATATCTGAAGCTCTTGGCCCATACATCAGTATGACGGTTACTTTTTTCTTCTCTGTTTCATTTCCCTTCTTTCCACGGTATGGACCAAGCTCGAGAGGAGGTTATATTATACCACATTTCTGGCTTACTTATATGGGGCCGGTAGCCGCCACTTTTGACTTAATTACTACCTTTCACCTTGTCACTTACCGAATCGGGAAACATCCGAGGCTCAAGTCTAGACCCGGTCGAGACGAAGTCTTGACGCAATGATAATGACGCTCCCTCACAGAAAACGTTGGTTGAACCACCGATTCATTCTTTTTTGCTTCGATCTAACTGTTCTGGATTGCTCTTTCACTATTCGATACTTCAATACCAGCTTAATGATGAACATCCGGACAGCTCGCGTCCGATTCCCAGCATGCCCAATACCGTGGCCATCTTCTCGATATTCACCAGTCTAGCCACGATATCTGTTGCCCTGAGACTGCTCACGAGACTGTGGGTGGTGAAGACGGCAGGATGGGACGATTGGTTGATTGTGCTTGCGTTGGTATGTTAATCGCTGTGCTGGTAGGGAGTCGCTAACGGTTGTAGTTGACGGACTATGTCTTCTTCGCTTTTGCGATACTTGGTAAGACCACAATGTATCTCACAGGTAGAAGTGTCTAACAAACCAGAAACACACTACGGCCTTGGGATCTCCCGAAACGACCTCACCCAGTCCCAAATAACCCACCAGCTAAAAGCCTTCTACATCACAATCCCCTTCTACAACCTAACCCTCAGTTTCACCAAGATTTCCATGCTAGTCCTCTACCTCCGCCTCCTCCCTATGGTGAGCAAGTACCGCCTCGCTGTGACTATCAGTCTCTGCGTGATCCCTCTCATCGCGCTCTGGCTGGTGCTTAGCTCGTTTATGTTTTGCATCCCCGTGTCGGATTTTTGGAGTCCTGTGTCCCAGCAGAGATGTCTGCCAAAAGAGATTTGGTTCCTCAATGCCGCATTGCAGATTGTCACGGATATGTGGATTGTTTTCTTGCCTATGCCCGTGTTGGCGAGGTTGAAGTTGCCGCGACGACAGAAGGTTGCTGTTGTGCTGGTTTTTGGGTTGGGGATTTTGTACGTCTTTTCGTCCTCCCATTTAATGGCTTACTTGAATATCCAGCTGATGAATGCAGTGTCTGCATAGTTAGCATTGTTCGCATCTCCGCCCTCACCGAGCTCACCTCCCACGACGACGACACGCGCTACAACTCCCCCGCCGCAATTTGGTCCTTCATCGAAGCAAATGTCGCCATCATATGCTCCAGTCTCCCGCCCCTTCGTCCCTTGATCATTCGTCTAATCCCATCGTCTCTGCTCACCCCCAGCGCCTCTGAGCAGGAACGGCCCGTCCATCCGTACTCATCTTTCGTGGGGAACGATAACTCCTTGCATTTCGGGAATGGGGGTGCGGGATATGAAGTTAATGTTACTGCTTTTGGACGGACTGGTGTACAGCAGAGGGGGTCAAATTTGGAGCCAAGTTTGGAAGTGAGTCGTGAGCAGAGTCACGAAGGACAAAGTCAGAAGGAGGATGGGGTGGGTTCTGCTACTACCGGTGATACGGATAGTGGGATACAGGTGGTGAAGGAATTACAAATGGATTCGGATTTGAGGCGTTCTAAGGAGGGAGCATAAATCGGCCTGCGTTTATGGTTCTGCTGTATATTCGAAAAGCAGTGTTTTATGGAAATAGAGTATAGATGCGTATGAATCTTGTTTCGAATCCGAGAGAAATACAAATGCATACCCCTGATAGGTCTTCCGGACTAACCACTACGCTGAAGAGATTCGATACTACGATGCAAACACGGCCTTGACAGAGAATCATCCATTAAAACCACAGTAAACCGATGCGGACCTAAAACAAACGGCTGAACTGCAAACCCTATCTACCGACCAAGAAGTAATCCATTATCCCACATATAACGAACGAACCCCAAGGGATAAAACAAAAAAAAAAAAAAAAAAAAAAAAAAAAAAGGCTAAGGATGATCCAGTCAACGATTTGCCATCTGCGTACGCCAGGGCTTGTGCGCGTAGCGGCGTCTATCACCCCTTCCGTGGTTGATCTGGGCCTCCAGCTTCTCTCGTCGCTCCTGTCGCTTCGTCGCTGCATTGACCTGTCGCGACTGTTTCGGTGAGGTCAACTTGAGGGAGCTCAGTCGCTTAAGGGAGCCCAGTCGCTTGACCTTCGGCCTGCGAACACCCCCGCCCCGACCATGCCTGTCGTCTTTCCAAGGACGCCGACTTCCTTCCTTGCCGACCAGATAGCGAGTCATAACGGGCTCAGACTCTAGCACAGGGGATGCCAAATCACGACCGGCTCCAATGGTGTCCTTGAGTTGCTCACGCTCAGGGGATGCCAAGTTATGGCTTACACCGATGGTGTCCTTGGGTTGCTTGAGCTCAGGGGATGCCAAGTCACGACTGACACCGATGGTTTCCTTGAGTTGCTCGAGGGCAGCATGGAATTTTTGAGCTGGTGTCGAGATAGACTCTTGATTGGCTCCGGTATACTCGACGCTAAAGACGTGGGAGTTCGAATGAGAAAGACGGAGAGTGGCATTATCGATCGGTTGGGCCCGTGTTGGACTGGGCAGCGCGTATGGCGCGGGAAGAGTAAGGCTTGAAGAAAACGCGATAGCCTCGGGATCCAGTATAGACCCAATAGAATCATCCGACTCAGGGCTGAACGACCTCTTAGAAACCATGGAAGTCGGAAACACCGAAGATATACGGCTCGAAGATAGCGGCCATGGACATTCCACCAGGCACATTCCAACGTATGGATCCTCAACGTAAGCGTTCACTCCAGACAGGTCCACGTCCACAAAGGGCAGATGAAACCCTGGCATCACCGGATAGGAGCCTCGAGGATTGGACAAGTTGGCGTCCTTAGGGATTGAAGCTGGGGGAGGCGACGAGCCATAGCTCTGAGAAGCACTCCTATGCAAGTTGTCGATAGTGGAGTAGCAGTTGCGGCAGACCACATCGTACTCGCCGTCCCGAGGGACCATACCACGGGAAGCAAGAACCATCTGCGGTTGTAAAAAAGGATGAAACTGGTCCGCGCCTCTCACCCAAAGCCATGACGGAAGTTCATCAAGAGCCACAAGTGGGGTGAATCTGCCTTCAGGCCTGAAAACGCAGAACTTTGGGACAGGCTGTGCGGTCGACATCAGGTGTAGTTGACTGGATTATAACGAACGAGAACGGAGATGATAGTGACAGTAAAAGTGTAGCACGATACTAACGAATGCAGCTGTTGAAAGAGAATAAACTGAGAATGAGAGAGACGAGAGAGGGATTAAAGAGATATGGAAGAAAGAAGAAAGAGGTAGAGGAGGGAGGGAAGATGCTTGGTTTTGTACCCGCCGCCAGGAGTCCTCATCGTGCCTTCCTGGAAAGGCACAACCCCCATACGGCAGGAACCGAGGAAAGGCAAGAACGACAGCATTTCTGTGTCTGTAATGCAACTGGCTTAATAGCCATAATTATGAATTGCTTGGAATGCTTTTGGTGTCCATCTGGTATTACCGTTAGGGCTGGTCAGGTGACCCTCTCGATCTTTTCGTTCCTACTTCAACTCTATGCCCAACCGCAAACATCTTCAACAACAGGTCTGAAGCTTCAGTTGCCCACAAATGACAGGGGAGTGAGTACAATACCATACATCCATTGCATTTTTATTCTATGTGGATGTTGACCGGTATCTTGTCTGATAATCAAATACCTCGTCGTTCAGCATCAGACATTGCAAGGCTAGGTTCCCGTTCCAAACAACTCCTGACGAACCGCATCATCTTGGAATTATTCAAGGATCAACATGTTATGCTCCTAATTGACCGTCTACTAAAGTGAGAATATATATTCTGTTGATACATCTGGTATATATACATTCGAAGAATATCCTGAAATCATCCAACGCTAAGTAACCCACTCGCTTACTTTCATTATACATCAATCATATATCGTTTGACCGTCCTTTCATGGCTAGCTTCGAACCCGCGATGCGCACCAGTCAACTCCGGTACTCTGACACTATCTGGGCGGTGACCCCGTCCTGGGTGATAGCTCTGGCATGGAACTCCCCCATAACCCTAGCGCATGCCGCCTCTCTACCAGTTTCACGACATCGTACATAAAGCATTGTTCGGGCCCGCCGGCGGGAAACACCTCCCAAGCAACGCGGACAGGAAACGCCAACCGGTTGATCATGTTCCCCGGTGCAGTGAGGATGTACCATTCTAGACTACGGCATATACCGCAGCCTAGTGTGTATTGCTCCATTGGGCTGACAGCTTGATCTGGGGTACGCGAATCGACAGTCGAGAGGATGAGACGGAAGGCATAATATACGCACATGGTCTGTGCGAGGCGGAGGTCGGGGTAAAGGAATTTGGGAGGGGCGAAGACGGCGCCAGTGCGGAGGTCGCGACATTGAAAGATCGGGAAAGGTTCATCGTCTTCTTTTGGAGAGAATGGTGTCGAAGGGTCAACTTCGCGTGGGGGGCCATCCGGATATTGGTCAACCCAGATCCCTTTCCATTGGAGAAAACGTTCGGTTAAGTCAGCAATATCGTTCCAGAGAGCTGCTTGTTTGGTGGCTTTCTCATGTGGACTGAGCATTCCTGGTTGCTGAGTAGCTGCTTGAAAGTCATCAGACTGCCCTAAAAGGGATGGGATCTCGACGGCAAGGTCGAGTAGGTGGTGTAAGATATCTTTTTTGGTCGTACCGGCCGACCAAGGGATACTTTTCCATTCCTCTTCGGCGAGGAATGTCGGCTGACGGGTAACCAGCGCGGCTCCAACATAATACGGACGAAGCTCAGTAAAGAGCAAATGCTCTACGCCGTACATGTGATTTTCCGGGCCTCGATGCTGGATCAACCGAACAGCCCCGTTGAGGTGAGCGAGGACGCCTGCATCGCTGGTCCGCTCAACACTCTGCTACAGTTAGTTGCGTCACTTGAAGGGGTACAAGAAGGGACCATACCTCAAAGGCCATAAGCAGGATGACTGTTACCAGAGTCGATTCGGCCTTGCTTCTTTCCGGATCCAGCAACGCTTGCTGTAGATTGCGCAGCACCTTGGGGTATAGTTGGAAACCCGCAGCTTCAATGCGACGGTCTTGGGTTGATCGACCAAAGAATGCCACTGATACGGCATCAAAAGCATCCCCTATGATGGGAGAAAACATGCGGATCTCGGCAGCCCGACGTAAAGCACCCGCCTGGCCCGCTTTGGCGTTGACTTCAGGACTGAAGGCATCCACAAAACGCTCTACAAAAACGTCGATAGCAGATGTATTCGGGTTGAAAGGAGATAGAGGGCGACCATATGACGCTTCCGTATCGTCGGACGGAGTGCTACGGATACTGCTGCTGTCGCTGCTGCTGCTGCTACTGCTGCTGCTGCTGCTGCTGCTGCGGGCACTGTTGTTGCTGCCATAGCTCCAAGTGCCATTGCCCAGAGGGATTAGCTCATCCTCATTGTCGGACGACACTCTGTCGATCGCAAGGGTTTCTATTATAGGGGATTAGCGTCAATGATCCTCTTTCTCTCATACTAGAATGGGATAGCGTACCTGTATTTTTGCCGACCGCCCCCTTTGGTCGCCTCCACCCGCGTCGAGGATTTCGGATATTGCCGATTATATGATCGATTTCTTGCAACGGTGCGAAGCGGATTGAGCTGAAGAATTGTCGGAGATAGTCATATCGTTGTTTACTTCGGATGCGATGATCTGTGTTGGTCCGCCTCGGTTAGAGGGGAGGGGAAATAAAAAAAAAAAAAAATTGGAATAAAAAGTACCGGAAAGATAATAAATACCTTTATTATCGAGCCGCAATCTTAGCTCGTGGATCTCTGCTCGTAAATTACGGATCTCGCCAGTCTGTGAGATAGGCTCATCGCCGGGAATGGCTTCATAGACACATTGAGACGGGTATCCATGAGCACAACAGGCATGGCAGGGCTTGACGCGATCGCACTAAATCATTTGCAGAGGAAATAAGCTGCAAGTCCTGAATAATAATGTGTTGCCAACGCATAGTGACCCATAAGAATATGCTGAAACAGTGGACAGACAGGCACAGACCTTGACTTTGCGGAGCCGGCACACCTTACAGGAGCGCGACTGACGATTGACAGGAGCTGACGGCTTTTTCCGGTGGGACGTCTCTAGTAGAGACATGATTTGCAGGAATTCGTGTTGCTGCCGGTGTTTTGGTGTCAAAAGAAGACAAGACAGTGCGAGATCCAGAGCGAACATGTCCGAGATCTGGCGGATGCGCACTCCAGCCAATTAGGAGGCGTGATTTATGAGCGGTGAACTAGTCTACTGAAGAGCTTTTCAGAATAGTGTACTAGTACTACTAGTAAATGGATCTGTACTAGTTGGTGACATGAGGTGCCACTAGCCCGAACCGTGGAACTGACCGGGTACGGCCACACTACAGACGACGATGCCAGATGACATAGCAACGGATCTGATAAGCTTGTGGGTTAAAGCTGAAGAAATCGCCGGCAAGGAGAAGACATACTCGGCTGTTCCATGCTTCGCGTGCAGACAGGAGACATGGAAGAACCATTAGCCTGCTCTCTATCCCGGCGGACGGATCGGGCCAGGAGTCTGTCCGACATGTACTCAACGCCCCATACCCATTTACCTCAGAACTCGGATTCTTATAATATGTGAATTGACGGACATCCAGACTGCGATGCGGCAACGCAGCACGTGCAATTCATTGTGCTTATCAATGCTGGAGAGACATTGCGCTGCGAGTGACCTTGCTGCCATGCCGTACTATGTACAAAGATACCGGCAGTCCACGGATTGGCCCTTCATTTCAGCCAAAGCTTGATGTCAGTCATTCAACCAATTGGCTGGATCAATTCTAGTTACCTGTCATGCCAGATTGAGTCCTTAGCATGGTTTGCCCCTTGCCGGAAGGAGGGGACCATACAAAGAAGTTACTGCTCTTACGGAGTACACCACTCCCCGCGGAAGGTTGGTTGGAATTGACAAATGTCTCCTCAAGAGCAAATGGCCCATGCGGACTAGGTTGCATCACAGTTTGTATCAGAAACAGCTTTTGACTCGATGGCAGGTCCCGTGCACCGTCCTTGGCCTATTTCCCCGCATTGATGGACAATCCGGGGGATGCTGTATCCAATCGCATGCTGCAAAAGCTCGGCAATTTGCGGTGCTAAGCTCATACAAAGTTGGACAGAGAAGGTGGCTGCGGCTAACGGCCAGTAAAGATATGTCAGTATCACGGACGTACTCCGATATGCAGCTGGTCCAGGCGAGCCGTGGTGCCATCGAGATGGGATAATACATGGTGACTATGCAGATACCTCCGTCTGGCAATTGCTGGCTCTCCACTTCCCCGGATTTACTGTGGTTTCCACCGACCCATAAGTATATATAGTGCCCCGGCTGAGAGAAAATGTCCTCTACTACAAACTACTCACAAGCAACACCGCCGAAATGGAAAAGGAAACCATGGAGAAGGAACTGGAAAAGGCCAATGTCACCCACGAAGAAGCCATCCACCTCGCCGAATTCACCGACAATGAAAGATGCATCGAGAAGAAGCTCCTCCGCCGCATCGACGCCCTGATCATGCCGCTCGTCATCCTCGTCTACTTGATGAACTACATCGACCGGAACAATTACGCAGCGGCCAGACTGCAGGGTCTCGAGAGGGATCTTGGTCTTAACGATTCGCAGTACCAGACTGGTCTGAGTGTCCTGTTTGTCGCGTACATCCTCATGCAAGTGCCGTCGAACTTGCTGCTTAATTATATGGGAAGACCGTCGTTGTACCTCGGGGGCTTCACCACAGCGTGGGGTCTTGTGTCGACGTTGACCAGTCAAACGAAGAATTACGGTGATATTGTGGCGTGCCGGTTCCTGCTTGGTTTGGTTGGTGTGTACTATCCCGGCTTTCCTTTCTGACGAGATCATACTAATACAAAGCAGAGGCCCCGTTCTTCGCCGGCGTTCTGTTCTATCTTTCGAAATGGTACACGAAAAAGGAACTTTCCTTCCGCATGAGTATCTTCTACAGCGGCTCCCTTCTCTCCGGCGCCTTTGGGAACCTGATCGCGGCCGGTATTCTCAATGGTTTGGCGGGTCGGCGTGGCTTGTCATCGTGGCAGTGGCTGTACATCATCGAGGGTGCCATCACTATGTTCATCGGCTTGGTGCTTATGGTCATGCTACCTGATTTCCCAGATACATGGCGGCTTCTCAGCCCGGAGATGAAGGCTGTCGCTAACCGCCGGCTTGCCATCGACGCCGCAGAGGCCGACATGGATGAGGGCGGCAAGCGCAGCCAGATCAAGGGACTCAAGCTTGCCTTCACTGATATCAAGACCTACGTGTTGGCCATCGCCTATATGTCCATGACTGGCGCCAGTGGGTTTCAGAACTATTTCCCCACACTCACTCGCACTTTAGGTTACGATAAGATCATCTCCCTTGTTCTCGTCGCGCCGCCATACTTGTTCATGGTCGCGTATAGCATGGCCCATGCAAGACTATCGGACCATTTTGCCAACCGGTTCTGGTTCTTCTTCTACCCAATTCCGATCACCATAGTAGGTTATATCGTCTTTATGACCACCGAAAGTTTTGGACCGCGCTATTTCTCCTTCTTCTTGATGGTGTTTGTCTTTGCACAGAACAGCACCATCTACTCGTGGATCGCCAACGCCATCCCGCGACCGCCGGCCAAACGTGCGGCAGCATACGCGTTTATCAACTCGATCGGAAACTCGGCCAGTATCTGGACCCCGTACACCTACCGTGACGAGGACGAGCCGTTTTACCGACCCGCGATGGGTGTGTGTATCGCGTTGCAGGGGGTTGGTGCGGTCATGGCATTGTTTATGTATTTCCACTTGCGGCAGTTGAACAAACGTCAGGAACGGTTGGAGGATGAGGACATGACTCTGACCGATACAGAGCTAAGGCGACTGCAGAGGACGGCAGATGTTGAGGGAATTGATATCGCAGCTGCGCGTCGGTTGCAGCGGGGATTCCGCTACATGATTTAGCTGTTCCATAGCGTAGCTCAATGATATCCAATCCACCCTGACCGCATTGACTGGGGTAGAAGAACTTAATGATTTCTTCTCCGTCCCGCAGAAGAGGGGCGAGCGGGGGTACGCAACTGGTGCGCGATATTCGGACATTATTCCCATTCAGACCGGGTGCAGATTCCAGGATCAACCTGTTACATACCTGAATGTCAAGCCAATAGCAATGCGCAGTGGTGTGTAGCTGGCACACTCTGCTCCGCGACAACAGCTAACACAGGTGCACGATGACGTTTGAGTATCTAGAACTATGCTCTTTCCTCGAAGAAAGCGCCAGAATTGAGCCGTTGGCGACGCGCAGGCCCCTCCTTGTCCTCGCCCGGAGACCGGCGAATAGGTCATTGTACGACGGATGGTTCAACCGACACATGGTTTGACCCCAATAGCACCACTCAGTGAAACGAACGGAAAGCAAACCACGGGTCTGGGTAGAGTGGTGAGTTGGGAAATCGCATCATTCCTCCAACAGAGGTGGAGTTATGCCGGCGCCATGAAACAAGAGTAAACTCCCCTTGCTGATTCGTCCATGAATGGTGCGGAGAAAGAGGCGACGAGGTCGATCCGGGGGTGGAGAGGAGAGGATGCTCCATAAGAGGCCGACAGCATCATAGAAGGCCGGAAAGAGACTAGCGTTAAAATCACGTGAGCGTGCCTTCTATGATGTCATGTAGTCCCTGGCCGTGAGACAAGTATATATACACGCTGCTTTCCCCGCCACTATACTCGCTGCTAAGATCTACAAAGCTTGCCTTTCTCTGTTCTGATATCGATATACTTGTCCACCATGATCTACCTATCCGCTCGTGCGGCCCGCATCGGGGCCAACCGTCACCCATTGCCACTGCGTTCGTTCTCGATTGCCGTGCCGGCCCGGAAGGAGGGGGACCTCGGGTCACCCAAGCCACGAGGATTCCTTGCTGAGTATGTCTCTCTTCGCCGGTCTCTACGTGGCGTGGCTGATAATGGTACAGGAAAGACGCCTTCAGCCGCCGAGAAGCCGCACAAGAGGCCATGTACATCCGCGCACACGAGGCAGAGAGATTGAAGCACCTACAAAGCCAGTTGAAGGAACAACGACGACATCTGGACGCGATGGAGGAGCATATGTAAGTCGAGACCGTTGGATAAGGTGCTTGCCCTGGCTCAACGGCTGATCTTCTACTAGTAAGGAAGTTACCCGCTCGCAGGGTGGGGAGCTGAACTAGTTGCTCTGTGACTTCGGCTATTGGTTGCTCTTTTTCTTCCGTTCTTTACGATTTATCTTGGGTACATGTGATACGATTGATTTCGACATTTGTGAGGCTCAGAAGCCGCCCGTTATACATGACCGACTGCGTGTTCGCGTTGGCATAGCTGGGATATATTCCCGCGACCCTCCTACCGCCGGATTTTATGGTACCATGGGTTATGAGACTGTTGGAGCGATGCTCACAGTTATGTATGTAGTTTGTTTGGATAAGATGGTCCATGCTTTCGGATTCATCTTTATTAGCACTTATCTGCCATACGCAAACAATACATCGAGGTTTCATACAACGATCTTCATCTCCAAATACTTCCATTCCTACTTTCCTCATCTGGCTCTTCCTCATCTGGCTCCTCCCCATCGTTCGTTGGTATGATCAGCGTCTTTTCCAGCCTGGGCACGCTTCTAACCCACTCTGGCACCTCTTAAAACAATCTCCCTACTTGGTCCGTCTTCCATCCCTCAACCCGTGAAATAGCCGGACTCGCCCGTGGCAGCCCTCGCTCTGCCAGTCGATTAAATGCCCTCACCAAATGATATGGCAAAGCAGCCACGACGGCATACCGCTCTGGATTCTTATCCTTGGGATCTGGAATCTCGGAGACTGTCCACAGTTGGTTGTAGAAATACTCGATCTCGTCCCGGAGCTCTGTAACAAACCCTGTCACAATGTACTCGTACATACGGTACGAAGATGCCGTCGGGTATGGCCTTGGGTTCGAGCGAGCTTGTTTTGTCATTGTTGGTGCTCTAGGAGTTAGGAGACAGTTGGCGGATTGAAAATGCGGCTCTTCCAGAATCAAGAGAACGAGGATAAGCAGATTCTGACGGGCAGGGATATGTAGATGCTGGAGAAATGAACTATCAGTCAAATATTGTGCTCGCTTCTACTTTCTTCTTTGGCACACTGCTGCTCCACAACATTGCTATGCTTGCATATGTTTCTTAAGGGGGAGATGGGTAGTGTGCACGGCTGATGCTGGCGCCCAATCCATCGGGCTACAGGAGGGTAGTGCTATGCAAATGTCTGCTTTTTGCTCTCCTCCTGTTCTAGGACAGAGTAAGCAATCAAGGGTGGCTAGGCACGTCAAATAGCTGTGTAACAGTAAGCATGATGTTAGTATTTAAGGGACCGAGTGCCAGCGTTCTTTGTTTTTGTGTCATCAACTATCGATTTCTATGTTACATGCCGGGCTTATAGTGTTCGTGCCGTGCTGACAGTCTGCATGTACAAGTACTGGAACACGCCTGTGATATGCGTTATTGCGTGACGTACACTACTTGTTATATACAAGTATGTACTTGTACTTGTATATAGAGTAGAGTCGGCAAGTCCGGCGGGAACATGCCCCAAAGAGCTAGTCCCGGGAGAAAGCGGGGCCTCCGGGTGAGTCATCGGATGTCGGTGCTACGGAATCCGACAATGCGCCCTTGGCAACATCTCATTGGTTGGAAAAGCAAATTTGTCAGCGGAACAGGGCTAATTGGCAGCCCGTCGGACCGATCAGTGCCTGAAACACCGATGAAAACACCGAGCCGCACGAGAACTATACCGGATTAGGGCATACGAGACGGAACGATAAGGGTCTTCGTAAAGTCAAAATGACAGGTGAATGAGGCTTGCTCCGAATCGGCATATTCTAGCCCCCGAAGACCGTCGGATTTTGACTACAATGAGGAAGACTCGCCCTGTATAGAAAACAAAGATTATCAGTGGAGCTCGGAGTCGGGGTTTCCAGAAGGCATTTTTATTTTTATAATATTATCTCCGTCTGACAGGTTGGGTGCCACGAGTTTTATATGTTGTGTTCCCCTCCTCGGGTGGTTATTCTGCTTCTTCCCTGCTCTTACTTTTATCACGTGTGTCCACTACGTCTATCTTTGAATCTCACCTGAGATAGTCAATCACTGGCAATATGGAGGAGCGTCCTCCTTTCCTGCACGCGACCTCTGAGGTCCGCGAGGATACAGACAGTGCTGCCACTATGAAGCCCGAGGACACCTCGTCTTCTCACTCCCATGAAGGTGCCACCAGCAAGGCTAACGACTGGAGCCTGATGCCCCAAGTCAAGCAGCAGCACGAACGTGATGTCGCCTCTGGGTTCAAACGCCGTGAACTGGGCGTCACCTGGCAGAACCTCAACGTCGAGGTCGTTAGCGCCGAAGCCGCCGTTCAAGAAAACTTCCTCTCGCAGTTCAACATCCCTCAGCACATCAAGGAAGCCCGTCACAAAGCCCCGTTGCGGAAGATTCTGCAGGACAGCCATGGCTCTGTGCGTCCTGGTGAGATGCTGTTGGTGCTGGGACGGCCTGGTTCGGGTTGCACGACGCTGCTGAAGATGCTCGCCAACCAGCGTCGTGGGTACAAGTCTGTTCAGGGTGACGTCCGCTTCGGTTCTATGACCCCTGAGCAGGCCGCGCCGTATCGTGGCCAGATCGTTATGAACACTGAAGAAGAGCTGTTCTTCCCGTCTCTGACTGTTGGTCAGACCATGGACTTTGCAACCCGTCTCAAGGTCCCGTTCAACCTCCCAGAAGGTACCGAATCCCCCGAAGCCTATCGCCAGGAGACCAAGAAGTTTTTGTTGGAGTCCATGGGTATCTCGCACACGGAGGACACCAAGGTCGGTAATGAGTTTGTTCGTGGTGTGTCTGGTGGTGAGCGCAAGCGTGTGTCCATCATTGAGTGTCTGGCCACGCGCGGATCAGTTTTTTGCTGGGACAACAGTACCCGTGGTCTCGACGCCAGTACCGCTCTGGAATGGACCAAGGCTATCCGCGCCATGACAGATGTTCTTGGCCTTTCATCCATTGTCACGCTCTACCAGGCTGGTAACGGTATCTACGATCTGTTCGACAAGGTGCTCGTCCTGGATGAGGGCAAGCAGATCTACTACGGCCCTATGACCGAGGCTCGTCCATTCATGGAAGAGCATGGTTTCGTCTGTCGCGAAGGTTCCAACGTCGCTGATTTCTTGACCGGTGTTACTGTCCCCACGGAACGCAAGATCCAGCCCGGCTACGAGAACCGCTTTCCCCGGACTGCGGAGGCTCTGCGGATAGAGTACGAGAAGTCACCCATCCACGCTCGCATGATCGCCGAATACGACTACCCGACCAGCAACCTCGCAAAAGAACGAACCGATGACTTCAAGGACGCCGTCCTTCACGAGAAAGCCAAACTGCCCAACAACAGCCCCTGGACCGTCAGTTTCCTCGACCAGGTTAAGACCTGCATTCAGCGTCAGTACCTGATCCTCTGGGGAGATAAGGCGACATTCATCATCAAGCAAGTCTCTACCCTGATCCAAGCTCTGATCGCCGGTTCCCTGTTCTACGATGCTCCCAACAACTCCGGTGGTCTCTTCGTCAAATCTGGTGCCCTTTTCTTCTCTCTGCTCTATAACAGTTTGCTGTCCATGTCCGAAGTGACGGACTCGTTCAGCGGTCGGCCTGTTCTCATCAAACATAAGAACTTTGCCTTCTTCCACCCGGCTGCGTTTTGTCTTGCTCAGATTACGGCTGATATTCCTGTCCTGCTCTTCCAAATTTCGATTTTCTCGATCGTGGTTTACTTTATGGTCGGTTTGACGATGTCAGCCGATGCCTTCTTTACCTATTGGATTATTGTCTTCGCCACGACCATGGTAAGTTTTTCCATTCTCTCTCTACTACGGTGACTGATTTCTCCAGGTTATGACGGCTTTGTTCCGTGCCATTGGTGCTATGTTCAGCACGTTCGACGGCGCGTCCAAGGTTTCTGGTTTCCTCATCTCAGCTTTGATCATGTACACCGGTTACATGATTCACAAGCCGCAGATGCACCCCTGGCTCGGATGGATTTACTGGATCGACCCCTTGGCTTACGGTTTCGATGCCCTTCTATCGAATGAGTTTCACAATAAGATAATTCCCTGCGTGGGATCCAACCTTGTGCCCACTGGCCCCGGTTACATGGATACTGAATACCAGTCTTGCGCTGGTGTTGGTGGTGCCAGGCAAGGCGTGAGCTTCGTCACTGGCGATGATTACCTGGCCTCTCTGTCGTACAGTCACGGACACGTCTGGCGGAACTTTGGTATCCTCTGGGCTTGGTGGGCTCTGTTTGTCGTCGTCACCATCATTTCTACGACCGGATGGAAGGCTGCTTCGGAGTCCGGTAACACCCTCTTGATTCCCCGCGAGCGATTGGAAGGTATTCGCCAGGCCACCCGCGCGGACGAGGAGTCCCAGATTGTTGAGAAGCCTGGTAAGTCGGCCGCCGCTGAAGAGAAGAAGCAAGAGAACATCGACAGGCAACTGGTCCGCAACACCTCCGTTTTCACGTGGAAGAATTTGAGCTATACTGTCAAGACTCCCTCTGGTGATCGTCTGTTGCTTGACGACGTGCACGGATGGGTCAAGCCCGGTATGCTAGGTGCGTTGATGGGTTCGTCCGGTGCTGGGAAGACTACTTTGCTAGATGTGCTGGCGCAGCGCAAGACTGAAGGTACCATCAAGGGTTCTATCCTGGTCGACGGACGTCCGTTGCCGGTTTCTTTCCAGCGGTCTGCAGGATACTGTGAGCAGCTGGATGTGCACGAGCCGTTTGCGACCGTTCGGGAAGCTCTGGAATTCTCCGCATTGCTTCGTCAGCCGCGCGATGTGTCGCGTGAGGAGAAGCTTCAGTACGTCGACACGATTATCGATCTCCTGGAACTGCACGACATTGCGGATACTCTTATTGGTCGCGTCGGTGCTGGTCTGAGTGTTGAACAGCGCAAGCGTGTCACCATTGGTGTCGAGCTAGTGTCTAAGCCCAGTATCCTGATATTCTTGGACGAGCCTACCTCCGGTCTCGATGGACAGTCTGCCTACAACACGGTTCGCTTCCTGCGCAAGTTGGCCGATGTCGGCCAGGCTGTTTTGGTTACTATCCACCAGCCCTCTGCTCAGCTGTTTGCCGAATTCGATACTCTCCTGCTATTGGCCAAGGGCGGTAAGACTGTCTACTTTGGTGATATTGGTGATAACGGCCAAACGGTCAAGGATTACTTTGCGCGCTACGGAGCCCCATGCCCAATTGAAACCAACCCGGCTGAGCACATGATTGATGTCGTCTCGGGCCACCTCTCGCAGGGTCGCGACTGGAACCAGGTCTGGTTGGAGTCTCCGGAACATGAAAACGTGGTTCAAGAGCTGGACCAGACCATCGAAGAAGCCGCATCCAAGCCCCCGGGTACGGAAGATGACGGGTACGAATTCGCAATGCCCCTCTGGCAGCAGACGAAGATTGTGTCGCAGCGCATGTGCCTGGCTATCTTCCGTAACACAGACTACGTCGACAACAAGCTCGCACTGCACATCGGATCTGCTCTGTTTAACGGATTTTCGTTCTGGATGATCGGAGATGGCGTCTCGGACATGCAACTGCGCATGTTCACAGTCTTCAACTTCATCTTCGTCGCCCCTGGTGTCATCAACCAACTGCAACCCCTCTTCCTCGAACGCCGTGACATCTTCGAAACCCGTGAGAAGAAGTCCAAGATGTACTCATGGATCGCCTTCGTCACCGCCCTCGTCATCTCTGAAATCCCCTACCTCATCCTCTGCGCCGTCCTCTACTTCGTTTGCTGGTACTACACCGTCGGCTTCTCCTCCGACTCCGACAAGGCCGGCGCCATGTTCTTCGTTATGCTCATGTACGAATTCGTCTACACGGGTATCGGCCAGTTCATTGCCGCCTACGCGCCCAACGCCGTCTTCGCAGCCCTCACCAATCCCCTCGTCATCGGTACCCTGGTATCCTTCTGCGGTGTCCTCGTGCCCTACGCCCAGATCCAAGAATTCTGGCGGTACTGGATGTACTACCTCAACCCATTCAACTACCTCATGGGCAGTATGTTGGTGTTTGGCGTCTACGACACAGACGTGAACTGCAAGCCCAACGAATTCGCCGTCTTCGACACCCCCAACGGTACTACCTGCGGCGACTACCTCTCTACCTTCATGCAGGGTATGGGCGCGAGCATGAACCTCATCAACCCCGATGCAACCTCCAGCTGCGAAGTCTGCCAGTACCGTCACGGAAGCGACTACCTTTACACTGTGAACCTCAAGGAGTACTACTACGGCTGGCGGGATGCAGCGATCGTGTGTATTTTCGCGATTAGCTCGTATGCTTTGGTGTACTTGTTGATGAAGTTGCGGACGAAGCAGTCTAAGAAGGCTGAATAATTTCTCTTTACTCTTTTCAGTTTATTCGATTGATTGAAAAAATACCCCTAGATGTGTTGTTTGGAGTTGGTTTCATTGATTTCATTTGCTTTTATTTTACTGCGCCACGACTTATGGGTGGCTATGGCTATGGCTAGATGATAGATAAGTCTGATATTATGTATTAATCGGAATAGATGCCCTAGGGCTGTACAGGAATAATAACAAACCCATTCTGAACCATCAATTTATCTGGTCTTAATTAATTTATCCTACTACTGCTGCTGATTTTACTCTTCCAATCTAACCAACTTCGACTTGCTCGCAATCTTCGCTGCCAAATCGCCCACCGAACCACTCGCCAGGATATCCAAGATAGGCACAGTACTCTCCACTTTCTCCGTAATCCAGTTCCGTAGTTCCACCGCAACGTGCGAGTCAACTCCGTACTCTGAGATCGGGTTGGAGGGATCAATAGTCTCAACAGACAGAGACAAATGCGCGGCTATCTTTGCGCTGAGGGCAGAATAAATCACACTCATCGCATCGTCAAGTGTCTTCGCCGCAGCCAGGTCCTCGCGAAGTGTATCCATGGCAGCCGCATCACTACCAGCATCCACAGAATCTGCAGACAAGAACCGACGACGATACCGCGCGAACAGCGGCGCATCAAAATTCGCCAGTGACTTCCCCGACCCCTTCCACTCGCCCAAGCCCGTGATAACCTGATGGAACTCAATCGGTTGTGCAATCGCCATGTCAATCAATGCCAACAGCGTCGGTGTATCAGTCCCCTGGAAGCCCTGCTGTTCCATGGCAGCTGCGAGTCCCTGGTGTTCGGCTACGTATCCTACATCTGTAATCACGCCGAGATCGAGTGATACGGTTCTTAGACCCAGGCTGCGCGAGCGGTAGGATGCAAAGGCGTCCATGAAGGTTGAGCCGGCGGCGTAGGCGGCTTGTGTGGCGTTGCCGATTATGCCGCTGATAGAGGAGAGGAGCAGGAAGAAGTCGAGGTTTTCGGAGGGAAGATGGCAGTGGAGGTTCCAGGTTCCACTGTATTTGGGTTGGAGGACGGAGTGGTAGGTTTCGGAGGTCATTTTTTCGATGTGTGTGTCCTGTGTATGTTAGATATGTATTTTTAATTTTAGTGTATGGGAAGGGACATACTTTCAACACCATCGCCGCTTGGATAACACCTCGGATCGGTGGTACTTGTCGTGCCAACTCAGAAACCATGGTCTGCATTTGTCGACTGTTTGAGACATCGCAGGCGTAAACAATCACCCGGACTCCTCGCTCTTCCAATACCCGCACAGTCTCTTTGGACGACTCTTTCGACAGACCACTCCGGTTCACGAAGATGAGGGTTCTTGCTCCGCGCTCAGCCATCCAGAGTGCAGTTGCCCGTCCGATCCCACCAAGTCCACCAACGAGCATGTACGAGGCGTCTGGATGGAGAAGCAGGCCCGCCTTTGGACGAGTTGCCTGATAAGGTCAGTATGGCTCCTGCCTAGGTGCTTGAAAGACCTACCCTAATTAGATCGTTTGGGGCGGCCGTGATCGTCGTGAAATGAGAAGTGTCAAGGTTGAAAGAGTCCAGCACATTTTTGAGCTCAGATATTTTGAATGACTGTAGTAGTGGCGGGCCTTGCAATGTACGATCATGGAAAAGACCCATCACTTGCCGGAAGGCATCATATAGAACACCAGGTTTCTCTCTCCTCAGCGTCTCGAGAGAAAACACCGCGAACATGGCTTCCTTGCCAAACTGCGATAACCTAATATTCTTCGAGCCAGCACCATCCAACTTTATGAACCGTGCATACGTATTGATCTGGTTAGCCAACAGCTTGATGTCCTGGTCGGAGTCGTTGCAGTCGATGACGACGTCAACATCTTTGCCGGTAGACCTCTCAACCATGTCGGTGAAATCATCCACATCACGAACCAAAATCTGATCCTCTAGTATATTGGCTGTGAAGGAAAGGAACTTTTTCTGTGTCTCGTCGGCAACGATGGAGAAAGTACGCGCACCAGTCTGATTGGCGACTTTGACCATTGCTTGACCGTATGCGCTCGCAGCCCCGTTGATGAGAACTGTATCGCCCGGGTCAACACGAGATAAATAATGGAGAACATAAAATGCCATGCAGAATGGTACAGGCAAGGTAGCAGCAACGTCCAAGGACATGCCAGATGGGATCTTCTGGAATGCCTCCGCACGGTCATGATAGATACTAGCTATTGTGCCGGTGCCTAGACAGACGACTTGGTCTCCAATTCCAAAGCCCTGAACGGCCTTACCGATGGCGTATACTGTTCCGCTGCACTGTCTCCCAATGTTCTCCTCGCCCGGTTGGGCCCTGGTATCATCCTTGGTTACTCCGATGACTTGGACTTTGATTCCGACATAGTCTGGTGGAAGCACGGACGCTCGGGTGTCAGCAACAAAATAGAGCTTCTCTATGCTGCTGCTGCTACCGACAACTGCTCTTAGTGGCCTGTTTGGCTGATAGAATGGCTGGTCCGTGAGTACCCGAGGATTCAACGCTGCCGCAAGATGTTTGTTCAGACGAGGCTCCTCCACAACCCGGGGTATAGACAGGATTCCCCCAGATTCAGAATACTCGGTATCGGCGTGAATTGATTGATTGACAAAGAAGCGATAGTGGAACAGTCTGAATATCAGCTCCGCCGCTCGTTCAGCAGAAAGCAAGTCTCGTGCATCAAGATCCAGGGTGACGATCGGTTCAACACCAGACTCTGAGCGCGCTGTTCGAGCAAATCCCGTAATTATCGATGCATCTGAATCTCTGAGACCTAAAGTACCTCCACCGCGTGTGACCCATAGAACACCGGAGCTTTTCAAGAATAATGACTTGACTGTGTCGAAAGTGGCATCATCTGCGTCGGTCATTGAAGGGGCCAGGATATCACTGAGGACGATGCATAACCGTCCTTCTGGTTTTACATGTGCAAGATCTGTTATTCTTGCTGTGAGATGGACCGTGGAGAGCATGTCTTGCAGATAAGGCAGAGAGACAGAGTTACTCTCTTCAGAGATAATCAGTACCTCCACAGGAGTAACAGCAGGAGACTGTTTCAGTGGGCTGCTGAGAATAAGTGACGTATCATCAAACTCGGCAAGATGGTCAACGCCAGAGAATTGTGCCTCTCGAAGCACCTGATCCCATTCGCCAGGTGGCCATCCAGGAAGACAGCCGAAGATAGCAGACTCAATGAGACCGTCATGCCTATGTGCAGGATCTATAAGGACTAGATGGCTGTCCGGCTTGAGCAGCTGGCGAATATTCTTGAAAACTTGCTCTGTCGATCTAGCAGCGTAGATCCCATGTGGAACGACTATGACATCGTATTGGTGTGAAGTAAAGCCCTGCGGCTCGGGGTCGGTTTCGATATCGAGAATATGGAAGTCGATCCACTCTTCGTACTCAGAAAGATTCTTTGCTGCGTCTTCGAGAACAGACTGGTCCGCATCCGTGACTGTGTAGTTCAAGAAACGAGGCGTGGTATCTCTTCCCTCCGAGAAGAGAATTTGGAACTGCGATTGTATTGCCTTTCCTGTCCCTGTTCCAACCTGCAAGACCGACATGGTGGGGTTCTTGTGACCGACTGCCCGCAGATATATAGCTGCCGAGTCGTAGCAGTTATAGAGGCGTTTATCAAGGAGGCCCGAGCTGTAAAGGAGAGTGGCAGCGTCGACCTTGCCTTGTAGGATGGCGGGGATGCTTTCGCCAACGGCAACTAGAAGTTCGCCCGTCGGACCAGTCTTCAATACTTGCTGGATCTGGGACTCGGTAATTTTGGATTCCATCCATGTGTGCTTTTCTGTGATATCGACAAAGAACTTCCAGATTCCTTGGTTTGTTGGTGGAATCTCTGCATTATTGAAAACCTCGACTGCCTGGCGGATATAATGCAATGCACATTTTTCAAGGAGTCTATTAACTGGCTTCGTCACGCATCCAACGCCCAGCATATATGATATATCATCCCTAGATAGCAGATCTGGATCTATCTGCCAATCTATTCTGTACGCAATACGAGTCTCCTTCGCTGCGGTCTTGGGTGAGTCGCTTGCAAGCCTTCTGCATCGAAGGTCAGAGATAGACACCGCAGTTCCAGAGGTCTGGGCATCGGAGACTTGAATCGAAGCAAGGACATCTTGCTCGCCTTGCTCCCGGACTTGTGTAGACACATCCAGTTTGCTCCCTGGTGCTGTAGTAATATTACTAGACACGTAGATTTCGCCGATGGATATTGGAATAGGTGGTTCTAGTGTGCCATCCAAGGTACCTGGTAGGCCTGGAAAGATGGAATGGAAGACAGCATCCAATGTGCACGGGTGAATTATATATGGATGCTGGTAGTTCATGGGCATCACAGCCGCTGTATTAGGGACAGTGATCTCTGCAATACAGTTGTGTGATACGTAACGGGCTGCTGTCATATTGGCAAACGTTGACCCGTATTCCAAGCCAGCAGCTGCAAGCGTCTCGTAGAATCGTGCAACGTCCAAACTCGTGAAACTGTACCCATTGGCCTTAATTTCTGTGCGGAGATCGATACATCCGGGGAATGCATATTTAACACTGACAAACCCCTTGCAATGCTGTGTCCAACGATTATCGTCTGATGCTGAATAAACATGGAACTCATACGACCTGTCAGGACCATCTGCTGCGCACTCCCTGAGGGAAATCATGACCTCCGTGGATGAAGTTTCGCCGACGACTAGGGCGGACTGTATCGATACGTCCCTCAGCAGATACCCAGTGACAGCTACATTAGACGATGTCCCCGAGATATGCTGTGATACCGCCTCTATCGCCATAGCGATGTACCCAGCTGCCGGATAAACGATATTGGACTGGATCTTGTGATCCTTGAGCCATGGGATCTCGGCCACGCGGATATAATTCCTCCATCGGGGCTCAAATGGACACGACACAGAATCTGATATACCGAGGAGGTCTGTACGTGGGAACTTCCGGTTCCGATAAGCCTTGCTAATTCGCGACTCGGCCCAGTATGACCGGGAATGATTCCACGCATACGGCGGAAGGTCAACGAGGAGATGAAGTTGATCGTTCGTAGGATTATTCAATGCTTTGAAGTCCACCGGGTAACTGGATGCTGCGAGCATCGCCGCTACGGATAAAGCTGTCGATATCGCATTTTGCTTCCGAACGAGGACACTCCCGTAGGAAATTTCAGCAGCAGAGAGCTTTGGATCAGGCTTGAAGATCTGCTTGATAGCACCGGACATAGCAGAGTGTGGCCCAACCTCGATCAACGTATCGACGTTGACTTTTTGTGAACGTTTTGCGCGTTTGGTGTTTGCATTCCGTTGCCTTTGGCCTGTTTCAAAGCAGAGCGTGCGCAAAGAATCAGAGAATTTGACCTGACCAAGTAAATTGCGCACCCAATAGTTGGCTCCGAGCTCAAATGAAAGAAGCTCGGTTCCTGTTACGGATGAGAAGAATGATATTCCTTTGGCCTGGCTATCTGTTTCCCGTGGCTTGACATGAGCGATTGATTCCAGATATTGAGTGGCTATCTGTTCCATATGATGAGAATGGTAGGCGACATCAACTGCCAATCGACGACTGAAAAATTGCTTATCGCTGAGAAGGATTTCGAGCTCCTCGATTGCTGGAAGGTCACCAGAGATAGTCACGCTAGACGGGCTGTTTACACAAGCCACGACAGCCTTACCAGATTGTAGTATCTCCAGATAGGGCTGGACATCTTCTGCGGAAATACCCAGGGCAAGCATGCCACCTTTCTTCAGTCCCTCATTTGCAATTCTACTAGCTGCAACACCTCGATGGTACGCAATCGACATTGCATCCTCCATGGTCAGAGCACCAGCTGCGTACGCGGATGCAATTTCCCCACTGGAATGACCCGTTACCGAGTCGGGGACGATGCCCCAGCTTGCGAGGAGATCTACCAAGGCTATCTGTAACGCAGAGCATAATGGCTGACTGTAGAGAGGATGGCTCAGTTGGGCAGGATCTTCGTTTGTCCAAATCTCATCTGACTCAGTTAGTAACGGCTCTTGATGTGCATATAGCCATGGCTTACCTATAACACTGAACGGAGCCCCAATGTGTTTTAAATACTCATCGATAGCCTCGATAGATTTCCGGAAAATAGGATAGGCACCAAGCAGCTCCTTTCCCATTCCGGGCGATTGAGCACCCTGTCCAGTGAAGACGAATCCAACGGTAGGCTTCTTGGTACTCCTCTTGACCTTAATCTTGCTGGATAAGGCCCCCGCAATCTCAGCGGCCGTTCCGCCAGTAACTGCGACTTTGCATGGTAGTCTTGTGCGGTGGTCATTGAGTGTAAAGGCTAGATTGTTCATAAAGGTATCGTCCGTCAGCGGCTCTCTCTCGAGGAGATATTTGCGTATTTTCTCTGCCTGTTTCGTGCATGAGACATCATCGAAACCAGAAATCATGATGATTCGAGATTTCGAGGACTGAGCATCGTGGCTTGCAGTCCCGTTTGAGGTTGCCACTGGAGATTGCAGTTTCCGGTAGAGTCCGCTCAGACCTCGTCTGGAGAGATATCCCACAGCATCCTCGAGGATAATATGAGCATTGCTACCACCGTATCCGAAGCTATTTACGGAGACGCGATGAGGACCTGGGCTGTCCCATACTTCAGGCTCCAGTTGTATCTTCACTTGTTAGCATAGTCTAGAAACATTGGAGTGAATTCTCACCTTGAGCTTCCACTCATCCAGCAGAATTCGCGGGTTGAGTGTGGTAAAATTGCGGTTTGGGAGAAAGGACCTATTCTCCAGCATGAATACAGCTTTAATCACGCCAGCAATGCCACTTGACCCCTCCAAATGACCGACGTTTGTCTTGATGGACCCAATACGCAGAGGTGTTTCGGGGGCACGGCCTGGCCCAAAAACCCTTGCCAGAGCTGAAGTCTCAATGGGATCGCCCGCTTGTGTGCCCGTACCGTGAGCCTCGACGAATTCTGTTTCACGAGGATCGAGGCCAGCCGTGTTGTACACATCCCGGATCAGAGCTTCTTGTGCGGCGCCGTTGGGTAACGTGATACCAGGGGTGCGGCCATCTTGGTTGGATCCAGAACCTCGGATAACAGCGCGGATAGTGTCTTTGTCTCGAAGCGCATCTTTGAGAGGCTTGAGGATTAAGCAGCCAACCGCCTCGCCGCGAGCATATCCATTCGCATTGTCATCGAATGTATAGCAACGTCCGTCGGAAGATAGAAATCTTACACGTGAGTTAATGATATTGGGTGATCTTTATAGGACAGAAACTTACTTCATCATACTCATGGTCGTCATGAATTCGTGACTGAGGACAATGTTGACACCCGCCGCCATAGCCATCGTGGCATCACCTGTTCTCAAACTCTGGCAAGCCAAATGAAGAGCCACCAAGCTCCCGGAACACGCAGTGTCAACGGTCACACTAGGTCCTTTGAGGTCATAAAAGTACGACACCCGGTTTGCTGTCATAGCACGAGACTGTCCAGCATTTGTGCATTGGTACATGGAGACAGCCTCCGGATCACGAAGAAGAAGGTCGGTATAGTCTGAATTAAAGGAGCCAACGAAACAGGAGGTCTTGGTACCAGTTATCTGGGGGAGGGGGATACCGGCATTTTCGAGCCCTTCATGTACAACCTCGAGAAGAAGTCTTTGCTGGGGATCCATAGACTGTAGTGATTAGCTAAGTACACTAACCTGAATGCATAGCACATACAGCTGCTTCGTCGCTGGTCATATTGAAAAACGGAGCGTCAAACAACGAGATATCTTCTGTAAGGAAATGACCGTCTTGGACATTTATCTGGGGCATTGTTAGTCCACTGGTGACTGACCCTCTGGCAAGTTCCCTCGTACCGTCCCGTGCCTTGAATGGTCTGGATGGAAGAAAGCATCGTTATTCCACCTTGATTGGGGGATCCGGGTTCGTGCTTCACGACCATCGAGTATCATCTGCCAGAGTCTTTCAACATTGGTTGCATCTCCTGGGCCACGGAAGCCCATGCCCACGACGGCTACGGGCATGGACTTATCGTTATTGAGTTCATAGTCGTAGGGCATTGCAAGGGAGTACGATGCAGCATCGAACGTGCTGGACGACATGGTTTCCAAGATTATTAGACTATTTATCGAGAGCTTAAAGTGCGTAGATCTTCATGGCCATTGGAAGAAAAAGGCCAATTTCGAGTAAATACTATATTGATAGTATGATATTTTCCGCTATCGATTCGGGTGAAACGCGAAAATGTACCGACCATAGGTCCCGGTGATATACGGTACAATGTGGGACAGAACTATGATTCCATTGCCAAGGATTTTATATAGATATGAACCAAAAAAAAAAAATAAAAATAAAAATAAATAAATAAAAAAAAAAACCAAAACACGCCGTAGCGTAGGCATCCATAATAAGAATGTCCGCAATAAACGCCGGACTCATCTGGTAGTCAAACTTACCAAGACGGCCAATTTACGAATGGCGGCTGCCATTTGGGCCACGTTCTTTCTGTCTCCCGGGATGTCGTGACCTTTGGAATGGACGATCCAGGTTGAGGTCGGGGAACATAACTCATGCAGGGCCCGTGAATATTCCAATAGCCAATCCTGGGCGCCTGCAATGCTAACTGTCGGTAGGGACAAGTAGCCCTCCAATCCCATGTCAATGACAGGCTTCTCCCCTGGATTCATCCGAAACGGGGGAAGGGAATTGATAAAGATAGCACAGCGAACAAGAGGCGGGTCATGTGGGAATCGCTCGGCGTGTTGTATGAGGAATCCAGCAGCTAAGGTGCCGCCATGTGAGAAGCCAAGGATACCATCGAATGGACCCTCTTCCTCAATGGCCGTATAGAGCTGATCATAGGCGTCCAGGACATCGGAATCATCAAAATCGGAAAAAGACCGGGGAAACTTGTAGTAGCTGTAGTAGGGACCGTCGAAATAACCAGCAATTCCCGGGCCAGGGCCAGAGTCGCATTCGCCTTCCAGGAAATGGAAAGTGGCAGTGTTGTCTTGCCGTAGGTCGGACATTAAGGGTCCTGGTACAGGGTCGAACGATGAGTATGGAATAAACTACCAGAATATTCTGTGTGACATACCCAATTGGGACTGAAGGATCTACGACTGTTAGAGAGAGAACATGGTAGCGCGCATGAACGGACTGACCTTGATGCTGGTTCCCCAGCCATGAAGACAGAGCAACCGTAGGGGCATTTTGGATAGGGAGGCTGTGAGAAAATCACCGGATGGTGAGATTGATGGCGAGATTCCATCACTATCTTTATACCTGCTACATTCAAGCAAATCATGGACAAAGGTGGGCTTCATGGCAATTGCCTGTCGGGGTGTTTTGGAGGTTGTGGGACGAGTGGTGAAGAGAAAACCACCGTGAGTGTCCAGGATGGAGCAAGTGCATTGTGCCTGATAGATGAGAAACAGTGGAGAGCGGAGAGCGGAGAGCGGAGAGCGAAGAGAAGAGAGTAGTATACAGTGAGTAGCAGTAGCAGTGGTAGCAGTGGTAGTAGTGGTGGTGGTGGTGGTAATGTAGAGAGGGAGGTGAGCATCCGGAAGACCGCCAAGACCAACCACGATGACGTCGTTGGAATTCCAAGCAGGGAACCACGACTTCACTACGAAGTACTCCTGTTTTCTCTGCTTCTCTGCTTCTGTGCTGTTTTCTCAACACTCAATTCCACCCTTGGATATACATGCGCACATACAGTGTATCACAGCTAACATGCCGTGGTCATTTGCTCTCCCCCAGGCAGTGTTTGCCTCGCCAATTCTTTCCACGACCAGCCCCCTGGCGGCGGGAATGTTGACGGGCTACCTGGTTAACCGTGAGTGAATAATGCAAGAGAACACCTTGAGAACCTTGAGAACCTTGAGAGTGGTAAGAAGACGCACAGATGCTAATGTCTGACGAATTGAGTGTATAGGAGGCGGCACGACCAAAGCCAAGTATGGCAGCATCCGGCAACCTCCGTTTCGCCCCCCGACGTGGCTCTTCCCTGCAGTCTGGACACTGCTCTACCCACTGATGGGCTACGCTGCCCACCACGCAACGACGACAGGCCTATCAGCATCGACCTTCTCCCCGGAGATCCGTGATTTGACCAAGACCTCGCAGACACTTTACACAGCCCAATTGGTGTTCAATTATTTGTGGATGCCGCTATTCTTTGGACTCCGGCGTCCCGATCTAGCCTTGGCGGATCTGGTCGCGATAGGGGGGAATGTGGCTGGATTGCTGCATCTCTGGTGGCAAATTGACCGGACTGCGTTTTGGATGCTAGTGCCATATGCGAGTTGGGTGGGATTCGCAATGTATCTGAACATTGGCGTTGGATGGTTGAATAACTGGCGGATATAGACCCCTGTAAGTACTCAAGAGTACTCGGAATGATAATCGACTGCCGATCTATTGCAAGCTCAATAGCAATAATTCCGATTGATATCACGTGCGGTCTACGGGCCAGAAATAGAAATGCCAATCCGAAACGAAGTCTAGACCGGGACCGTTTTTATGCGCTTTCTATGTGGTAAGGCTACGTGGGTCTTTTAGTTGAATTGAGAAGCTGTTATATCTGCAGTAGTAGTGGTAGTGGTAGTAGTAATAGTATTCTTTATCTGTGCTTTACTCTACTAACTGAATGCTATCTATACTCAGGGCGTGCATCGATTGCAGACCGTGCATAAATACTGTGCATGCATAAAATGCACGAACAGGCCAATCAGAGATCGCGCTTTGACGTTTGCCACTGTGGAACTGCCAGATCCACCCATTGCGCGTGTTTGATTATTCATCTATACTCCGTTATGCTTCCTTTTGCGCTAGAAGAGTTTTCGTATGCAGCAGTTAGTATGTATAGTAGTGCACAGTAGTGGATAGCAGCAGTAGTGTACAGTTAAAGCTACTGAGATCTAGACCCATATATAGCTATAAAGAGCATGGTATAAAGAACAAAAAAGCCGGCAAAATCACTCAATGGGCTGCAGGCCAGTCGCTTATTGGCTCCACGATGAGATCATCCATGGATCCTCCTATTCTAGACTTTCTGGTGATTTCTCTATATTCACATATAATCTCTCTCCACCCTTCCTCCCCTCTCCTCCTCTCTCCTACCATGTAAAGCCCATAGCCATTCGTTTCCCGCCCTCCCCTTTAGAGTACACTCGTTTCATTCATGTCGCAAGACACCCCTCCCACCCCTCCGACTCCTCCCACTCCTCCCGATCACGCGGACTTCCAGGACCTCCGTCTCAGTCCGGAACACCATGATCATGATCAATTCTTATCCCCCACCCCGACTTTGAATCGAGTCAATTCCATAGAACTGGGCCTGCAGGATGACCGCGAGGGTCTTGCTCACGACCACAATGAGCGCCCTCAACCTCCCGAAGCACCTCCCAGTCAACCACATCGAGGCCTCCGGGTGCGCTTTCGCTCGTTCAGCCACTCCTCCCGGGACCGAGTCGTCTCGGATCGCTCTGATACGTCCTCCCGTCCGTTACTACCCGCTCCCGATCTCTCCCGGGACCTGACGGAGATTTCGTTTGCGGAACGAGAGACTGGAGATGTCGAGCAGGGGAGGAAGGGACAACCAGATCAGCTTTCGCCGTCTAGCATTATCTCTAACCCTTTCGAGTCCAATGAGGGCATCTCCGACAGAACCGGTTCGACCAAAGAACGCTTTCTGGCGGCAGGTCAATTGCTACGACAGAAGACCACGCGGCTCACGGAAAGACTTGGACGTCCGCCTGATGAGGGTGAAGCGCTGGGAGCTTCCCTCTTGCCCGATGATCTCGAAGGTGGCTTGGCCATGGAAAACCTGCCCAATGAGAAGCACCCGATAGAAGAGGAAAAGACGGACGATGAGAGTCCACTGCCTGCCCCCAGTGCGGAGGCTCATCGGCTGGTGCGCACCATGACCCAAGCCCAGGCACGACGACGCAAGCCTCGCCCTGCATACATTCGTTCGGGTCAGAGTACGCCCGAAGGCTCACTCCGCCCGGGCTCTTGGTACGGCTCGAGCCGCAATGTGGGTGGTATCTTAGGCCAATTGCTCCGCCTGCAGGCCACCCAGACGAACAGCAGTAGTACTAGCAGAGAGAGTCTTGTCACAGACACAGAGTCCGACAGTGAGATCTCCTCCGGGGCTGCTACTCCGGGAACCTCGACCCCTGGCGCTGGCACCGTCACTCCCAGTGCTGTCTTCCCCGGTGCTGCGACCCCCGGCACAGCAACCCCCAAGAAAGAGAAGCTGAAATGGTACAAGAAACCGCAACACCAGTCGACAGCCTCCCTGGTTGAGGCGTCGATGAACCTCAGCAAGCCCACTCTTCCGCTGAACGAAGCCTCATTTGCCCCGAAGCCGAAGAAAGGAAAGAAGCGCAAGACCCGCCTGGAGGACGAAATCCGTGTCACGGTACACATCGCAGAGATCATAGCCCGTCAGCGGTATATCATACAGCTCTGCCGTGCCCTGATGCGGTATGGTGCACCTACCCACCGTCTCGAGGAGTACATGAAGATGACTGCTCGGGTGCTGTCTGTGGAGGGCCAATTCCTGTATCTCCCTGGCTGCATGATCATGTCCTTTGACGATCCTGCCACGCGCACGGCTGAAGTCAAATTGGTCCGGATGGTGCAGGGCGTCGATCTGGGCCGGCTGGCCGACACCCACAATGTTTACAAGAACGTTGTCCACGACCTTATCGGCGTTGAGGAGGCCACTCAGGAACTGGATGAGATCATGCAGCGCAAACCGCGGTTCAACAAATGGATGCTTGTTTTCATCTATGGCCTGGCCAGTGCAGCCGTCGGGCCTTTCGCCTTTGGTGCACGGCCAGTGGACATGCCAATCTCCTTTTTCCTTGGTTCCCTCGTGGGGTTCATGCAGCATGTGTTGTCCCCGAAATCCGTGCTCTATTCCAACGTGTTCGAAGTCACCGCTGCCGTTCTGACGTCCTTCCTGGCCCGTGCGTTTGGCAGCATTCATGTCAATGGCGAGCCCCTGTTCTGCTTCTCTGCCCTAGCGCAGTCGTCGATTGCCTTGATTTTGCCCGGTTTCCTCGTCCTCTGCAGCAGTCTGGAGCTCCAGTCGCACCAGATCATCGCCGGGTCGATTCGGATGGTGTATGCCATCATCTATTCGTTGTTCCTCGGTTATGGTATCACCGTTGGTATCACCGTCTATGGGTTAATGGATTCCAGTGCTACGTCACAACAGAAATGTACCAATCAGGACGTTTACGGCAACGAGTACCTTCAGCACTTCCCGTTTGTCCCGATCTTCGCTGCGTTCCTCGCCGTTATCAACCAGGCGAAGTGGAAGCAGATGCCCGTGATGATCCTCATCGCCCTTTGCGGCTACATCACGAACTACTTCAGCACCAAGAAACTCGGAAGCAATTCCGAAGTCGCCAATACCGTTGGCGCATTTACCATTGGCGTGCTTGGGAATCTCTACAGCCGTGTCTGGCACGGTCATGCCGCGACGGCCATTTTACCGGGTATCTTCGTCCTGGTGCCGTCAGGACTGGCATCCAGTGGCTCCTTGATCGCGGGCCTAAAGTACGCAGATCAAGTCCGGGATAATCTTCACACGTCCGGGGACAGCAACATCTCCTCGACCCAGGACACCTCGCTGGCGAGCCTGGGTTTTGGAATGATTCAAGTCGCTATTGGAATTACGGTTGGATTGTTTATTGCCGCATTGATTGTTTATCCGTTTGGGAAACGACGGAGTGGATTGTTCAGTTTCTAATGTGGATATGGTTGGTTTACCCGAGTATATATTTAGACGATTTGCATGGTTTATGTTTGGGGTTTTGTTTTTTTTTTTTTTTTTTTGTTTTTTTATTGGCGCAGGGCGATAGAGCAGTTTAAGAGGACACATACTTGGCGATTTGTTTGTAAATGTAGCATACTGACGGCGACGCGATATGTTTGGCTTTTATGGTTTAATGAGCGAGATACCATTTGAATCAACACCACAGCCTTTTAGCAATATCTTCGATCACAATAATCCGGCGACATCATGAGTAATCCGCGGAGTCATAATCATGAACTCCCTAGCGACTCCATACTGACATGAACCCAATCCTGAGTGTCGGTAGGCTCCAGAAACGCTTCTGCATCACCAACATGCTTGAAAACATTCCCAGGAATCCTTGTCACCTTATTGCCGTCCCGGAAATGTACCAGGCACGGCGCCACCTTGTATTGCTTAGAGTGACACTCCCGTAGCTTCGCGCCTTCTGCCTCTGAGCCGACAAAATATGCGTATCCCTTCACCTCTTCTGCCCGTGGACCGTCGATCAACGCTGGTAGATTATTTTTTCTTGCTACCGTGTACCCGACAATATATGCTTCGTGGAGCTTGGGCGCCTCGTCCAGGTTCAGGATTCGTTTCAGCGTCGCAGGATCAGTCATCGACCCGTAGAAAAAGTAGTATACGGGATATTGGAGAAGAGAGATATGTGGACTGTGCGGGATGTTCCGATGTCTGGCTAGCATGATCTCTTTTAGAGAGGGCATGTTGCTGGCGTGCGTTTCCTCCTTCCGGTGCAGATGCAATATTTTCAGTGAAGTGGGATGGTAGTTGTGTAAGTAATATGTAGAAGTGAATATGACAAGTCGATGAGGAAATGGGTGCCTCATATGGGTTGGCCTGAGGGCTCTTCATTTCCTTAGTTTTCTGGCTCTTCATCTTCATCTGCATCTCCGTCTTTTGTCCCTTAACGTTCATCCATTAGTCCAATAACTATTGCATATCAATATATCGTTCTTACAGCATCTCCGTAACAATCCTACATTGATTCCCTATTCTCGAGATTTCAGTGGCATCGATCTAAGGCTTTATATTATCCTTGAATAGCACACAGCAAACATTATAAACATTGCGCAGACCACGCAACTGTCACGTTTGAGATAAACAGCCCTGGATGCTGGGGCTCGTTCTTATAAACCAGTCACCGCGAACCGACTCCCTGAGAGTGATACTACTCTCCAAATAACGCACCGTGTGAGTGATTGCCTTTATCAGGAGGATTGCGCAGATCGTTGATGTGCTTACAGGGGGGATGAAAGTAGTCCCAAGAGCAGCTTTATTGCCTCTAGCTCAGAGGAAAAGAGGAGTTGTTCGCCCGGGGATTTCCTAAAATGACAGAATTACGGCAAACAAAGATCGCAGCACATGTGCACGTCTCAAAGGCCACTGGATGCACACGCCTGTTAGTCTGTGGAGCTATCCTAGATTCTGAACTGGCCTTCGAAGCCGCGATAGTCCACAAGCACCGCAAGGATACATTTGCAAGAAGCAACTGGATAGACAACGAGCCTCCGAGAAACAGGCCCAAAGACATGACGATGACTTGGATCAAGCGAACTGTCATCCTGGGTGAAGTTCTAAGCTTCAGGGACCATACTGATTGAAGCATTAGGGCTGGAAATATCTCCCAAATCGCGAAATCAGAACTACAGAGTTTCGACGCAGGGCCCCATGCACATTGGCGGAAGCCTGATGTGAACGGGTGTAGCCTCACGATTTATCCTAGCGGCTAGCTCCTGAATTATGTTGTTCAGTATCAGAGAATTAGCGGCGGCTTGGAGTGCTCCTCGAGGGTTCTCACTTCAAGACCATGCAAATGCCAAAACTGTTCAAACACGGCAGCTTCAACACCTGGGACGAACCAGTCCCGGTCGGAGCTCTTGAATAAAACCAGGAGTGCTGACGAGATGCGTAATTGCTGCTGATAGAGGGGAACATATTCAAGCATTCTGCGTAAGCCGTGTTTAGGAGTGCGCTCAACACCGCATGGAAACTCTGGGCGATACCCCCGCTCGATTCGATTTAATACGTCAATAAAAACTAAGCCATTTATGATATAGTAATTTTCACAATTATGAAGCCATGAGACTATTTGATCTTGTGTAGTTTTTGTAGGTTATGTACGGGCTTTGCATCATTTCCAGGCTTGCTGAAATGCGTGGCATTTGAAGCAATCCAGAATTTCCAAAATCCCAGCACTGTCAACATCAATAGAGAATTACTCCTCCTCCAGCTGTCAAGCGGGTTGTGGCAATAGCTCCTTCACGGTGTCTCCAAACCCTACCATACAAATAGTGGCCCATGCTGCCACTCCAATCCGAGGCGCAACCCCTCGGAAAAGACCCTTAACGCCCGATGTTTTGATAACGTGCGTGAAAGTCGAAACAATAGTTGGGTATGCAGGGCGCGTTGGATCATTTTTCATGGACTGCATTTCCACCCGGAGGACCTACGCAGAAGTCAGTTTACTGGACAATGAGATTTGACATCTGGTTTCGCTACCTCAAATGGCTGGTTCCAACAACTCAGCGCACCACCAATAGTCGACGCGAAGATTTTCTCTCCAAACCGCAACTTTTCCTGTTTAGACTTTCCCGTGATACTCCGAATGGTCTCTTCGGCAAATCGAGAAATCCCAATCCGTGAGGACCATCCGGTAATCTGGCGGAGAGCCACGGCATTCACACCTTTATACACACCTTGGATGCCCTTTTCTCGGAGGATTTGAACAAATACACGCATTGGACTGGAAGGTTTCTTGCCTGACTTGGATACTTCCTTAGATCTTGTTACTTCGACAGTCTTCATGCAAGTCGTCACGCCCATTGTCAAGTATGCTTGAGCAAAGCCTCCACTGATGCCACCGAGGGCACCACATACGGTGGGCGAAGCATTGAGCTTCATTCGTGCATGGTGCTCAATCTCCGTAGAGGTTAATACTAGGATTGCTCCTTTAGTGCACGCTTCTAGCCAAGCCTATGCAGGTCAGTCATGTGCGCATATGCAAGACGAGATGCACATACCCAGGGAATTAATCCCTGATAAAACGCTGTGAAACCTCCACGCAACCACGTTTTTCGCACGCCGTCCTTTAATGTATCGTGTCTATTGGCTGCAAGCTGTATCCCTTAGTAATTTCGTCGTTATACTTTTGCGGCTGCATACATGTGTCTTGACAACTTCCATCGGTTGACCCAGACTCGTGACTACTCTGTCAGCCTCTAGTAGGAATATTCGTTCACTTGGCATACCTTGAAAGACATTCATTATGGCCCCGACTCCGAGATTCCGGTAGGGAATAGCTCTCCGTTCTCGAGTAACGCCATTTCCGGTGAGCCTGGGTCGATGAACTTGTAAAGCCATTGCATAAAATTGTTTTTAACAATTCGAATAATCGCGATAGACAGGCTATCTTGTGATCCTTCGGGCTGCCATAAAAATGACAGGACCGGAAGCATCCGAAGTGATCATCGGCCTTTTCCGATGGGCCTATCGGGTTGTATAACCGGCGTCCAGAAGAAGTGGAGATGATAGCAGGATAATAGTATAGAAGTCCCTCGATTCTCATCTCTAGCTAGTTGCCTTTGCTTTCTGGGGAGAGGCAACTTCACTATGAACAGTTCGCACCGCACCGCAATGTCTCTCACGCAACAAGAAACGAAGATTACCACCCCTAAGCACTGCCCAGCATCCGAGTATGTCTAATCACAAGTTTATAGAAAACACTGACAGCCTCACCCAGATCCCACCTACTACCTTCTGACTCCTTCGACACTCATGTACATGTGTTTGATCCCAGGCTAGGATCATACGCCACTGGTCGCGCATACACCCCAGACGATGCCCCGCTGGAAAGCCTACTCGCATTCAACAAAAGTATTTCGGTCACTGGAAAATTGGGAAAGATAGTTCTCGTTCAACCCTCTCCGTACAAGACAGATTGCACGGTGTTGATGCGGTGCCTCCAGGGATTGCAACGTGAAGGCCATAACGCTTATGGCATCGCCGTCATCAATGTCGATACCGTGTCAGACCACATGCTCAGAGGAATGCACAAGCTCGGCGTAAGGGGAATACGGTTGAACTTTCAAGCGGATGGCAAAGAATTCGACGTGCTCAGCACAGTTATACAATTGCAGAAAGCCGCCCAACGGATCTGTCATCTTCCAGGATGGATGATCCAGCTCTTTGTTCCCTCTTGGACTTGGGATAGTAAGTAACTTGCTATTGTCAGACAGTTTTGACGGTAGTGATGCGAATTCCCGGTAGTTTTTCATGGTTGCATCCGAACCCTACCTGTCCCCGTTATCGCAGACCATTTGGGCGGTATACTGGGCCCTTCAAAACTCCCGCCACAACTTCGAGACGTCCCATTATCGCAGCCTGGTTTTCATTCTCTCTTGTCCTTGGCCAAGCAGTCTCGAGTATTCATCAAGATCTCCGGGTTGTATCGGGTCTCCGCACTGAACGAGTCGCACTTCGACGACGCTCGACCAATTATACAAGCGCTTGCACGCGAGGTTCCCTGTCAGCTAATTTGGGGGAGTGATTGGCCACACACTGGAGATGGTAGCAATCGTCTCAATCGGGATATAAACGTCAAAGAGCCGTTTCAACCAATTGATAACGAGGCCATCCTGCGGAATGTCAAGAACTGGTTGACTGACGAGGCGTGGCAGAAGATGTTGAAGGACAACCCTGGTCGTATCTTCCATTAGTTAGCTCTCTATTCCGCCGATATCTTTAGCGATTAGGACAGATTCATGGCCATGCAGAATGGTTCTTTTTTCACCAATCTAGGGCCATAGTGATTAGTAATACCACGTGACTGGCTGCCAATAATCGCCGTAAACCGACGACGTTGTCTTCCAACTCTCTTCAACGAGTGCAAATCTCATTTCATTGGTCAGAAGGTAATACTTGGAATGTCAATGGGGTAGAGTCGTCATGATAATTCATCTCTAAAGTCAACTACCCCGTACAAGCACCAGGGAATGCCTTGACGCGTCCATTTGTCCACCCACTGGGCAGCGTGTCAGAAGCCATGTCTGAAGATAGCACCGCGAGCAGCTCGCCCTTCGCTCCTCGGCGACATCGCCGTGGGCTGACTCGCATTGCTGCTGCCTGTGAACGCTGTAGGCGTCGGAAGCAAAAGGTACTATCTCGCTCCAGAGATCGAACAGTGTGCTAACACTCTTATAGTGTGATGGCAGAACTCCGACATGTGGTGCATGTGATACTGCTGGCGCGAGCTGTATTCCATCAGATCGGCTAGTAGTGCGCCAATCAGATAGCGAGCGAGACGTGTTACGTTCCCAGTTGGGACATCTGCAGCAACAGCACAATTCACTGTTGCAACAGTTTGACCAGTTACGAGCTGAGGTTTCTCGACGTGATTCTGTGAGTGTGTCAGACATGGCTTCTCCAGAGACTTTGGCTATAGTCCCCCCTTTGTTGCAACACCATGGCCGGGTGCTGAATTTGGACATCCCCTACTCTGGTCGTATCCTGCGGCCTACGTTTTCCAGGCGATCAACTGTCAGAGACCTGAACTGGAGTGCGCTAAGCAGCGCTTGGGATCTATGGGGAGATGATACAGCACCAAATTATGTGTCTCAGGCGTTCTCCATCCCAGTGGACTTTGATGTGAATGCATACAGGAGCCTGGTGAACACTTTTTTTGACTGCAGATGGCCATATTTACCGGTCCTCCACCGTCCATCATTCACCACGAAGCACTTGAATCCATTTCTCTCCAAGTCAACAAAAAGTTCTATATCCAATTTTATGGTTAATATGGTCTGTGCTGTTGCGGCGACTGAAAAATCGTGGCTTCAGCATGAGGACGGCCAGATTCATCGGGCCTTTTTCGGTCGTGCTGTACAGGATTTGCACATAGTAATTGGCAGTGATGACCTAGAATGCGTACAATGTCTGTTGCTTCTATGCATGTACGGGCATAATGAACCGCAATCTGTGAATATGTGGTATACAACGAGCCTTGCCCTCCAATTGGCCATTGGAATTGACTTGCACCGCAAGGAAAGCCTGACCTCCCAGAGTTTACTTTGCACAGAGATGTCAAAACGAGTCTTCTGGTGCTCGTATGTTATGAGTTGCAATATGGCCATCAACATGGGCCGGCCCTTGGGGATCCACGAATCCGACATCACAACACCATTACCGCTTCCATTGGCTGACGACCAACTAAGTGACTCATGCGTTCACCCTACTCTCTCCCAGGCGGCCATATCTCAAGTTCCAGATACGTCGGCTTTCATTCACATTATTCAGCTACGGAAAATCAATGCGGCAATATACCATTCCTTCCACTCGATAGGACGACGCACCAATGATTCCCAGGAACTAGACTCGCTGCGAAAACGGTACTTTTCTGAATTGAATCAATGGCTCATGACTGCACCACGGTATCCCCGACCGTTTTGCACTTTCCAAACCAATGAGTGGTTCCATATCGCTTTTCACCATGCAACATTGTCCCTCTACCGCCCCTCTCGGGCTATTCCAATGCCATCGTCTGAGGACCTTCGGATTTGTATGGAATCTGCGATTGGCCTGATAAGCTCATACAGCTCTCTGTATGCAAGAAACCGGATCAAATATACGTTCGTGGCCATACATTCCCTGTTCATGGCGGCTGTTGCGATGCTTTACGCTCTCCGGGCTTCTCCGCCACTGCGGCAGGAATTGACACATCCGGTTGTACAAACTAACATAGTCACATTTCTCACCCTTTTTCGCGGGATTTCAAATGGCCGGGCCGTAGGGGAGAAATGCTCCCGGATAATTGAACGGTTGGGTAATTCTATTCTGTCGCTATTTGATGATACAACCATACCGAGTGCCGAAGTGGACACCGAGTTCCAATCGTGGTTTGGTCTCCAGACTCATACGTTTTCTACTGCCACAAAAAGTCAGCATGGAGGGCTGCTGGATAATGCGACTCCACAATTCCCCGAGATCGACCTTCCATGGGCAGATCTGTTCGTTGAGGGCATCGACATGGGCTCTACTGATGTTTCGGGATTTTTCTGTTGATCTTACACATGATACTATTTCAAACTTTGACAATGGATGATAGACTGCATGGACGTATTTGTTATGACTACCATCCAATATAACCTTCAATATCCAGATTGACACTTGATTATCCTCTAACACTTCACGCTGTTGCACAGGAAAAGCTAATATTGTTGCACCTTTTCAACCCACGTAGATTCGGGCTTCTCGTCACCCTGTGGACTTTCCCTTCTATTGGATGTCAGCATCCATTCTCAAAGGGGTCAAGGACACTTACCGAGTATCCAACGGCCGTCCCAGCATGTACAAAGGCCGTTCGAAAAGTGCATTAATTTCCTCGAGCCCAAGTCCAGTAGTTTCGGGCACGAGGAAGTACGTATACGCGAAAGCCAACACACAGAATCCAGCAAAGAGCACAAAGGCTCCCCATTGATCCAATCCAGATAGTAAAGATGGTGTAGCCTTTGTGATAGCGAAATAAAAGGCCCAGTGGAAGCATTGCGAGATAGCGCCGCCAAATGAGCGGATGCGGTTCGGCCATAATTCAGCGCCGAATAGATATGGCATGCTGTAGAGGCCCATAGCCCAGCCCAGAGCATGGAGGAATATCATCGCGATTGCCGCATCGGATGCACCTTTCGTCACACTAGAAGAATCATGAACGTAGATGTTCAAGTAGCCCACTAGGTAGGAATGGCATATGACTTGGATGCTAACCCCCAGCATCAATGATCGTCGACGGCCTGCGAGATCAACCAAAATGAGAGAGGCAGTAATACAGCAGACGAGCTTGGTGAGAGCGTAGAGCCCAGTCGTATAAAGCTTGACGTTCGACCCAGTGACACCGACCATACCGAAGATCGTGGGAAGGTAATTGGTAATTGAGTTGGCACCGGACATTTGGGCCAGGGTGTAAGCTGTTATAGTAAGTTGCAAGCGACGCAAATTTGAACGAATGGTGAGGGTCTCCTTGACAACTCGCCAGGAGCTGTTAGATTCATTTTCCTCGGTCTCAGATGTCATGCCCTGGTATTCGTCCTGTATGTACTTATCGTGGGATGGAAGACCACGCAGACGAACAAGAGCTGTCAGAGCTGTATCATGTCTGTTTAGAAGGACTAGCCAGCGAGGAGACTCGACTATGAATAGCGACATAGTGCAACTGATGGCCGGAGCGAAAGTCTGCACGAACCAAGGAATTTGATACTGCAGGTCCTGTTCACTGGAGATATGGATGGAGCAGCCATATACAGTGAATATTCCCAACATCTGCCCGGACAGCATACACACACTGAACCACATTGTCATTAGTCCTCGTGTCGTCTTCGGAGCTATTTCAGCAATGGCCATCGGTGCCAGTACCGATAGGGCTCCGATACCCAAGCCGGCAGCGATACGGCCAGCGTATAGTGCAGCGACATGGCCATACGATAGGCAGGAGATAAGACTACCGGCAACATAGACGAGTTGATATGTCCGCAGTGACCAAATCCGGCCAATTCTGTCGTTCAGCGGAAAGGAGAGAAGGGCACCGACGCCGGCTCCGAGATTGACAAAGGAGACAAGATTGGAGATAGTATTGTCGTCGAGCTGGTAGGTGCTTTTGAATGCCGGTAATTGGGAAATAGCTGATGCCGCTCCTTCGTCCCATCCTGCGTATATCCGTTATTGGTATTATGACGTTCATGATCCATAGACATACCTTTGGCACAACCTCCAAGGGCAAAAGAGCAAACTGAGAGAAATAGGTTTCGATTGTAAATCTCCCTAGGCGAGTCTTTGATTGCACGTATGTATTTCGAGAGAAATAATGGCTTTTGATCTACCATGGTGAATAGTTCCTTTGCAGGATATATATGTATTGGCAGGCAAATGAAGCTCTACTTTGGACAATCTAGGCTTTCCATTTTCATATCTTAAACAATGATATACTATTTCGCTTTCCCCGCACGTCATACCCCATATTTGCAAACCCGGGGGATATTCATCAACTCATCGTGGTGCTGCGTAATACTACGGATGCATCCGATGATAGTCTTGGATGCTCCGATCCTCCACTACCCCGAGCAGTTTTATTCGCACTCTTTACCCCAACACCAAAACAGAGAACATCAGCCATCTCCATGTTCAGACCAATCCTTCGTGCCTCTCCTCGAGGAATTTTCTCCACTCCTCGCCAGTTGCGCACACTGACCACAAAGAAACAACATTCCCTCCCCGCCGCTTATTACCGCGGAGGAACTTCCCGCGCCGTTTTCTTCAAGCAGAGCGACCTCCCGCACGACCGAGCGCAATGGGATCACATTTTTCGCAGCGTCATTGGTAGTCCTGATCCTTATGGTCGTCAGCTGGATGGCATGGGAGGCGGCATTTCCAGTCTCTCTAAAGTCTGCGTGGTCGGCAAATCTACACATCCCAATGCCGATGTGGACTACACCTTCATCGCATTGGGCGTTTATACGCCTGAAGTTGACTATTCGAGCAACTGCGGCAATATGATCAGTGCTGTTGGTCCTTATGCCGTCGATGCAGGTCTCTTTTCGACTACTGGTGGTTCCAACTCAGTGGCAGTGCGCATTCACAACACCAACACCGGCAAGGTCATTCACTCCTCGTTTCCCATTGTCGATGGAGAGGCCGCAACAAGTGGCGACTTTTCCATTGATGGAGTTGCGGGCACAGCAGCCCGCGTGCAGTTGGACTTTGTTGATCCCGCTGGATCCCGGACGGGCAAGCTTCTTCCCACAGGGCAAGTTCGGGATACATTCGACGGCGTTGTGGCCACCTGTATCGACGTCGCAAACCCCTGCGTATTTGTCCGGGCAGCTGAATTGGGTGCTCCGGGGAACATGACACCGGACGAGATTACGGTGCATACCAATTTGCTGCCGCGTCTGGATTCTATCCGCCGCCAGGCAGGTGTCAAGATGGGTTTGGCCGAGACGCTGGAGAAGGTGCCAGGCAGTGTTCCCAAGATCTGTCTTGTTTCTTCACCGGCCAACGATGCCCGGGCCAAGGAGCAGAACCAAACGGTTGAGAAGGTTGATCTTGTCGCCCGTGCTCTGTCCGTCGGCCAGCCGCACAAAGCAGTGCCTATCACTGTTGCGTTGGCTCTGGCATCTGCTGCGCGATTGCCGGGTAGTACGGTAAATGAAGTCGCGAGCACTAATCGAGTTGATGACGCTGGTGTTACGATCGGACATGCTAGCGGAAATCTACTAGTTGGGGCGACGTTCGATGAGAATGGTGGTTTGAACGCTGCTACAGTGTTCCGGACGGCGCGCCGGGTATTCGAGGGTCGGATATTCTGGAAGAATGAACCGCGAGCCTTATCAGATAAAGATGGCAATTGTAAATAACGAACCAACCACCGATTTGCGAATTCTCCCACTCCCCATAATAGTACTCGGATCAACACTCAAGGATGCGTTAATTTTTCACTATTTTCATGGAAAATGCCTCTATCTCAAGAAAGTCGGATTCAAATGGCTATGAGCGCCTACAAAAATAGAAAATCTAAATCAATATTGAAGGCTGCTGAGATATATAGTGTGCCTGAATCTACTCTTCGATATCGGCTCAAAGGCAATAAATCACGTTCAGAAACACGTGCAAATGGCACATATTAACTGCTTCTGAAGAGGAAACACTTACAAAACATGCACTGGAGGCAGATAAACAAGGATTTCCAGTCCGACCAGAGTTCCTGCGTGGAATGGCGCATATATTACTTCGTGGGCGTTTACAAGATTCTACTACAGGACTTGGAGTCAACTGGGCGTACAAATCTATTAAGCGCCATGAAGAGCTGCAGACACAATATAATAAAAGGATTACATACCAGCGTGCAAAGCAGGAGGATCCAAGAGTTATTCAAAAATGGCTTGAATCAGTCTATGCATTTATCCAGGAACATGGTACCCATGAAGATGGTATCTGGAATTTTGATGAGACTGACTTTGCAATAGGACTCTGCTCAACTTCAAAAGTGATTACTGCAGTTGAGCACAGTGAGAAACCTCGTACAGTTATACAGGGCAACTGTGAATGGGTCACTGTTATTGAAACCATCAGTTCAAAAGGAATCCATATACTGCCAGTGATAATACTCAAGGCAAAAAATCAGCAAGCTGCCTGGTGTAAAGATCCCACACTTTCCAAAGATTGGTAAATTGCAACAAGTGAGAATGGCTGGACGACAGATATCATTGGTCTTTGTTGGTTAAGAGAGGTTTTCGAACCATACTCCAGGCGCTATTCAACTGGTGCAAAGCGGTTGCTTATTCTTGATGGCCATAGTAGCCATTTGACTGCAGAATTCCATTATATCTCTCTGCATGCCTACACATGCCTCTCACCTCCTGCAACCACTTGATGTTGGTGTTTATGGTCCCCTTAAGCGTGCCTATGGGAAGCTTCTCGAGGGACAAATGGTTGCAGGCAACAATCATATTGACAAGGAAGACTTTTTATCCTTATATACAGAAGCACAGGCAAAGGTGTTTACCCCAGGCAATATAAGCAATGGCTTTGCAGGGGCTGGGTTTAAACCAATTGATCAAGACCAGGTTCTTGTGAAAATTACATTTCAACTTCAGACATCAACACCGTTAGCCCTAGTTGAAGGCCCAGTCTCTGCTTTTTAAACTCCGCAAAATATTCACCAGCTTGGTCATGAGATCTGCAGCTTGCAGAGGAGTCTCAGTGAAAGAAGGCGAAAGCTCTCCAGCAGCCAATGGCTCATATCAATCGTCTTGAGAAGGCTGCGCAGATGGCAATGAATATGAACCTTCTTCTTTGAGATGAAATTAGGACTCTTCGAGCTGGAAATGAGATAAAAAACTGAAAAGAAAGCAAGGAGATGTGGTATTCTAGGGGAAAACACTATTCTATCTGTAGAAGAGGGCCAAAATCGGACTCAGCAGCTTGATATACAGGCTAACGGGCAACCTGATGAGCCTACACATGTGCCTTGAAAGAGAGCTCCACAACGCTGCAGTGGTTGTGGGACTATTAGACACACTATAAAGAACTGTCCCAGTAAATAGCTATATATTCAAGTCACTGCATAATAAAACCGTTAAAAATTGTGGTTGAAATAGCTCGATAATCATGGTGGGGATACGGCTTTCTCAGGCAACGTACAAGAACAATCATGATTCAACGTAACTATTCTACTACATCATTTCTCTTTGCCATCATATTCAACGCACTTCCTGCCTTGAAGTACTCAATCTGCTCCTGTGTAAACGTATGCCATAGTATAGAATCCCATGACTTTCCGTCAATTGACTTCACCTGCAGCGTCAAAGGCTTGCCTGGCGCCAGCTCTACCAGTCCGATGATACTAACTTGATCCGACGCCCTGATCCGATCATAATCAGCCTGATTGGCGAACGTCAAAGCCAACATTCCCTGTTTCTTCAGGTTTGCCTCATGAATCCGAGCAAAACTCTTGGCGATAATCGCCACACCCCCGAGATATCTTGGTTGCAGGGCTGCGTGTTCGCGCGAAGAGCCCTCGCCGTAGTTGTGGTCCGCGATAACTACCCAGGGATGGCCTTGAGCTTGGTAATGACGGGCGGTACCAGGGACATCACCATCTTGTTGAGTGAGCTGGTTATGAACCGTGTTAACCTTGTCGTTTTCCGCATTCACCGCGCCGATCAAGGTGTTGTTTGAGATGTTCTCGAGATGACCTCGGAAGCGGAACCACGGACCAGCTGGAGTGATGTGGTCTGTAGTACACTTGCCTTTGGTCTTGATTAGGATAAGGCAATTCTTGAAGTTATTTCCGGACCAAGGGGCAAATGGTGCGAGTCGCTGCAGTCGCTGCGAGGACGAGTCAATCTGAACATTTAATCCTCTACGATCACCCGGTGGAGGTGCTTGGTAGGCAGCATCGGAGTACAGATAGCCCTGTCCAGGAAGAGAATCGCCTGTAGGAGGGTGGAAGCGAAATTCCTCTCCAACAGGTGTCGTTAGTGTGTCCACGCTGGGATTGAAGCCAAGGTTTTGCGAAAAGACCTTGGCCATGACAATTTCCGGCGAAGCGAGGAATATATTTGTCTTGGGATTCGAATCAAGACGACCCGAGAAGTTTCGATTGTAGGACGTGATAATAGAGTTACTTGTGCCCTAGCCATATGGTTTAGCTCGATGCTCGCGTGGATAGTAGCACTGGAAGCTAACCTTGGGTGTGTCGGTTCGATCCCACGAGCCACAGCAAGGACCGCAAGCATTTGGTAGCATCTTGACCCCAACTTCCTCAAATATCTGCAAAGTCCCAGACCTTTCCAGAGTCTCACGTGTCTGCAGACTACCCGGTGATAGCAGAAACGGCATTGTAGGGGTCAATCCGACAGCGACGGCTTGTTGCGCGATACCTGCGGCCCGGCTAAGATCTTCGAATGATGAATTCGTGCACGAGCCGATTAAGCCAGCTGTCAATGTCTCTGGCCAACTTTGTTCTTTTACTGCCTGACTAAAACGAGACAGTGGCGTGGCCAAGTCAGGAGTGAAGGGTCCGTTGATGTGTGGTTCTAACGTGGATAGATCAATGTCGATGACTTGATCATATTCGGCATCCTCGTCGGCACGCAGGTCATGTGAAATAGACTCAATAGCCTGTGCCATATCGGGACGGTGGTTGGCGTGGAGGTATCTAGTCATGGAGGGCGAATGAGGGAATATCGATGTAGTCGCTCCCGTCTCTGCGCCCATATTGCAGACTGTGGCCATCCCAGTGGCCGAGAGCGTCTGGACCCCGGGCCCAAAGTACTCGATAATTGATCCGGTACCCCCTTTAACAGACAGGATTCCAGTTAATTTGTTGATTATATCTTTGGGAGTCGCCCATCCGGATAGTTTGCCATTCAGACGCACTCCCAACACCCGTGGCGCCGTCAACTCCCATGGCAGTCCAGCCATGACATCAACGGCATCTGCGCCCCCAACACCAATGGCAATCATGCCCATTCCACCAGCATTGGGGGTGTGTGAGTCAGTTCCTACCATCATACCCCCGGGGAAGGCGTAATTTTCTAGTACAATCTGGTGGATAATGCCCGCTCCGGGCATCCAGAATCCCATGTTATATTTCTGACAAGCGCTCTCCAGAAACTCGTAGACTTCCTTATGCACATTCAGCGCACGAGGAAGGTCCTGAGCCTCGCCATCGCGACTCACTATCAAGTGATCGCAGTGTACGGTTGTCGGCACGGCGGATGTATCCAGGCCAGCGGACATGAATTGGATTAGAGCCATTTGCGCCGTGGCATCTTGACACGCAATGCGCGTCGGACGCAATCGCAATTGCGACGTTCCGCGCGTGATGGGGTCGTCGAACTCATCGTCCAAGTGGCTATACAGGACTTTTTCGGCATAGGTTAAAGGGCGTTTCAATCTGCGAAATTAGTGCTTGTGCCGAGTAGATTCCATGAGACTTACCGACTCCGCCAGAAAGCAGCTTTTTGCGTAAATTTGTATAGATTGATATGCTTGTTTGGTTCGAGTCGACTCAGTGAGGCCGTAGCACGGGCATGGGTGGCTAACCCTCTTCGGAGAAATCGAGTCAACATTGTTACCTGTTCAAGTTGCAGATATGGTACCAATCATGAAGAATGAATATCAAACCTCTTCATGCTCTTTATGGTTTGCTGCTTACAGGTACTAGAAGTCGTCATCGGATACTTCCGTGGACATCGGGTGCTCCGATGTACGCCGCGGAATACATGATATATCACTCATATCCAATGCAGGAATGCAGAGTAGACAACGGCAGCTATGGTTTCTGTCTTGTGCTATCATTCGCATCAGTCATTGTAGTTTACAGGCTATGCTCGAAACAATGTAATGCCCTTTCAGATCTGCGACAGACATTGAGAAGACATGCTGGGACTTAGTTGACAGCTGTTGGTCCCTCTTGCCCAGCTTCCAATGGGTCAAATATGTTCCGCTTTCTCGCAATATTTTGCAAACCTGCTTCAAATACAGGGTTTACTTTATGGCAAGCCTTCCAACTCCATCCCCGATCCTCAGATCAACCCCATATTCTAACAACCACCGGACTTCAGCCACCAGGTCTAAGCCGCTCATGTTAGTCAAAGCAAAGGGCGGAGTGCCCCGAGCCCGAACACCTGGAGCATTTCCCAAAGATTTGATGCCGGTCCCCATGTTGAGAGTGTTCCATTATGCTAATACGGCTATCATGACTATCACGAAAGAGTGTATAATGCACGGCCATACTGTTTCTAATGTGGGCACTGTGCTCAATAATGATCTCAGTACTGGCTTCACTTGCAGCAAGTTGCAGCATTCGTTCAGGAATGGCCTTCGTGTCCTTGGTCGGAAACCAACGAAGAAGTGCTGGATCATGATGTGTAATGACCTCCCTAAATATAGTTGAAGGGTTATGAACACGAGAACTTACATCAATGTTGATTCTCGATTGACAAGGTTTAACTCTCAACCCCATTGTTCAGAAAAACTCCCAGACTTCAGGTGATTGAATGAACCCCACTGTTCCATAACTAATGTGCACACCGTTCTCTGAAGACAACGAACAACTTTAATCTGATCGGCAGCTACTGAATGTATCCCCAGACGAATATTGGCCGATTAGAAATGGTCTGAGGATCGTCTCGGTCTTGGTTCCCCAGGCTGAGGTTGGTACCGATGCGACTTTCTCCGCCACTTTGGGTACCTGACGTTCCAAGTCCCTCATGCTGGCCATGTGGGGTGATCACAATGGCCTTTATCATGGTCCCTGGTGAGCAACGGAGGGGGCGTGACGTATGGTGGCTCCCCATGGGTTTTATTCCACCTATTTACAGCTGGCTAAAGGGTCGAGAGAGCGTTTTTTCACGAGTTGAAAGTGAGCTTGGACTGGCGGGGGCCATTCTCAAGTCGTATCACAAATGAAGGGCATTCTCAGAAATGCGATATGCAAGCCTTGTGCAGCGAGGCCAATACGACTGAGGTGCGTCCGTGTAGGTTTACTATACCTAACTCTTCGAGTCTTTCTTGAGTGTAGTTGTTACCAGGAATCTGGCTAGCAACGTACAGTCATCTAGTTCTTGTAGGCAGTCCACAAGTCATAGTCGTCGAAATTAATCAAGCGTAGAATTGTCTTTGATATTTACTGTGTGCTTTTCACATTGACAGTTTCTGCTTCGCGCTCAGACAGTCGTAAAGATGACTTGCCAGAAACTAGAGACTCAAGGCATGGCCACGATGAGATTAAACACACCTGCCAATGATTTATTCAAAGTCGTGTAGTATGTAGACCAGAGATACAGAAAAAAAAAACGACATCGGACTGCGCTGGAAAAAAAGAAGAAGAATGAGACATCAAAAGGAAGCTTTTAATCGCGGCAATTTGCAAAAACAATTAGAAGTTACTAAATGCTTATAATCAGCCAATTATTGTATTAGATACAGGCTAACAGGTAAATGTCGCGAGAATTAGAGCATAATTAAGGTCCTGGCTGTAAAATGGTATATAGTATGGAGGCAGTATCGAAATACATCGTCAACGCGTTGATACGTGCTCCCATAGCCACAGACCATGGCACGGTAGTAACCGTGTACGAATCAATGATCTGCGTATGCAAAAGTCGACTTGCACGACAGCGCACGATAGTGCGCTACGCTTCGATCCTCCCCTCCTCAACTCCCCGCTCCGTTGCCCAGTCCCGTACAGCGTCAAAGTTCCGGCATGTATGCATGCGCTCAGTCTCGCCCAGGAGAACCGAGCGACGAGGATTATCCATCCAGACGTGCCGTAGAGTCACCGGCGTAAGGTCTCCGAAGCACATGATAGATTGACGCAGTTGGTCGATGCAGTGGTCTACATTATTAGCATGGCTCGACCAGTCCATAAGGATTATGGCTTACCTAGGTGCATATTGTCTTCTTCGTCCGAAAGGTATTCCATTTTCTTGTGATCACCGTGTAGATGCTTCCGCAGCATGTTCAGACAGTGCAAGGAGTGCAGCATGTCGACACCTCCGTACATTCCCGCCTCGGTTATGACTGATTTGTGTTCGGGGATTTCCTCAAGATCGTCGTTCTCTTTGTCATTGTTGATCCAATCTACCTCGGGCTCGCGCAATCGAAGATATCGCCCGAAAATCAGGTCCTCCCACGCCTGATCGACCCCTGAAGAGTTGCCCGTATAGCGTAGTTCGCTGGGATCATTCACCTGATGAAGGGTGCCATTGTCATCGACTCTGAGGGGGCTTGTAAAGCGGACCTGCTCGACCGAAATGGCGTCCTTTGCATCGGGAAGCTCAGTCGCAAAGCCATTCTCGAAGCCGTTGGGCGGGTCACGGGAGGCGAGTTTCACGATCACGCAGATTTCGATTAGGGAAATCACAATCAGCACAAATGTTGCGATGACCCATCGCTTAATGGACCTGGTAGGGAGTATTGATCCGGCTGGTTTCTCTGAAAGGCTCTGATACATCGTGTCGTCGCTTGATTGTCGTCTGTCGGTCATATTGGTTAGCTTCTAGCATGGTATACAGTACGCCTACTGACCTGAAGATGCAATTTGCTTTGTCACATATAGTCCACGGAATTCGTACCGAGTGTAACGTCGATGTACCTGACACGTCGTACCTGCATCAAGCACAGGCGCAAAAGAAGTGTACATCCATGGCTTACATTCCAGCGCTTTACCACAAATGGCAATCTCAAAACAATCCCGTCGCTATCAAGGGTGACATAAAGATCTGTGCCTCAGGAATGCGATGTCCCAATGAAGCAGCATTTTGTAAGGAACAAAACAATGGAATGTTGCTTAGTGCTAAGCCGAATAGGTATATTACCAGGAGGATTCATAACGGTGTGGTATTTGAAATATGGAAAGATGATTATACATACAAATGCAACGCTCTACTGTTTTTGCTTCATTATTCCTGGCATAGCTTGCTAGTGGTTCAGTATTCGAGTGTCTGCTTGATGGCATCATATATTCCTATCATTTGTCAGCAAAATCCAAACAGCTAACACCAAAATTCTTACTGGCAACATCGGGCATGATGAACTTCTCGTACTGCAGCCCTGTGTGCGTACTCCATCCAGCAACCCGCTTGACCGGCGCTTCTAGTCGAAGGAATGCCCCGTCCTGGATTGTGGCCGCGACTTCAGCGCCAACACCGTAGTTTATCATGCTCTCGTGTACCACAATCGCCCGGCCCGTCTTTTTCACACTCTCTAGGACTGTTTGACGATCCCATGGGTAGATAGTGCGTAGATCGATCAGCTCGATGGTCACCCCCGGCATAGACTTTTCAATTGCAGTGATGGCAGCGGAACAGAGGTAGAGTGGCTGACCATAGGAAATAACAGTCACATTGTCCCCGGGCTTGAGAATCTCTGCTGTACTAAGAGGAATCGTGTAGTATTCGTTCGGAACATGCTCAACGGCGGCACGGTAGAGGATTTTCGGTTCCATGAAGATAACAGGGTTATTGTGTTGGAAAATGGAGGAAAGGAGGAGGCCCTTGGCTTGGGCGGGGGACCGGGGCATGACTACTTGAACACCAGGAACGTGGGCAAAGAGAGCTTCGGGTGACTGCGTGTGATATCTACTCAAGTTAGTCGACCAGCCTTGTCAATTCATCCTGGGCACTTACAACGCGCCATGTCCAACCGCACCACACGGCATCCTCACGACCATCCCCCCGGCATTTCCACCTGTCCCGCCTTCTCGGTATCGAAACTTGGCTGCTTCATTGACGATCTGATCGAAAGCCGGAAAGACGTAGTCGGCGAACTGGATCTCTGCAACGGGTTTCATACCCTCCGCTGCTGCTCCAACTGCAAAACCCACAATTCCCTGCTCTGTTAACGGTGTATTAAAAACTCTCTCGGACCCAAACTCCGTCTGCAGGTCCATAGAGCATCGAAAGACACCCCCAAACGCTACATCTTCCCCGAAGAGCAGCACCTTATCTGACGTAGAGAGGGCTGTTCGCAGACCAGAGTTGATTGCTTGATATAGATTCAGTGGTTTCGAGGTCGTCGACTCGGGGAGCCCATATGCGCGAGGAACAGACGATGCTGTATGATGGAGCAGTGGTGTCGATTTGTAGTCGATAGGCAGATTGAGACGTGAGGAAGGGGTCGGAGCAGCCGAGTAGCGACGGCAGGGAGGATCCCGAAGGAGTCTCTGGAGGCGTGAACGGGGGATCATGGTGCTGGTCTTTGAGAGTGTGAGAGGTTCAACAAGAGAAGAACTCTTCTCCCTTCGTTGTTTATATGGAAAGAAACGACATCCCCGGATTTGCGGGGAACACCGCGGATAACCGAGGTGCCTGACGCCCCAGGCAGAAATAAATATCAGGTGACTTGTGCGATTTATACAGTTATGAACGGTATGTACAAGTGAACATACTCCTCGCTCTCTCAGCCTGGTCCTGAATGTCCACGTCCCATAACCACCGCAATCGCTCCTGGAATGTTGCCTTCAACTGTTTCTCGTCATTCCCGACGCCGTCCAAGCATAAACACAGCAAATGCGCGTTCTCCTTGCTAGTTGTTACGACTTTCTGACTGCGCGGTCTCCGAACAGCATCGTATGCCTTGAATGCAGCCACAATGTGCTCAGAGGTGGTCACTCGGGGATCGCCCAACAGTTCTGCTAAAACGTGCGCGTCTTCAATGGCCTGTCCGGCTCCAGCACCTTGGTGAGGCGTGGATGCATGCGCAGCATCGCCTAGAATGGCCACTCGAGAGCGAGCATATGTCGAGATGTGCGGGTGTTCAAAGATGGCCCATTGCGTGGGATCCGGCATGTACTATTGCCGTCAGTACAGAGTGCTTCTACGCGTATTGTAGAGGGGACGGTACCTCAACAAGCGATTGAACATAGTCACCCAGATGCTCAGCGTCCCGTCGCATGTCTTCTTTGCTTGCTGCACGCACCCAGGCATCATCATTCCACTGGTCATTCAAGACATACAACCCCACGTTGACCTTTTGTGCCCGCATAATTGGATATGATATCCCATATGCCCCTTTCCCTACGTACATCGTAGACACTCGCGCCCGATGGTCTCCAACAGCTTTGGTCATGGTCTCCATGTCCAGCACAGCGCGATATCCATACATGCCGCTGTATCGCGGGAGGACGCGCTGATATTCCTCCGGGGGTATGATAGACTCCTTCACCTTGGACTTGATACCGTCGCAGCCCACGACCACATCTGCTGTAGCCGCTGTACCATCTTCAAACCGCAGTTCTACACCATTTGCCGTCTCTTCCAAATGGGCCAGTCTCTTGCCAAAATGCGCGATTTCCGGTGGAATCAGACTCACTAATGCGTCTAGAAAGTCCGCCCGGCGCACCGTGGTTTGGCCCGACGGCAATGCTTTCAAATCTAATAGAACGTCCCCGGATTTTTCGTCATTCCCGGTCGCCCAAACAACTTCGAACCATGTCTCGCGGAACCGTTCATACCCCGGACTGTCCGCATGCGTGGTGATGAGCGAATCGTAAATGCGACGGATCTGCGGATCGATCAGGGGCATCGTCCGATGTGCGGCTGGCCCGATGGTCAATCCCAACCCGACTTCTTTGAACTCCTGTGCAGCCTCATATATCTGCACGGGAATGTTTCGTCGTAATAAACCCACGGCCAAAGAGAGACCCCCGATGCCGCCGCCGACGATGGCCACGGTGAAGTTCTTTGTGGACATGGAAATCGGTGTGGCGACAATCAATTCCTTGATATTGATTTTTAGGGAATAAAACAGAAGCGAGTGAGTCGCCGATCTCTGATGAGCATTAAATAGATTGGAGTTGGAGATAGCAACGCTGGCATTGCCTCGGATCATATTGTATGGTGGGGTTGCGGTTGCGGTATATCTACGATTACCGAAGTTGATAAGGCAATTCTACAGTTGGCTGTACATGCATTGGGAGGTACCTGGGCACTTCTTAATGAGCTTCATATAGTTGGCATTGAACACGCGCGCATTCTAATGCCAACAGTCGTCGGGATAAGACACTCATTGAACGAGCTCTCAACAGATGATTTTGGGAATGTGCGAGATGCTTATGGACCACGGCGCTAGAGTTGATGGACAGTCGCTGGAAAACTATTATACATCACAGTTATACCAGAAGGTGAAGCATGGAGAGATTGGTAAAGCCTCTCTGCTCGTGAGCTGGGGATCAAGATTGGATGAACTTATGACGAGGTCCCTGACACTGTCCTCGGAGCAGCCATGAGTGTCGGAGATTGCACAATGATCCAAATTCTCCTGCACGCGGGAGCGGAAGATACGGGGCAAATGCTGGTTCAGTTGGCAATTTAGAGATTGCAAAATATCTTCACCAAGTTGGAATGCTGTCTCATATTCTCCTCCACTTCGGACAGTCTATTCTCGTATCCGCCACCCGTGAACAAAGCCAGGGTAGAGGTGACGGGTTCGTCCAGTATCTCTTGGATCTGGATGTAAACCATCAGCGCGGCACTGTTGGGTGCCCACCAATTAATATGATAATGTTGATTGAACCGACGGAAGGCGTTTATGATTATATCCTATATACATCTCCCTTGAAAGAAGCGATCAACTTACAGAGTATTACACTCACAGGAATGTTCGTTGAACATGGTACTCCTGTCACTGATTATGAACATTGTGAGGCGGTCGAACAGAATTTGCGCTTTAAGGACACGACCTCCTTTCCTTGCTATCAGCGAAGCTATTTCACCACTCATGTGCAGTCCCCAACTCCTTCGCGAGTGCTATAAACTTTAATACTGCCAACCTCCTCTTCCAGCGCTTCTTAAATACTGGACTTGATCCACGAGCCAAGGTCCTTCTGAGCAAAGATACCGAGGATTCTTACTTCTATCATCAGCATGGTATCATCGAAGGCTATGCTTATGAATCTGTGCTTGAACCTGCCGCTGGATTTGGGGATGGCTTGAGTCTCGCAACGCTCCTTCGAGCCGCAACGTGGACCGTCACAGAGAAGGGACGAGCCCTCGCCGTGAGCATCAGTCACCGAAAAAAGAACTCGGTACAACTTTTATTGATTCCCAGGCAGACGTGAATGTCGAGACCACTTTGTATGGTTATTATACCACACTGAGTGCGGCTACACCGCTCGTCCTTGCGGTCGAACAGCAGGATATTTCATTGATAAGGCGTTTACTAAATGCTGGCGCAGATTCCAGATATCCCCCGGCCTTCGTATCCGCTGCTTCTACAGAAAACAAGCAGATCATGAAGATTATACTAGAGGCGGAGGCAAATATCAGTTCTCTTTCCTCAGAATCCTGTGGAATAACTGCGTTTTAGCGTGTAATAGAGGAAGGCAAAGTTGAGCTAGTGGATATTTTACTACAAGCAGGGGCGGATGTAAATCAAAGACCGGCCAAATACAGAGGGGCCACAGCGTTGCAGCTCACAGCTATTGGAGGATACATCAGGGTAGCCCGCAAGCTGTTAAACAGAGGCGCCAGTACATCAGAGCAATCAAACTTGCAGAAGATCGAGCACAATACGCTGCAGCAAAGCTCCTTCGTGACCATGGGGGTTGGGTTGAGGGTGATGCTCGACAATATAAGTACGAGGTTTTCAATGCTGCGGAGTGCTTTAAAACAAATAAGAAACATGAAAAAATGAGCATTAACGAAGGGTTTATTGGAAAATAAATGTTGATTCTGTTATGTTCGTTTTCATCGGTGTCTCCAATTGCTAATCGATCATGCCCTTAGCATATTCTCTTTATCAACTATCCGTTCTTTTATATGCACCGGTAACGGTCCATTTGTGCGGTCACTATTCGCTGACAGGACAGGAACGGCCGATAGAGCATCTGCTTGGACTATACCTCCGATAATCCTTAGATTGTAAGAGCTAAAATGCTATGAAAGTATACGTTTATTCGGTGAATGACTTTATATTTAGAGTAGGAAGATATACTCCCGGGGAGTTCTTATGGCACTTTGCACAAATCTTCGAATTCCTGATATTTGCAACGCACACATCAACGGTATATGTGCACCACAAACTGCAAGCTAAACCGATCGATCTCCTTCGTTCTCACTCATATCTACCAGTTGATAGTCACTGGATCGCCGTCGCCAGATGCGACAATAGCAATACCGGAATAGCCCGAGCAGCAGCCCGCTCCCAGCCATTAGAAAGGCGATCCCTAGCACATAGGACTGTAAGTTGAGGAGTCTATCCAGTCGTAATCCTAGCGGCCGCTGGAGTGGAGTCGACCTTCCCAGAACCGTACCATGAGCATCCAATGCGGCGACCCGAAATATGTCGCAGTTCACGTCATCTGGAATCGAGATTCCAGTCTCAAAGCCATCCTTGTTGGCCTGCAGGATCCCGTTGAAGGTCAGGTTGTCCAAATCGTGCCCATCCCATACCTCGAGCTGCCAGGCGTCTACTTCGGTGGCACCGTTCCAGCTTACGTAGATGACGTTGTCGTCTGCAACAGCATCTGGATTTGTGAGTGGACGGCCAATCCATGAATCCTTGAAGGCACGGTAGGAGACCACACGCCCAAAGGTGTAATACAGTGATGCGCCAAAATGCACGTCGCATACCACATTTCCATCCGGTGTGAACTCCGTGTAGGCGGCACTGTGACCCCATCCAATAAAGACGTTCCCGGTATCATCCAGAACTTGCATATTTCCCTGCGACGTCGACTTCAAGACCTGCGGATGGTGGTACGCAACTTCCAACTCCGCGGTTCGGGATTCGTAATTGAGATGGATGCGCATTCCCCGACTAGACGCCTCAGGATCCTCGTTGGAATGCGCTGTGTTATCAAAAAGAGTTATGGTGTTGTTATCACGCCAGCGCGCGTCGTGCTGCCAGCGGAAATCTGTCGCGGTCCCATCGGACAAGTCTGTGAAGTCGTTTGCTTTCCCACCCAACGTCCAGAGAACTGCGCCGGTACTTCCATCGATATAACTCACGGAATGGGCATGTCGAGCCGATATGAGGTAGTTGCCTTGTGCATCTTTGTCTACGCTGTTGATGTGATAATAATCAAAAGCTGTATCCTTCTCGTAGCCCTTTGTGTTGAGAGCCTCGTATGTTACGTTGACAAGAAAATGGTTCGAAGCGCGCCACTCGAAGAGCAGTTCCCCTGTCGCGATGTCAATCTCCTGGAAGAGTCCGTCGTAGAGCCAGCCCAACGCTGGGCCACCGATGGGTGTCAGATCGGTCGGGATAGGTTCGTAGATGGTTACCAACGCAGTTCCATCATTTGTCAGGGTGAATTCGTGAAGATCGCCGCCGTCAAAATCGCCAACGGGCCGGATTTCGTAACGTTGGGTATAGGTCGAATCCAGCTGAAGCGATTAGCGCGTTAGTATCAGGGCCATCATTTAATATACCAGCTGCCACACATACCATAAACCATGATCCCTGTCCAAGACCTCCTGCAACCTCTTCTCCCTCCCAGTATGTAAGAAAGTCTTCACCCTGATATCTCTGGAGCTTAAAATCTTGCGTAATGTCGTGGTTGTGTTTCATCCAGACGAGATTCCCGGCCGCATCGAGGATCATCGGCCCCGGATGGGGAATTGAATCGCCGCGCGGAGCGAGAAAGGTATATCGCGGATCACATCCCGAGTCCCACTGGGAGATCTCTACCACAGGCGATTCAGACTCGAAGGAGACATACGATCGGGTCGGTCCGAAGCCATACAGGCCAAGGTCGTACCAGCTCAGGTCGGTTCGAGGACGGAATTTGAGCAGGTGAGGAAGGGCGAAATAACAGAATAGGTAGAGTAAGCTAACGGTAGTACACAGAGTCAACAACCAGGCTTTCGAGAAAACATCTGGCCATGCACCCTTGGCGCGCCGGTGTTGCGGATGGCGGAGACAAGGGAGTATTTGAGACCACCGGGACATGGGCGCATCATGGAGCCGACGAGGTGAGTCGTTCCTGGCTTTCAACAACAATAATAAGGCAAAGAAGTCGGCACGTTAAATGCAGATCGGAATGCGCGGGGGTATGAACTATTTTTTTTTTGTCTGTCTTTGCCGAGAGAAGCGGACCACTTCGCCAAGTCAAATAACTGGGCTATCCATTCCTAGCCGACGGAGGATGCACTCGTTTTGCTCCATAGCCCCCTATCTTCCGGCTTAGCGTGGGAACACCGATAAATAGAGTGGCAATGGCGCCGGACGTTGCGCTGCGGCAGATTTCTAGCCTTGCGACTATGTATGTAAGTGTCGTTGCAAGTAAGTTCGGTTTACGACGTCCAGAGCATGACGTATCCCTGATAACCGAATAAGAACCTGGGCAGTGGACCTCCTTTTCCTGCTCGTAACCAATAGTCGGTATAACATCGGAACATAGAAACTGCTTTTTTGGGTCGCTCCATAAAAGGAGGGCCGGGCGTAAATGAATTGGCGAGTCATTCTGAACGCAAGGTTTCTAAAGAGGTATGTGTCCAATGAGACAATGTCGCAGGGAAATTCAGGAGATCTGAGAAATGAACAGTGGGCCCTCGGACATAACGTCTCAGTCCATACAGAACTGTCAAAAACAATGGCAGCCTCTGGAGTTGCGCGTTAATCGCTCCGGCATCGTCTTCAGTCAAGTGCTACAGGGCTGTTCATATAAAATCTCGGTTTGACACGCGCAATGAGACTCGTATGCCTGGATTTGGTGCTCGCTGTCCGCAAAGCATCGGATTGGCCAAGCTGCCCGAGACCACGGCAGAATCCAGCAATCGAGACCACATACTATATTGCTGCTTAAGATCTTTTCCAGCCCGAGTGCGCCAAGCGAGTCTTGGTTGGTGGAAGGGAGACACGCGACAAGACCTATGGTGGCGCAAGGAATAGAACTCCTTGGCGAAGGAAGACGCCTGGATATACTTCCAATCTCGAGACCTTGCAGCAGATACCCCTAGTTCAGTATTCTTCTGCCGGTTTGGCCTCCGAGAAGACATGGCTCTTGGGATATACTCCGTCCGTGACTCGGTACGACTACTGACCTGATATGTCACTAATAACATGGCTGACTCCCAAGAAACTGGAGATAAAGTCGTCCATTCCAAGCATCGTATTAACAGTACGGAATGAATTACATTCAACGTACAGATTAGCAGTTGTACTTGTACAGGGTAGAATAAGAACATTCCCCAAAAGGCAACATCTGTCGGATCGGAAATACTCCGTCTCCACATCACGTGCTCCACTTTCCCTTCCGGGAAGAAACAAGCGCTCTTTGCCATTTTAGGAAGCAATCTCTATTGTTACGCGCTCTTTGCCGATGTAGTTACCACTTCCAGGTATTACAGGCGCCTCCAATCGATTTATGCAGCATCTGCAAGCACAAACACTTCATCCTGATTGTCTCGTCCGCATTTCCAACCATTCCTCCACAATCCCCGCGTATGCCGATGGCCCATAGACCGTACTTATTTCGGACTAGAAGCGGCCGCCCATTTGATGGGGATCCAGCCCAAGGTCTTGAAGGAGCCTGTGCCTGTACTGCGGCACTACTAGGCACGCGAATCACGGGGGAATAAGCGCGGAACTTACGTGGATTGCATCGACGTTGAAACCACCCCGGGTGAGGTTTTCCCAGACCATCGTCGGAAATATCCTGGTCCAGATCTTTGTGGGAAAGAATATTAATTCCTGGGGAGAATGTCTACCCGGTTTAGATTTGACTGACCCATCACTATCCAGCGCTCCGGTAAGAAAAGCAGCCAGCCAAAGCGCCTGTACTTCTGCTGCCAGGGCTGGGGATACCATTCGCTGGAACGTAGGATAGGGAGAAAAGTCATCAGATGGACGCTCCCTGACAGACTAATGATCTTCCTATGGGTTCTTCGCAGCCTCGATTCAATTGCCACCGAGTTCATGCCAGTAGCTAATGCTGGACCATGGTTAACACCGAAACAGCGAATCTTCCAAAGGTATTTGGTTGCAGGACAGAACTTTTGCATCTTCGCATCCGAGTTATACTGGGCGGCGTTGATCATAATACGGACACTGGATTCCTAGAATCGTCGAAGCCAAAGTCGCCCCAATGGATTACCATGTATTAGCCCCCGCGACCACGATCCTTATATTCGGATAGTCTAGCCCCATTGGTTGGAGCACGAAACAAATGATATCGTTTTAGGCAGTTCATTGAGACATTGAATCAGCAGACTCATAGATCCAGTGCTTGGTCGCTGGAAACTGGGCTGTTTGTTGGGAAGAAAGGAGCCAGATGGTGTCATACATGATATTCTAGGGCCCTTGTCACGAATGATCCAATGTACTTGAGCCGGATTTGCGGGAACAATAGACGTATGCTGCCAAATAACCCTTGATGCAGCAACACAAACAAATAAAAAAAAATCAAGCAAAGACTTATTTGTCTCGTATACCGCCACAGAACGCAGCGGGTGCTGTTCATTATATGTTCCAACTCCCTTCTTCTCTGAAACCTGTCGAGAACAGGATGATAGCCAAGATGGCCTCGGCAGTATTCGCCTACGTCTTTTGCGTGGACATTGTGTAGCATTGAACCAGCTGTCCAGTTTAATCCGGAAATTTCAGGCATATTCGGCTCCGACGTCAACCCGGCAGCAAAAACAAGTTTATCGCAGAGCATAGTAACATGTCGGCCCGGCGATAGGGACACGACTTTCATTTCCAGTTTTCATTCTTTGTTGGCAAGTCGACTGATAGTCGCAACTTGAAACTGTCAATGACCCTGGTGTTGTATACCCGAAGACTCACAGTCCAATTGAAGCGCATACGCTTTGTCAAATCCCATTTTTCGTTCCACGCATGGAGATATCGATTGATTTTACAGACCACAATGGATTGATTGTTTGAGCCACCTTCGTCATGCCCAACGGCGGACGTCATCGGAAGGTCGCTGTTCTCGTACATGCCGTAGGAATTTTGACTAGGCAAGTTAGGATACAGCCTATCATGATTCCATGTGCCTCCGAGTCCGGCGCGTTGTCGGTAATCAGGAGATGAGTTATGTTCCTTCAAGAACCTTGTCTTTGGATGTGGCGAAAGGATGCAGGAGGTCACCAAGACACGACTTCTCGGGATTGCCTGAGGTCTCATCGTCGTAGGCTCCGGAAACATGAAGGTATGTTTTGGCCACAATGGGACCATAGAGTTCTGAAAAGTCAGTGCGCGTGTGACAGTGCCAGAGCGCAATTGACCTGCTCCAACAACAATGACTCTTGACAGGATGTCTGGAGACTGATTCAAACCTGCTGCAGATGTTCTTGAGCCGGCAGCAGACCGCATAAAATAATTCGACATCAGATGCATCTCGGGCCAGGGAGAACAAAGAATGGCACTGAACATGGTTACCAAGACGCATTAGTATTGTTCTTTCCTATTATCCGAACAATACGAGGGAATTTCTACTTTTTGACTCGGGAATTTCAATCCATCGGCGTCATTATATGTATTCTAAGTCTGGTAGGTTACCATCAGGCTCTCTATTTTTGGCCATTAAAAAGTCGCATCAACCTCGTCCATTACCAACACCTTAATGCTCGGGGTTGTTGCATCAGCGCAGATATTGAGCGCATCAATGGCTTTTTCCAGGGGAACAGTATGCGACACCAGTCTTTTCAGGTCCAAAATCCCTCCAGCCATGCACGCTATCGCCGGCGGCCAGGTGTCGCGGTAGCGATTTATAAAGCGCAGGTCAATCTATCCACCATGAGTATACACGTCTGAACAGATAAACCATGAGAAACGTACCTCAGCTAGAGAAAGATGCATGAATGGCAAGTTATTCACGACGGATTTTCCCACACCGATAACCACCACGTTGCCCCCGCGTCGCGCAGTATACGCTGCCGTACATATACTACTTTCAACCCCGGTGCATTCCAGAACAGTTTCCGGTGCAAAGTATTCCTCATCTCCAAACAAAGCCCGGATCACCTTGGCATTACCCTCCGCATCCAGATTTCGGTTAACTTGGTATGGTGTACACGTCGGAGCAAATTCCTTTGCAAATGCCAGACGATTCTCATCCAAATCGGTCACGATAATGGGATGCGCACCGGACGCCCGCGCCGCTGCGAGAGCAATCAAACCGATGGGACCGGCGCCACATACGACAACGCCCCGACCGAGATGTAAGCGGGCAACTTCAATACCACGCATGACGACTGAAAGGGGCTCGAGGAGGGCGCCCTCGGCGTAGGTAATATTATCCGGTAGTCTATTGTTGTCAGTAAGCCTCCGAGAGAGCGAATGAATGTGCGATTTACTTGTGCAGCCATTTGGCAGGATGGACTTTGTATCGCTGAATGGTGCCATTGTACGGATAGACACCGGCGAACTGCACGTCCTCGCAGAGATTGTAGCGTCCATCGTTACAGAGGAAGCATTGTTCGCACGGGACACCGGGTTCAACGGCGACCCGGTCTCCTGGTCGGAGATTTGTTACATCTTCACCACATTGCAGCACAATACCTGCTGCTTCGTGGCCAATAATACAGTCATTTTCAAAAACCAGTGTATGGATCCGACCGGCCTTCCAGAAATGGATATCGGACCTTATTAAGTTATCAACATATATGTTCATGAATATCTACGAAGGACATACCCGCAGATGCCCGTGGCCTTGACTTGCAGCAGAACCTCTCCCCGTTTTGGAGCATAGACGGGAGCATCGACTTGCTTTAAACGGTGATCGGCCGTGACCTGTAATGAAGGGTTGGGCAGCGGCGTGTGGATAATGTCGGGCTTGGAGGGCACAATCTGTTCCGTTTCGATGGAGGGAGCCATGGCTATGGAGAAAGCAAACGTTCTCAAGGTACTCTGGGGTTTCCGGGGAAAGAAAGAAATAAAAGTATTCTGACTGTCCGACGGCAGTTATAACTGGGAAATGTGCCTACCAGTTGTACACGGATTTCCTAATGTGGTAACTATTGCCTCTGGTTACCCGATACGGCTAATGCTTGATCCTACTAAATGCGTGTTGCGCGATGGAGCTATAATATAAATGTGACATTCACCCCCTGGCTTGCTACTAGCAAACTAAACAGACAAAATGGCGATCGAATCTGTCCCTGTTAATGAATCTGCACTGCCGTTGGTGCAGCATCTAAGCAAGAACCATGATCTGGTCCTCAGGACGTTTCGAATGCTTATCGCGGATCTATGCCAGCAGTTTGGTGGTGGACACCCAGGGTAAGGATCACAGTAAATTATCGACGATGGAATACGTATGCTAATACTAAAGCAGGGGTGCCATCGGCATGGCGGCCATTGGCATCGCCCTTTGGCGGTACGTGATGCGCTATGCACCACATACTCCGGATTACTTCAACCGTGATCGATTTGTTCTCTCCAATGGACACACCTGTCTCTTCCAATACACATTCCTACATCTCACCGGGTACAAGGCTATGACTTTCGAGCAACTCAAGTCGTACCACTCGGACCGCGTGGACGCTCTGTGCCCTGGTCACCCGGAGATTGAGCACGAGGGTATCGAAGTGACCACGGGACCTTTGGGCCAGGGTGTCGCGAATGCCGTTGGTCTTGCCATTGCCAACAAGAACCTTAGTGCGACATTCAACCGGCCCGGGTACGACTTGGTGTCCAATCACACCTGGTGCATGATTGGCGACGCATGTTTGCAGGAGGGTGTCGGCCTTGAAGCCATTTCCTTCGCCGGCCACCTGAAACTCAACAACCTGACTGTTATATACGACAATAACCAGATCACCTGCGATGGATCGGTAGATCTCACCAACACCGAGGATGTCAACGCCAAGATGCGCGCATGCGGATGGGGCGTTATTGATGTCAACGACGGATGCTACGATATTGAGGCTCTGGTGCGAGCCCTTGAGCAGGCCCGCGCATCGCAAGACAAGCCGACATTTATCAACGTCCGCACTGTCATCGGTCTGGGCAGCAGCGTCGAGGGCAAGGCAGCAGCCCATGGCGCCGCTTTTGGCGTCGACAATGTGGGTGAGATGAAGAAGGCGAACGGATTCAACCCAGACGAGCACTTTGTCATTGGCGACACCGTCCGACAATTCTTCGATGACCTTCCGACTCGTGGAGAGAAATTAGTGCAGGAATGGAACAAACTCGTGGGACGGTACACAGCACAATATCCCGAATTGGGTGCTGAGTTTCAACGTCGGATGCGCGGTGAATTGCCCTCCAACTGGAAGGAATTGATTCCGACTAGCTTTCCCGAGAAGCCAACAGCGTCGAGGGCATCGTCTGGACTCGTGTTCAACCCGCTTGCGCAGAATGTTCCCACATTCATGGTTGGCACAGCAGATCTGTCGCCCTCGGTCAACATGATCTGGAAGGACAAAGTGGATTTCCAACATGTAAGTTCCCTTCCTCCTATATCACAGTCTTTCCAATACTAACTCAGTAAACAGCCTGACCTGCGCACCAACTGCAACATAAATGGCAACTACTCCGGCCGCTACATCCACTATGGTGTCCGCGAGCACGCCATGGCCGCCATCTCCAACGGCTTGGCCGCATATGGACCAACCACCATTGTCCCCGTCACGTCTTCTTTCTTCATGTTTTACCTGTACGCTGCGCCGGCCGTACGAATGGGTGCCCTCCAAGGCCTTCAAGTCATCCATGTCGCCACTCACGACTCCATCGGTATGGGTGAAGATGGACCAACACACCAGCCCATCGAGCTGGCTGCTCTCTATCGGGCCATGCCTAACCTGCTGTACATTCGACCTGGCGACAGTAACGAGACAGCAGGTGCGTGGATTGCCGCCATCGAGGCCAAGAACACGCCAACGATCATCTCTACTTCACGGCATGTTTTGCCTCAGCTGAAGCAGACACGTCGGTCTGGTGTCGCCCGCGGTGCTTACATTCTCGAAGAGGACAGCCATGCCAAGGTGACAATTATCGGAGTGGGCGCGGAGCTTTCTTTCGCGTTGGATGTCGCGCAGAGCCTGAAAGAGACCCGCGGCATCGCCGCCCGCGTGGTCAGTTTCCCTTGCCAGCGATTGTTCGAGCAGCAGCCAGTCGAGTACAAACGCAGTGTTCTCCAGCGCCACGCCGGTACTCCTGCGGTGGTTATCGAACCTTATGCACCCAATGGTTGGGAACGGTATGCGGATGCAGCTATCTCCATCAGACGGTTTGGACAGAGTTTGCCAGGTAAGGCTGCGTACAAGTTCTTCGGCTATGAGACCGACGTGATGACGAACAAGGTGGCTGGCTATTTGGACCAGCTGGCCGGAGGCCAGGTGCTGAGAGGAGAGTTTGTAGATTTGTAAAATAGATAGCACTCAATTTGATATCCTTCTTTCACTTATTCTGCGCTTTGTTTAGGTCTCAACTGGCACCTCTCCAGCTCTCTAGTTGACATTGCTAGCTCGTCCGGCCAAGAAGATGTGCACAGCGTAATCAATGCAAGGCTGATCCTGTCCGCACCATCTCGACATCCGACTCAATGACAGCCGAGCAACGATCGCCTTTCTCCTTGCAGGGCCTAGTCTGGGGTGCATATAAATCAATCATCTTCTATATCTGTCTCAAATGCTGTAAGGAGTGCGTCTGTCGGTGACTGAACTCTGTCGTGTAAAGTAGCCATGATAGGTACAGATGATTTGTCATATTTGCATTCGGACTGCATGTCTCATTATGCAGCTACCTCGACAATCAGTCTTTGGACGATACCGACAAACATGAGATGCTGCATAGATTTCACTAATCTCCCGGTCCGATCGATCATTCCAGTGACAGAACAAATCAACAACCACGAACTTTTTTTCCTCCGGTCGCGGCCTGCCTCGTCCTCTTTGGCTTTCCTGCATTCGCCGAAATACATATTGCCCAGAACAATGCCCGTGGAGCCAATCTCAAAGTAGCCGGACGTGGTGCCGACGACGCTTGCAATAGGTCTGGTGGTGATGGATGACCGGGTGAGTGATATAGGCCCCGTGAACGAGCTCGCGCAGTTGACTGGCTACTCATTAGAGTGCACGCGATGCAGCGGACCAAGGTGATCACACCCGTGGAGATTGTTCGGCACGCTCAGACAGTATGGTCCGGGGGCCCGAGGTTCACGATAACAGGGTAATGGATATCTATGGATACGTTGAGCAGCCGGTATTATACCATTATACCATTTATCGTCTTAGAGCACGAAAAATCACCAAAAACAAGTGAAAAAGGTGTATTATGCTGTTTCCGTGCTGAGTGCCTTCCTAAAGCGGTATGTTTGATATGTTAAGGTACCGGCCAATAATAGACCGTGTCCTGATCATCTGGGCAAGCGGTCCACTTGAACCGGATGCATGCCGTTACTCTATTCCTTCTTTAACTTCAAGACTGTGCTTATGTCCAATAATATAGGGCTTTCTCCGCACAATGTACCAGGACTGGCCTTGACCCCCCGGCGTCTGATCCACTGATGGCTATCCGAATCAAGCAATTGTGTCACGGGGCAGCTGCACGTGTTGGCACCTCGGATGTTCTTTCAGAAGTCGCGATGGCTTCACCTTCTTTTCCCGACTCACCGTTTCCCATTATAAAAGCCTCCCAATTGTCTGCCATTCCGAGAAGATGGACTTAACCGCCGAATCCATTAGCGCTGCCGTCACAATGAGCATTCGTTCGCTCACCAGAGTTCTCCAGCTGTCGCTCGGCCTCGGTGCCGTTGCTGTCCCCCAGACCCAACCCGCTACTTCCTCTTCCTCTTCTTCTTTGGACAACCCCATCAAGAACGTGGTTGTGCTGGTCCAGGAGAACTTGTCGTTTGACAACTTCGCTGGTGGTCTGACCTACAACTCCACTATTGACGGTCTGGCCAACCGCGAGTACTGCAATCCGACCAATATCACCGACCCCAACTCGCCGGTCGTCTGCGCTAAACCGATCGCGAAAAATGTGGCCCCCGATGACCCGGATCACAGTATTGCTGGTGGCAACATGCAGATCTACGGTTATGACCACCCGTCTTCTGACGATGCGCCCGACATGCGCGGCTTCGTCACGGAGCAGATTCGGTCCTACCCGGACGCAAACAAAAAGCGTGCCGCTGAGGTGATCAACTACTATACCCCTGAGCATATCCCCGTGTTCAACGCCATGGCGGAAAACTTTGTTCTGTTCGACCGGTGGTTCGCCTCAGTCCCCGGCCCCACCAACCCAAACCGGGCGTACCTGACCTCGGGCACCTCGCACGGTCACGGTGAAAACGACAACGACTTCTTGACCTCGTCGCTTCCGCAGAAGTCCGTCTTTGAGCAGCTGTCGGATGCCGGCATCAGCTGGATCAACTACTCCAACACCTCCGGCTTCCTGCCCGATGCTCAGTTCTACGAATGGACCGCCAAGTCCGGCAAGGCCGACACCAACGTCAAGCCCCTTGATCAGTTCTACAAGGATGCTGCATCCGGCTCCCTCCCTCAGTTCACCTGGATCAATCCCGAATGCTGCTCGTACATGTCCTTCCACCCGCCATCCCCCATCAACATGGGTGAAGGCTTCATCAAGAGTGTCTACGAGGCTGTCCGCAACAGCCCCCAGTGGAACGAGACCCTGTTCGTCCTGACCTTTGACGAGCACGGTGGATTCGCTGACCACGTCTCGCCTCCCGAGAACGTGCCTGCTGGCGATGACCTCACCTACACCGAGACCGCTGGTGACGGCAAGCCGTTCTCGTTCGCTTTTGACCGTCTGGGTGTCCGTGTGCCCACCGTCCTCATGTCCCCTTGGGTGGGCAAGGGTCTCGTGCAGAACCGCCCGATTGACGAGTCTGGTGACTTCACCCACACCTCCATCCTCAAGTTCGTGTCTGAGCTCTGGAATTTGGACATTCTCACCCCTCGTGTCGCCTGGTCACCCAGCTTCAAGCACCTGATCACCAACCAGTACCGTGACAGCCCATCGAAGCTGCCGGAGCCGGCTGACTTTTAAATGTGGCACGTTTGCATGATGATGTTACGATAGATTATACATATTAGTATGCGCGATTGGCTTCGCATTAGATGAATTAAAGCATTAATTATTGACATTAAACTTCGTATATGTATAGGTATATGTAAAGTACTGATGCACGAACACGCTATGCATGATAGTAACGAAAGCAAGGGTATTGAACTTTTAGACAAACAAATGACAACCTCCCAATGCAAAGCAGCTTTTAGAAATGGAAAAATGACTTGCGCCGGCTTCGCGTCGACCTGGAGCGCGACCGTTGTGTGATGGCCGAATTCCGCGTGTTGACACGGTCGATATCGTACGGGTTCTCCTGGTACATAGTCTCGTTCTGTTGCTCCGTCGTCGCAGTATGGATGGAATCACCATCATCGACCTGATCCTCGCCAACTGCACCGTCAACCTGGTCCTTGGCAACGGGTTCCTTCTCCTCCGGCTGCACGACATTCTCCACCAGCTTGCGCTTGAAGTCGTCCGCTTCTGCGGCGTACTTGCAGCGACGACGGATCTGCGGGCCGTACCGGTAGAACAGGAATGGGAAGGGCAGACAAGCCACGCCAAGGAAGGCGGGGATGCATGATGCCCAATGGATTCCCAGGTTGTTGTACATATACGTGGTGAACAGTGGGAACCCGGCACCGAAGCATGAACGGATGACCGAGTTCGCGGCCAACACGGATGCGGCATAGATAGTGTATGCGTCGACGAGATATGTCATGATGGAAAGGAAGACAAGGACCATGCCGAATCCGAACGGTGCGCCGGCGATAATGCTCACTATCCAATGCACATTCGTCCCGTTCGTCCAAGCAAACCAGAAAAGACCGATCGGTACTGCGAGACCGCCAATCATGGTCGGCACTAAGCGAGTCTCTGGTGGTGCGAAGCCGTTGTACTTCTTGTTCACGCGAACATAGCGTTTGTTATCCCACATGTTGCCCACGACAGCGATCATCATGCCAACCATAACACCCAGGAACGGAAGACTGCCAACTCCCTCGCTCCAACCACGGATTTCCTGGAAAACGATCGGATAGGCATCGAAGAGCATGTAGAGCGTTCCGTAGACGATGGCCATGTAGATGGATAACGATAGGACGATCGGTTCGGCGAACAAGAGGATCCACGGACGAAGTAAAGCCGCACCAAAGGCATCACTGATGGAGACCTCACCACGCTCGAGATCCAGCTTGCTGCAGTATACGTGACCGGTGATTTTGGTGAGTCGTTGTGCGCGTTTGCGAAGGAGGACAGGAGCATAGGTTTCGGGGACTATGATGCTGCCCAGCATCCAGATGAGACCGCTAAAGATGGCCATGAAGCCCTGCACCCATCGCCAGCCGGCGCTTTGACCGAGGAAACCACCAATGACGGGACCAAGGGTAGGTCCTGCAATATTAGTATTCATTCTCCATGAGAAAAAAAAAAAAAAAGAACCCCTGGAGAATACTCACCTAAGAATGGTGCTCCCGCGAACAGACTCATGGCCAATCCTCTCTTATCCGCCGTGAAGATGTCGGCAATAACACCACCAGCATTGGTCAATGGCGAAGATCCAAACGAACCAGCAAAGAACCGCGTGATAATCAACGACCAGGAGTTCTGCGCACCTGCGCCACCGGCACAGAATGCGGCGAGCGCGAAGAATGTGAACGAGAACACGATTTGACGACCGATCAATTCACTCAACGGGGCCCAGATCAACGGGCCCAGGGCAAATCCGAGGACGAACAGCGACACACCCAACGTGGCGACTTCCTGGACGATTCCGAAAGACTTGGTGACTTCCTGAATCGCTCCGGCATAGGCGGACGAGGATAACGATACTGCAAAAGTTGCAAAGGCGACGACGATGGTGTATCCCCATTTCGTCGTGTCGCTGAATAGCATGGGATTCCGGGGGTCGTCGGGGATCCAGTCGACGATATACGGTTCATCTTCTGTGCCTTTGCCAGGATAGGGATACTCGATGATTTCCGATGTCACGGCGCTTTGGTCGAAAACAACCCTCCAGTACGGAATCCGTTGCGGTCTCGGGGCCTCGATATCTTTACCGGTCGATGCCATGTCTCCTTACTCCCGTTATCCACTCCCACTTTGCCTCCAGCAAGTTGTCCAGGGAGAAAAGTGCAGTGTCATTTCTCTGACGGCGCGTGCCTGTTTTATCCATGGGCCCCGACAGGAATGAAATCACACCACCGATAAGATTTTTAACCTAATAACTCAAAATGGAAAGAACCCCCCCATGTACGTCAGTCTGATTGGCAAACCCGGCGGCAACTGGGTCTTTCCGCATTTAGCTTCCTTCACTGCAACCAATCGGTAAATGTATCGGTAGTTAATCGGCATGCCGACCTTCCGAGCCGCGGCCGATCTATATGGCAGCCCTGGGCCCTTGACAGTACATATATGTTGTGCCGAGATGCAGCAGCTCGAGGCAAGCCGAGTGTCTTTTGTATGGGTTTCACGAAGCACAAGTACACGGGCCATACTGAATAGGGTTTAGGACAAGGTTACTGACATCATTCAGAGAGTAACCGGCCAGAAAGTTCGCGATGGTTCGTCATGATCAGCTCTAGATCTTGGTCGAAGCCAATCAATGCGCATTGTCCGACTCGGGGCCTGTCCTTGCAACAATGATCCAATGCATTGGAGTCTTCGTGACGGAATCACAACCCACGCCATTCCGATAGGCAAGTGGGTCTGTACCAGCTTATGGGTTTTCATTCGATGATCATTCTCGAGCAGGCACGAAAACCAAGGGTAATTGAGCCGCTATCAGGGCAAGCCGTCTTTGATCTCGGGCAAGCAAGGGGAAAGGAGAAAAGAAGACACTTCTGCTGGAGAATTGACGTGGTATATGTGACTGGCCTTTGAAATATCAATACGTCCCGATGTCCCGGCAGACGAAAGCAGCGACGCCAATGCAGAACGATAGATAGATAGACAATAGTAAAGCAGGGCTATAGATTCAGGTGGAGAACTAGAATGCAGGGCCACATGGCCATACTTGTAGATGGTTACATAAGGTAAAAATACATCCAGAACGCCTTTATAGCTGCGAGAAGAGCATTCTGTTTGCGTACACGACCTTGCAGAATACGTCCCCGCTCCCTATGTCGTACGCACGATGGGGCGCGCAAGGATAGACCTACTCCAAACCGACATCGTACGGAAGGGTATAGATCTCGTGCCGATGCATTGTAAGAATCGGTGCGTGTATGGACATAGGTCCGGGAGGAAGCTGAGTAAACAAGGGTAACGGCAATTAAATGTGTAAGAAGCCGAGATCAACTTTCTAGATGTTATCTTTCTACTCTAGTTGCGTGTCAAGGCATTCATAATCGCATGGCACATGCACCTTGCAGGGCGCTGGACCTCGCTTCAAGACTGCCGACATGTACAAACCGAGGCAATCGGACGTCTCAAACAGATGTCTGTCAGAGAATAAAGCGGCCAAGAATCATGGCGTCTGAATTACTGGTGCCTGAACCGTGTACAGGGTCTGAAGGGTCCTCTGGGGTAGATTGTTGCAGGGTGGCCAATGCCGGCGATTCGCCTCGTCATGTGGGTACGGAACAAAAAGAAGGAAACAACGGACGAACGACTACTATTTCCGATTGACCCGATAGCATTTCATTTCGTAGTTCATTGTGGGAGTCAGCCCGAACATCAGCCTTCTCGTAGCCCGACCAATGTCATTACCCGCCGAAGAACCAGAAAGTTCGATCAGGTACAGAATTGGCAGCTTCCCCGGGCCGACAAGTGCTAATGATCGGAGACACACTCTAATTCCGAAACAAAAAAGAGAGCAGATCGAATTTTGGAAAGTCTCAAAAATGCGACAGAACCACGGCACTAACCCGATTTGGAAGCGATGCCGGTAGAAAGATACTCGATATTCGATCTGATAGAGGTTCGCTATCGAGATTATTCAGGGAGAAGTTCCAGTGACATGTAGTGAGCAGGGCTTTCTTTTGTTTGTGTAGTCAAGTTTGTAGTCAACAGCTCGCTTCGATATCATGAGGTACTGTCAAGGGCACCACTAACCTCTGCAAGACCAGAGGTTCAGCAAATGTCAGGCTGAAACACGGTGTCCGGGGAGGAGATCATTTTGAGCATCAATCCCGCCGTCTTGGGATACTCGGCACTAATGGCCTCCCGGTTCCCAATTTTGTGTTCTCGTGCAGGGGCCTGAGTGTTAGAGAACGATATGATTCTCACTATAAATACTGCCATCGACATGACCTAGAGGATGATGTTTTGAAGAGCAATCCGATCCAGTCCTTGACCCTTCTCCGGCAGTCGTCGATTATCACTCCATTACAGGCACTATGATGCTCAAGTCTGTCCTTATTTCTGCCCTGCTCTCGCTGGCAGTGGCTACTCCCGTCCCGCAGCCTGCCGACCTGGAAGTCCGTCAGCTTCTCGGCAGCTCCAACGATGTCGAGCAGGGTAACTGCAAGGATACAATGTTTATCTTCGCCCGCGGGTCAACCGAGATTGGAAACATGGTAGGATTGGACTTGTCAACTCCTCTCGCTGCGGAATGAAAGTAAAAGCTGACATGCATTCCCGCCCACAGGGAAGCGTCGTCGGACCCCCAGTCTGCCAAAACCTGCAAAAGAAACTGGGTTCCGTGGGCTGTCAGGGCGTGGGAGGCGCCTACTCGGGCGGCCTGATGCAGAATGCTTTGCCTCAGAACACCGACCCGGGCGCGATCAATGAGGCGGTCAAGATGTTCAAGGATGCGTCCAGCAAGTGCCCGAAGGCTAATATCGTTGCTGGAGGATACAGGTATGCGTCATCTCTGCCGTCGAGATGTTAGAACGCTGCTGACCAATCTGCAGTCAAGGAAGTGCAGTCATCGACAACGCCGTCCAGAAGCTTGACGACGACGTCAAGAGTAAGGTCAAGGGCGTGGTGTTCTTCGGATTCACTCGCAACCAGCAGGACCACGGCCAGATCCCCAACTACCCCAAGGACCAGGTCAAGGTGTTCTGCGCTCTCGGAGACATGGTCTGCGACGGCACGTTGATCGTGACCGCAGCCCACTTGACATACGGCGCAAACGCCGGTGAGGCTGCTAGCTTCCTGGCCTCGAAGGTTCAGGGTTGATCCAGAGCGAAACGGAACGTTCTCCGCAAAACAGCGAGGTACGTAGACGGTGGTACGAATCACAGACCAACAATTGGCCGTGGTTTTTACCGCAAGTTGCTTAACCGAGAAAGGAATTGTGATTGGTTGAACCGGAGATCGGGTCGAAGGACAAGACATTGGTGTTTCTGGTTCCGAACGGTGGTGGCCAATGTTCATCGTGTGCCTGTGTTGCCAATGTTGTTACTCCGTGCTTGCATAGAATAGAAATCCTCTGGTAGGAATGCTCGCATACCTATTTTCAAAGCAAATATCCGTGATCGACATTGCGTCCGAGATACATAGTACATCAATAGCGTAGCTGGGACACTTAGTAGTTCATACGCCGTCGCCTTAATCCTGTAGGATGCATCAGATATGACGAAATTAGAGCACAAAATCGCCAATGATCGACCGGAAGATCCCCATGCTTGCCCAGACCGGTTATGATGCGTTGCCTCCAATTCGCAGCCCATGGTACGTCAAAGCTTGAGAAAGCTTGACCTGGACTGGATCCAGCCGACTAACTCTATGAAGAGTACGCGGCTGGAATGCCTTTTGTGCAACCGGCCCCTTACCTGAGACAGACTTATCATATAATACACCAATGGTCACCCACATTCCAGTCGGTCATTATCTTTTTCAGTGCAGTGCATCATGAGCAGTTCAGACTCGACGGATCTTGTCAAATCGGAACAACCCTGTGCTGAAGCGGTCCTTTCCGGGCATGAGCTCGAATTCACCCCGGATGGTCAGTTGGTACGCTGGCGACGAGACAACAAACGTCACCCGCGAAATTGGCCGTTGCTTCGCCGAGTCTATGATATCTCGATTATATTCTTTCTGGATCTCTTCCTGTATGGTGTCCTCCCGAATCTGTGGCCGACCAGTTGACTGACCTTATATAGAACTGCTTCGAGTACGGCCGGGGTAAGTTTCGCCTGCTATTTTGACAGAAGCAAAGTCTAACTGATTAGTCTTCGGCCGCCTCAGTAGCCCGTCATGAATACCACCTGGGTCAGACTTTGTCGACCTTTTGCTTTGTCACAGTGTAAGCGTTGTCGTCCTGTTAGTTACCACCACTTCAGCTGACAGAAAACAGCTTCCTTCTTGGGCAGGTGGTTGGATCCATCGTTCTTTCTCCCTGGTCTGAGACTTTTGGCCGCAAGAAGTTGTATATTATCAGCTCCGCACTCAGTTGTATCTGCTGTGTTATCGTCGGTGTCGTTCCCCATATAGCAGCTGTCATTGTAGCCCGTATTGCTGCGGGCTTGCTCTCCGCCATTCCCTACACCGTGGCCAGCGGCAGCACAGAAGACCTGTTCAATTCGCGTGAACGGATTTGGGTCATTTTCGGTTGGACTGTTGCCTCGAATTGCGGATTGATTATTGGGCCCATTATGGGTACACATATCATTGCTGGATTGGGCTGGTATGCTTGCTCTTCTTGGCGTCATGGAACCATGCTGATGCACAAATAGGCGTTGGATTTTTTACATCTTTGCCATCATGATCGCCGCCCTTACTGGCCTCCTCTGCCTCATTCGAGAATCTCGACCCTCATATCTCCTTTCCCACGAAGTTGCAGCCATCTCCCGTGAAACGGGACTCAAGCTCCAGCCGTTGAACCACGACCACGCTCCGGATTTCCAGACCTTCGCCAAAGACGCGCTCTTCCGACCTGCTCAGCTCTTTTTCACAGAGCCTGTTGTTTTCGTTGTGGCTCTCATGACTGCCGTGGCCTTTGGTCTGTTGTATATCTTCACTGAGGCCATTGAGATCATTTATGAGTCTATGGGGTTCTCCAGCACTCAGGCTTCGTTAGCATTCCTTGCTATTGCCGTGGGTGTCTGCGTCAGTACTCTCACTCGGTGGCTAGACGAGTATATCTTTGAGATGCGACACCGTCAGGGCCGGCCCGTCAAGCCCGAGGACAAGCTGGTCGGTCTGGCTCTTGGGGCGGCCGCTTTTGCTGGTGGGCTCTGGTGGCTGGCCTGGACCATCCCGCCGAAGGTGCACAATGTTCACTGGATTGTCCCCACGATTGCTCTGGCGTTTATTGGATACGCCCTCAATGAGTTCGACACAGTTCTGCAGGGCTACTTGGCGGATAGCTACCTGAGTTACTCGGCCAGTGGAACAGCTGCAGTACAGTTCCTACGGGCGTTGCTTTCAGGCGTGTTCCCCCTGTTCACGCCCCAGATGTTTCATAACCTGGGGTCCAACATTGCTGTTTCCATTCTTGCCATCGTGGCCACTTTGTTCTGCGCTGTCCCTCCGCTGTTCATATTTTACGGCGAAAAAATCCGGGCGCGCAGCAAGTTTGCACGATATAGTCTCGTCGTCGAGGCTGAGCTTGGAAAGGATGCGGGTGAACTATGATTTGTATTTGTACGATTACATGCTCATAGAAGTGACTCCATTTCAATTGTATATATTCTGCGAACGAGATTAACATGTATGACCAAATAATCAACCAAGTATTTTAATTGCCGATGATACTCCCGTGTAAAGTGTACGTAGCCTTATCAGTGCATAAACCGTATTTCTGGCAACATTTAGTAAAGGTTATAAGTTATGACTAGCACAATATGGAGATGTTCAGTCTTTCGCCCCATCGGATCAATATCGAGCCAGAAAATCACTGGTCTTTCCCAATTGGAAAGAACTCCTCGACTGCTTCTAATGACTGCCTCTACTCCTACAGACAACACTATGCTTCAGAGCTGCTTGGAGCTGGCGGGTTTCTCTGTCTTTACGGTACGCGAAGGTGGCTCACTAACATGCAGACGATCCGGCCTGGATCCGTGGCAACGAACTACTGCACAGCCGCCTTGATCAGCCCTAGATTCACCTCCTGCCGAGTATAACCTTGTCTCGGGCCTAAGGATATAGGAACTGCTCTGATATCACTCAAGGTTTCAGACACAACCTGAAACACGCAACGTCATATCTCCGCATAACCCGCTGGAGAAATGTCTCAGTTTACCTCGGAACTTTTGTACACACGATGCTCCACGATGCCGGATCGCGATTTGACACCACTTTGTCTCATATTCTTCAAATGGCATATAACTGCCTTGTTCCAATTGGGTGTAATATTCCGAGCCCATGCAAGGCACCTCATATGACAGAGCATCAATTGACGACACACTAGACGTTTGGCTCTTTGACCCTATGAACAGGACCCTATTCGCTTCCCGGGGACCTTGCCGAGTGTCCCAGGCTTCTGCTTTTCATGCAGCTATTTGTGCACTTGGGTGAGAAGCCATGTACACGGTGTCCTGGCCCGAGAAACAACAGAACAACACAACCTTCCACCTTCAAGTCGGCCCTGTGCATGACCAGACCATGTGCATGGAAAAACAAAGTATTGTCGGAATCGGTCATTCCTTTGTAGGATTACCACCAGGTATTCAATTCGACCTTCGCCGTCAGATGTCAACCGAGCAAATGATGAAAATGGGTGACAGCTGAGACGTTCAACGGTTGGCATCCTGTCGACTTCTGTTGAGTCACAATCAAGGTAGCTAATAATAAAGTTACATCATTCCCTCGATCGTTGAATACTTCACAAGATCCAGGTAAACCGGTCTGTCAAATTTTAAGTTACGGCGGTCCTATTTCAGGAAATGTGGAATTCTCCTCTTCAAGGCCAAACATGCACGTCCGAGAGCTCGGGATATTTCCCCTCATTCTCCAAGATTCCTCCTGACACGCATTATTATCATTGTGTCTTCCACAGGGGTTACGGAGTACTCTCTATCACGGGTCCAGATCCGCTTATCTACACCAGCGCAGAATCAAGGCAAATCCAGTCAACAAGAATGTTGATGTGACTCCACGGAAACAGGAGGCTGGGGGTTGAATTCCGGTTGGACAGAAATGCGCCGAACACTTCAAAGCCTGGACCAAAGCAAATCAGTGATCACCGCTGGCCAATGATTGGAACGATAGGACAAGTCGCGGGACCTATTGCCGTGCATCCAGCCCGTCTATAGCTTGGAGCAACTAGTAGCACGTGGGACTTGAATAAAACCGCATAAGCGTTCAAATGATGTGTTGCGTCGGAATTCCACACGACCTTGAGCAACTCCCATATCGTCGATCCGGAATCTCTACTCCGTACCGGCCGATACTTCCTGACCCGCGATCCGTAGGCTTCACTCGATCGAAGTCCTAGTAACTAGGGCTCGATTATGCATACCGGGGACCCCATGGGATCGGCAGTACCCTACATACCAGGCAGCACGGACATATCTCATAGGCGCCCAAAGCTTGCAGAGATGAATTGACTGTGGTCCGTACAGAGTACTTTCTAGTATCATCTTGACGCCATGGCAAACTAAGGCTAAATCACAGACGATGAGGAATGGCCACGCAAAGGCCATTTGGGGGGCAAACAGGCTGCATCCCAAGCTTGCTTGGCCTGAACGTCATCCGGAGGGGCTCTATTGATTTATTTTATTTTATTTTTTGGGCAGTTCGTATGTTTATAAAAGCCTCGCTTTTTATACTTGAAGACCCCATAATTACCTTTTTGCTCGTTTTCATATTCTTCTAGGGAACTGCAGCAAGCGATGGCCGAGATGCACGACTATTCAACTAAAGAAGCCATAACTATCCGTTCCGCCTCGGAACCTGTGTCTGAGCTCTCCGATGAGGTTCTGTCTCAAGAGGATTCCCAGCTGCCCCCTGTCGACAGAGGGGTCGGAGCTTGGATGTTCCTGGTTGCAGCCTTTGTGATTGAAGGTCTTGTCTGGGGTATGTTAGCAAATGTGCCATGCTAAAGTACACCACTGATACAGCAGCAGGCTATGCCTCCTCCTTCGGGGTGTTCCAAGAATACTATCAAACCCATGCACCTTTTGAAGGTTCCGGAAGCATCGCAATTATCGGAACCTGCGCGACAGTAAGTATAAGTGGAAACTGTGACTCGGTACATTCTGACCATGAATAGGGTCTCGCGTATTTCCTCACGCCCTTCGTTATTGGCCTTATGATTGCATGGCCACGGATACAATGCTGGTTATCGACAATTGGGATGGTGGTGATGAGCTTGTCGCTCGCTGCTAGCTCATACGCAACGAACGTCACGCATTTAGCAATGTCTCAGGGTGTGTTATACGGAATCGGAGGATGTCTGGCCTTTACACCGGCTATCATCTTTACAACCGAATGGTTTGTCAAACGAAGGGGGTTCGCATTCGGACTGGTCTGGGTAGGTTCTTGTCTTTAGAATCAGACATACTGCATTCTAACAACTGCAGGGTGGCTCTGGACTTACTGGAATGGTTTTCCCAATTGCCATACAGGCTTTGCTGGATCGATACGGATGGGAAACCACGCTCCGCGTTTCCTCAGTGGGCCTATTTCTTCTAGGTGGTCCGTTTCTCTTCTTCCTAAAGCCTCGCATTCCGACGCGTACATCGACCCGGCGTAGCTTGAATCTCAAGTTTCAGTTCAACCGGGTGTACATCATTTACCAGCTGGCGAACATCATTGAGGCACTCGGGTATTTCCTCCCGGCTGTCTTTCTTCCCTCACACGCCGCTGCGATTGGAACTCACGGTATCCTGGCATCGCTCACTGTGGTGCTTTTCAACTTTACCACCGTCATCGGCTGCGCCATTATGGGGTACATGACTGACCGCTATCACGTCACAAACTGCATCATGATATCGACCATTGGGGCAGTAATCTCCGTGTTCCTCGTCTGGGGACTGTCTGTTAATATTGGTGTGCTGTTCCTCTTTTCCTCTCTGTATGGACTCTTTGCTGGGGCATTCTCGTCGACATGGTCCGTCGTTGCACGTGAGGTGGAAAAGACGGAGCCATCGGCAGACCTCAGCATGGTCTTTTCTTTCCTCGAGGCCGGCCGCGGTATCGGGAATATCCTCAGCGGGCCGTTGAGCTCCGCCCTTATCAACGGGCATCCGTGGCAGGGGACGGTTGGAGGAGCTTATGGCAGTGGATACGGTGTGCTTATTGTTTTTACCGGACTTACGGCTTTGCTGGGAGGATTCAGCCTCTTTGCTAGAATGGTCAAGTGGGTTTGATTGGTTGCATACGGGTTAAGACTGAGATTACGCGAGTGGATCGATTGATGCATACACGGCTACAAGAATGTGTTGATAATAAACGATGCGTGCTAATTTTAATTTTGCGTGAGCATTTTTTGCTATAGTATACTAGGTAAAAGAAATATAACCACGTAGACATATATCGAGACAGCTCTTTGCGATTTCGCATATCTACTTAAGGCTCACTGTAAACTACTTGATAGTTGTAGCATGGCATGCTTAAGGAGGTGAGATGGAAACGAATCTCGTTCATTTTGTATACACCCATTAAGAGGCCCATATATTCCAGGCCTTGAACTGGTTTTTTTTCTTAATTTTGAATGGTTTCGGCCCTTTGTATAAATGAACATAACTGGAGCAGCACGGCCATAACAGGAAACAGATAACTCAGTAGTTACTTTCTCCCTGTATACTGACACTGCTAATGAAGAGGCTGTTTGAACAACGTACGGATATGGGATATTAATCCGAAAGCTGTCGGGACATCATAGGAGAGGAACGACGCAACTTGATAACAAGAAGTCGATGAGCGTCTGCAGACAAGATCCTGAAGGTTGAAGTGATCGTGTTCAGGTAGTCAGTCTGCTTATTCGGAGAATCGCATAACGTTCGTCTACGACGACCACGCTAGACTTCCACTAACACGTCCCTTGACAATCTGGGCCTTCTCTCGACAGGCCCAGGAACGCAGTCCTGCCAAAAATAGCACTGACGATGAGGGTTTAGTTGAACATTTGTCAACATTGGACGGCATTCTGTCCGACATGCTAATGCCGCCACTGGGCACGAATCGTTAGCAAAGCGATGTGAAGATTCCGTGACTTGGGATGCCACCGCTGCCCACAGCTCCTGAGGCACCCAGTCAGCAGCACCAGGTTCCCAAGGGCTCACCATCCCTTCAACTGACCGGAATCTCGGGGACACCAGGACCATCAATTGTAGGACACATCTGATTGTATTGTACTCCGTCGCAAGTGAAGTGACCGTGAGGAGATATAAGAAAATGAAGACTGCCTACAAACTATTGCCTTTGCTTCATCTCTCCGACCAAATCACTCCATTTTATCCGAATATGAGGCCAGTTACTCGGTTACCCTTGAAAGGCAACCCGCTCGTCCATCCTCCAATCGTGTTTTACTCTATAGATGTGATCCCTCTCGTAGACTGCGAGTTCGCCGTGTAGTTGTTGTATGAGATGTAAGTATCGGAACAATATAGAACCCCAAGATATTTTGCATACCCGATACGCGCTATTTCCGCAGTTTGTGTTGTCAGTAAGACACGCATGAGACGCCCAAAAGGACCATTGTGAGGTTGCCAAGTGCCGGCATTTATTCCGTGATATGTTACCAACACAGCCTTAAATTGCAAATCATTGCAAAGGATGGTTAGTGGTGTCTTGGATTGCGAGATTTCCGTCGCTTTCGAGAAATCATGGAACTGCGCCGTTTCGGAAGATCGCCTGGCCGTGCTGAGACATTGGATACATACTCCGGCTTGACCGTTATTCTTCCGTGATGCATGATTCGGACGTCTTGACAGAGGTGAATTGCATCATTGAATGTTGTTGTACACTGTCGCGAAGACAGGTATTTTGCTGCGGAGGTCAATGATACCCAAATGGTTAATCAAATGAGACGTGTATACTCCGTACATGGCGACCGCACCGAATAACATTGTACCCAGATAGATGTTCAGAGGGTAAAATATCGGAAGATCACCAGGGGTAGTGGAGGCAGTGAAATTAACAACGGTCGAAGGTTCTGATCGCCATTAATGGCCATTGGACAAGCGAAACTAGCTTCAGCCTGAATAATGGTCTTCGATATGTATTCCGTGCTGTGTACTCCGCATTGCGATGCTCTGAGGCAACGTGCTTGAACTGGCGGTGACCGGATAAATTCGAGGCAATCGACCAGGACAACTGGACCAAGAGAGTTGAATGACCCATGATTGTGAGACATGGTCCATCGCCCTACCCGCAATGAAGTCAGCATCGGATACCTGGTCACCAGGATCCCGACCAGACCTCAGGTACAAATAAGCCGGTATTCCCAAGCAACAAAGCATCCCAATCCACTACAACTCGAGAAATCAAGACAAGAAGAACATTTTCAAGTCACCTTATCATCCACTCACAATGAAGCTCTCCATCGCCGCCGTTTCCTCTTTCATCGCCGCTACCGTGGCTGCCTCTCTCCCCGAGGCCTTCACTCTCGTCGCTGATGGTGGCAAGACTGTCCTCACTGATGGCTGTAAGTGATCCCCCTACAATGCAGATCCGATCGCATGCTAAAACGGTCCAGCCAACGCCTACGTCGGCGGCAGCACCGACGACAAGAAGATTCTCGTCCGTAAGTGACCTTCCCGAAGATTTCCAATCCGCAAAGATGCTGATCCGAAATAGTCCACGGCGGCGGAGAGAGCTCCCAGGGCTCGGCGGTGACCTACACTGCCGACGATCAGACTCCCACCGGCTGGCAGAACCTGTACGCCATCACCAACGCCAACAAGCCCATTGCCTTTACCGTGCCTCACTCCGGTGCCACCCCCGAGGGTGCCAGCATCAACGGCTGGGGTGTCAATGACCAGGGCTACTTCACCTTCAACGGCGAGCAGGCCTTCGCTGTCCAGGGCGACGACGGTGCCCAGAAGATCTACTACCTCGGCGCTGGCGAAGGCCAGTTCCAGAAGACTCCATTGTACGTCAAGAAGTACTAGAGCAAGGACTGCTAGACAGCTTCGCAACGCGTGATGGAACAGGAATGTCCGATGTGAATCCTGTATATACACTCATAATGCAGAATATCTAATCAAATTAGTCAAGTTGCACCAGCAGTCGACGTGGCAGTAGTTGTAGTGTGACTCCGTAACGTTTCCCAACCAAAAGTCCCATCCCTGACTGCCGGGATTGAAGAATCTCATGGCCCGTGCTGGCACCGGCTGCCAGTCGGACGGCTCCCAACTGTCATCCACCGTTGATCCACCCAATTCGGCAGCTTCACTCCGAACGGAAAGGCATCCCAGTGGTGGTTACTACTTCCTAGTTCCAATTAGCAATAGTGGCATTATTAGCGGAAGGTCCAAGCTCCTAATGTGGTTTCTGCGGAATAAGAAGACAGTAAAACGAAGGGAAAAAAGAATGCAAGAGACACATTAGCACCTCACCACTGCATGCAGAACCGCTGCCATGGAATTGCTGCGTCTGGTTCTCGCACATCCGTATGCCAGTTTCATTGTGCTGGTCACAGCGTATGTCGTGGGTGTTGCCGTGTATCGACTCTGGCTGTCGCCAATTGCCTCCTTCCCCGGTCCTCGTCTGGCGGCGTTGACCTCGCTGTACGAATTCTACTACGATACGATCTGTTGCGGCCAGTTCACCTTTCATATCGGTCGACTGCACGAGAAGTATGGTCCGATTGTGCGTATCAGTCCCGACGAGCTGCACGTCAATGACCCTAACTACTACGAAGTCCTCTACGCCCGTGACACGCCGCGAAACAAATATGAATACTACCAGCGCCCGTTCGGGGCTCCTCTTGCGGTCATCAATGCGATTGAGCACAACCGGCACCGTATGTTGCGTTCGCAGATGAACCCGTTCTTCTCCACGGCTCGCATCCGCCAGCAGGAACCCGCGTTGCGGGCACTGCTCGACAAGCTTTGTCGTCGTTTGGAGGAATGGAAGAAGACTGGCCGTCCGGTGAACATCGAATACCCCTTCACCTGCTTCACGACGGACGTGATCACCGATTACACCATGGGCGACGGATACCACTATCTCGACGAACCGGACTTTATCCCTGCGTGGAACCATACTATGATGGGAACGGCCAAGACGTTGGTCTTCTTCCGGCCCATCGCCTGGACCCTGCCCTTACTGTTCGCGATGCCAGAACGATTGACGGCGTGGTTGAACCCCGGGATGGAGTTGTTTTTCGCGTTCCAGCGTCGGTGTCGAACGATGATTGGGGCCATCACTGCAAACTACCACCGGAAAGTTAATACCGAGAAAGTGAGCAACGGTGACCAACAAAAGACCTTCTTCCATGACATCCTCGGTAGCAGTCTGCCGGAGCAGGACAAGAGCGCGGAACGGCTGGCACAGGAGATGCAGATCCTAGTGTCAGCTGGCGCCGAGACGACGGCCAAAGCAATGAGCTACATCACGTTCTACCTTCTGAACGACCCAGCGATCATGAAGAAGCTGATGGAAGAGTTGAACACGTTGGATCCGGAGCAGAACGCATCACTGGTGCAACTTGAGCAGATGCCGTACTTGGTGTGTTTAATCCCTCATGGAGTCGAAAGCCCTTGCTGACGAGAGCAGAACGGAGTTATGCTGGAAGGACTCAGGTAGGACGGTCATCGTATCTCGCAGCTGAATGTCGACTAACCGAATAGACTGTCGTACGGAGTGTCAGCACGGCTACCGCGGACCGCGCCGTACCACGCCCTCCAATTCAAAAACTGGACGATTCCGCCCGGAGTATGCCACCTTTCTCGACCCTTTCTTCTTCGCCGCTAATGTTTGTAGACCCCCGTGAGCATGAGCTGCGTGCTGATGCACCACAACGAGGACGTCTTCCCCGACTCGTACCGGTTCAACCCCGAGCGTTGGACGGAACCGCAAGAACGTAAGCGACTGGAGAAGTACATGGTAGCGTTCAGCAAGGGATCGCGACAGTGTGTCGGAATCAAGTAGGTTCATGCCCTGGGTTAACTAGGAGACTGGATGCTGACCGGACAGCCTTGCGCGGTCGGAGATTCTGTTGGTCATCAGCACGATTCTGCGGCGATTCAAGCTGGACCTGTTTGAGACGGACGTGGAGGACGTGAGGGTGAAGCACGAGATCTTCATTCCGTTTGCGAGAATGGACAGCAAGGGTGTGAGGGTGGTGATGAAGTAGTAGAGTGCGGTGCGAGTACAGAAACTCGAGGCTGAGGACTATTGTTATTCCGATCACGTGCGCATAGTTTGTGTACAATGACTAATCCAAGTTATGTGATTATGCTCACCAGGCACCAGGCAGCACCATTCCTGAGGCCATATAATTGGCTGCCCTAGTCAGCCTTGTAACTTGGCGTCAGGTGACCGCATTTCCCGATTGGGTAAATTGGGACAACAGGGGCATCTTTATATAGAGCATAGCTGAGCAGTGGCCTATAACACTGGCTGTAGGGCATTAAGCGGTCTCACTCCGGCGCTACACAAAGACTTGGCACATAATAGTCCTCAATAGTCCGGGGCCAAGAAAGCATTCCTTCTGCCTGGGCTTGCAGGGGATATATTTCTCTCTTTTGTTCTTTCCTTCTCCTTCTGATTTCACCAGATCCATAACACTTTGCAAAGAATAACAGTGAACATGTCGTACCCCCCGCAAGAAGGATAGTAAGTGCTGTCCCATGGTACTGACTACAGCTTCCGAGCCTAAGCTGACCCTCTAGTTACCCACCTCCTCCCGGAGGCCAGTACCCGCCTCAGCCTCCGCCGGTATGTCCCTTCGGTCGTGTCCAGATCGTGCTTCACTAACAGCTTGCCTTCAGATGCAATATCAGCCGCCGCCGCCCCCGGAATCGCAGAGCAAGGACCGTGGTTGTCTTACGGCATGGTCAGTATATACCCGACGCGAAGGAGAAGAAGGATTGGGCTGACCCGAGCAGTATCGCGGCCATGTGCTGTTGCTTCCTGTGCGAGGAAACATGTGAATGCTGCATTGATATGGTTGAATGTTTATGCTGTGGTTGTTGATATATACGCGGTTCTATTTTTTTGTTTGTTTCGGAAATGATGCTAGCATGGCATATGACAATTGGGTGCTCTGATTTATTGCGACCGTATATCCAAATGGACAGTTGTTCTCTAAATCTTCGCCCGACCCAGCTTCTTCTCCTCTGCCCGGTACACCTTGACCAATTGACGTACCGACAAATCGAGCAACACATCCTCCGATCCTCCGGGAATTCTCGCTCCGGGGACGTCGCGGTAGATAGCTTTGCCCGTCAGTCGATATTCCACAATACACGGTGGACGAGTACTCACCTTCGACCAGCTCGCCCTGCCCCGTCGCTGTAAAGCCGTTCCCTCCGAACAGCAACACCGCACATTGCGCGCACTCGTTCAGCACCATGGCTGATTTGGCCTTGGCCAGCGCCGTGATCCCTCCCAGTCGTAGGTCGCCTTCCTCCTTGTTCATATGACAGAGCTGGTACAAGATCTGCTCGACCCACGCGTGCATCGTCTCGAGCTCCGCGCCGGCTTTGGCCAGACGGTGTCGCACCACGGGCTGGTCCATGAGTGTCTTTCCAAACGCCTCGCGCTTCAAGCAGTACTGGACGGCCGCGGACAACGCGACGCGGGCCTGGCGCGTCACACCCACGGCAATCGTGAGTCGCTCGTGGTTGAAGTTGGTCATGATAATGCGCATGCCTTCGCCTTCGCGTCCTATCAGGTTCGACACAGGGACAGCCACGTCGTCCAGCTCAATGTACGTGGTGCCACCGGTCTTTTGTCCGGACACGTTCAATCGACGCATGGTGACTCCGGGATAACCCTTCAGAGGCACCAACAAGACCGACAGCCCAGCAGCTCCGGGGCCACCCGTGCGGACAGCCATGGTAGTGTAGTCGGACCAGATGCCGTTGGTGATCCTGGATGGTCAGCAATGTCTCCAGAACGGGAATCCGTCGCGGAAACGCACCATTTCTTGGACCCGTTAACAATGTAATGCTTGCCGTCAGGAGTCTTCTTGGCCGTTGTCGTCAGATTGGCCACATCACTGCCAGCTTCGGGCTCCGTGATAGCAATGCAAGCGCGTTTCTTGCCAGTCAACAGTTCGGGCAGGAACCGCTCCTGTAGCTCTTCACTTCCGTACTTGATAACCGGGGGAATGCCAAATGCAAATCCAGCATTCAAAGATGCCCCGGGACCGGCAAGGCCAGAGCGAGCCAGCTCGTCGCAGTAGATCCCTGTATACATGTAATCCCAATCCTCGATCTTGACCCCAAGAATGTCATGGATGCCCAACCGCTTCAGCCACCCAACCGGCAATGGCGCAGGGAGGTTCGGCAACAACATGTTATGTTGGCAGAACGTCTCGAAGACGTGTTCCGGTACGGTACCCTGGCGCTCCCAGTCCATGGCATGGCGCAATAGATGCTCCCAGAGGAATTCGCGACAAGCCTTCTGGAAGCGACGATGCGCAGGTGTGTAGTAGGGGGACGGTAGACCGCGCAAATACGGCGGCTCCGCAAATGGTGTGGTACTAACCTCAGTCATCTTGAGGGTCTAGTGGTTTGTCTTGAGTTGTCTGCTCTCGGTTCTTTTGTATCCCTCAAGACCCCCCGCATGCTGGACCGAGACCGAGGTTGTGGGGGGGACCAATCAGAGGGAGCATGTGGCTTAGTCATTGTTTACTCGAATTGTTAGGGTGTTTAAAGAACCACTGTTTAAAGGACAAATGTAAGGTATGTGCGAAGAAAGGGCGTGGATAATGGATTCATAAGTGTAGCTAGTTCAGTAAGGAATGAGATGGCACAAGTGTTGCGACCCGGTATGCGGGTATCTGAAGAAATATATAGATCGCAACAGGATTAAGAGTGACTTTTAACACAAGAAAACATTACGAAGAAGGTAAAAGAGGGTGCTGAACGCAGGGCTACCACGACGGTCTTCCGTCCGGATCATTTGTCCTCGCCTCATATTCTACCGTCACGTTGTCTGTCCGTCGAATCTGTCCCAGCGGATGCGCATCATTGTGGTGTTGGTCGTCGTCGGTGCGCAGGATACTCTCCTGGCTTTCGACATCGTTGATAGTCGGCTCCGGCTTTCGGACCATCGATCGACGACTGTGTACGTAGGATGTCGAGTTCATGTACTTGCTATTCTTTTGGCGACTGGAGTTGTTGCTATACGACCCGAGCGAGCGCTTGCCGAGGATGAGCTCGAGAATGGGCTGGAGGGTGGGAATACAAGAGGCGACGATAACGACGTTGGACTCGATGCTACTCATGGTCAGTGATGGGTCTGTAGTAGAACGGATCGTGCAATATACTTGGTCCACATGACGAGATCTGCCGTCCCATCTAGTCAAGTCAGCAACTGTGCGGCGCGACGTACGGGAGCGTGGCTTACAGGTATAGTCGGACTTGTCGGCCAGGCCCTTGAGCTGCGTGCATTTTATAATGGCCATTGCGGAGGCGCTGGTCTGTTAGTTGGATTCACTCTGGACGGCGAGGATACTTACATGGACCCCAGACCCAAGGCTGCGCACAGGGCCAGGCGCTTTCGCAGCGACATATGCAGACTCAATAGGATAGTCGTGGGGTAAATGGCCAGGTAGAGGTCGACACAAGCTGAGAGCGCTGGGGGATTATCGTTAGGTCAATCTGTTTATTCTTATGGAGCGAAACCTACCTCCAGTGAAAATGGCATAGTCGATTAGTATCCAGGTATCCTTGCAAGTTGCAGCGCCTTCCATGACCAGATGCATTTTCCATAGGGCCTTGGGTGGATCACACATGGTAAAAAGGACAAGGATACAAATCACGGATACCACGGCCGCGAATCCAGTTAAGAACCAGAGTGCAATGCGATGGAAAAGGGTTGGATTGAGGATCCGGTTCAGCATGGCGCTGACGGCCAGCTTAGGCAGGGTGAAGGAGAGGATGCCGAAAAGGAAGCTGACGGTGTTGAGGAGAATGGCCGTCTCGAGGTTATCCTGGCTTAGAAAGACAGCATGCTTGCCATAGCCAATGATCACATTGGCTGTGGTAACGCCGCAGTAAGCTAAGCCCATGCACTGTCTCGTCAGCATACAGGAAGACGATGCAAGCCAAAGGATTATTTACCATGGATGCGGCAATTAACCAGTCATCCGGGCCAAAATTCTTCAGTAACTTTCCTCGGATAAGCATCCTTGCTGCGACTATGAACGTTGTTAGGCCGGTCAAAGCCCACAAGACCCCAAGGATCTTAGGGCCGCGGTTGTCGTCCTCTGTAACCGTCATCTTGGGACAATAAGACAAAGAAGATTGCTAGTGGAAGAGATTTCGTCCCTGCCGGCACCTTAAATGAAAGTGACAGAAGCCCTGACTGAACGCCCCCCAGACCAGGGGCGTGGGACACAAAGTGCATCCATCACAGCACCGGCATCACAGAAAACTCTTGGTCATAGAGTCTGACAAAAGTTCTGTGACAGGTAATTTCACATTTCCATAGATAGAATGGTAGGCGCAACACCATAATAAATGATAACACTTCGGACGACCTGCGGCTCGTTCCTATTCGATCTTGGCCCCGTAAATCCCAGGACAGTGTCCGGCCGGTGCGTAGAGAACAGATTAAGTGGAGCTCGGCTTTTCAAATGACAGCAGGCCGGGATATGGGGCCGTTGGAGCGTGGGATTTGTGATTGGTCCCATCGAAATAGCACCTGCACGGCCGTTACTTGTCATATGGTTAGCGTAGTCCCGAGGAGCTCCAGGGAATTCGTATTCCTACTACGAAGACCCACTGAAAGTTGCCGCAGTCACTACTCCTACAACAGCACCTGTTCGAATCTGGTAATCCAGAGTATACAAGCATGGCACAACTACAGAAGTACAGCCCCTATTCAAGACAACCCAGACTCCATTCGTCAAGAATTTGATCCCCTGACCGGCTAAAGTACAGGTGATATATAGAGCGTCGCTCCTCACATTGTTCGTTACCCCATCCAAACCGGCGTGTGTTTCTTAGCATAGTATCCAACCATTCATCATGACCATCAGAAACGGCCCAACCAACGGCATCACCAACGGAGTCTCCAATGGTGTCTCCAATGGTGTCTCCAACGGAAAGGCCAACGGCGCTGCAAATGGCGCCGTGAAAAATGGACATACGAATGGAAACTTCTGCTTTGATGACAAGGTTGCTATCTCCGCCAATTCTCCAGACAAGGTCCCGGGTTTGCTAAAGGACATTCTCGCAAATGGCCTTGCTTTTTCCGCGGACCATGATGCTAGCGCCCGGTCCACCCTGCTGGACGCAGCACGGTCTTTGGTTCACGCATTGGAGACACCCCGTGAGACCATGATCCGCTACTGCTGGTCGCAGGTATGAACATCCACCAATGCCAGTAGAAGGGTACGCTGACGTTTTAGTCCACTACATACGCAGCCATCGAGACCGGTGTTGACCTCGGACTGTTCGCTATCCTTTCGCGAGACGATAGATCAAAGAGTGCGGCTTACCTTGCCGAGAAAACCGGTGCTGATAGCACGCTTCTCGGTATGAATAGTTGTCTTGCATAACCTCCTTTTCCAAGCTTTTACTGACTCGATAGCTCGCCTGCTCAAACACCTGAGCGCCGTTGGCGTCATTGACGAAACGGGACCGGATGAGTACCGTCGGACGGGATTTTCAATCACGCTTGGAGTGCCCCGGTACAGCGATGCCTACGCTTGCATGTTAGTCTTAGACCCGTTTCCCCCTCTTCAGACGAAGACTAACAGACCCAGGACTGGTTGCATTACAGATGGTGTCCTGGCGTTGCCCGCATACCTACGCAAAAACAACTATCGCAACCCGACCGACGGTAAAGATTGTCCCTTCCAGCTGGGCTTCCGGACCGACTCCCATTTTTTCGAGTTTCTCCGTGACCATCCCGCACATGCCTCCCAGTTCAACAATCACATGTCCGCCTATCACCAGGGTCGTCCTAGCTGGATGGACGTCGGGTTCTACCCGGTCCCTGAGCTGGTGATGGAGCTGAAAGAGGCAGACGATGTCCTTCTGGTCGACGTCGGTGGCAGCTTGGGCCACGACCTTTCCGAATTCCAGCGCAAATGGCCCGACATGCCTGGACGGTTGGTGCTTCAGGATCTTCCGAACGTGGTCGAGCAAGCCCGAGGCACGTCGCTTCATCCCCGTGTCGAAGTCATGGCCCATGACTTCTTTACAGAGCAGCCCGTGAAAGGTAGGCTCCGCTAGCTTTCCCCGTTACGCATCAGCCGTGGCTAACGTGAACAGGTGCTCGCGCTTACTACATGCACTCCATCCTGCACGACTGGAACGATGACAACTGCCGCAAAATCCTGTCAAACTTGGTTCCGGCCATGAACCGCGGTTATAGCAAGGTCCTAATCAACGAGAATGTCATCCCCGACACCAATGCCTACTGGGAGACCACCAGTCTCGATATCATCATGATGGCCGACTTCGCGTCTCAGGAGCGTACAGAGCGGCACTGGCACTCTCTCGTTGAATCCGTCGGGCTGAAGATCACGAACATCTGGACGGCCCAGCGGGGGGTGGAGAGCCTGATTGAATGTGAATTGGCGTAATATATTAATTATTGGGGGCGTTTTGTACAATACGGTATTTGTGATCTGGTTCTATAGTTAGTCATAGTTGACCTTTGATAATCAGTAATATGGAATTTGGTTTTTTTGCATACTTTCCAGTATCCATGGTTACGGCCAGATTGAAATAGGGGCGCGTCCATCGCTGTGCACACAAGTTGAACATACCGTAGAAGGGGACTTCGGCTTCTGCTGTGGGTAAGCATAACTAGAGCCAACCGGAGGCGTTGCGCCGATAGGCTAATATAAAAATCCGCCGCTAAGTGCCGGAACGAGAATCCCGGAGCGAGGAATCAGGCCGTTCAACGGTCCAATTGGCTCGAAAACTTCCCTGATTGTCGTGGAACTGCACCTGTCAGTCCTCCAATAGCATGCCGGGACTACCGTTGAAACTCACCCATACTATCGGTATGTAGACAGCAACGGTCCGGGTATCCGGAGCTTTGCGTCAAAAGTACATTCGCTGTTGCCGCGGATAAAAGGGCTACAAAATAAATAAGGGAAAAGGAAAGAAAGAAGGAAAGGAGCCGAATCCTTCGCCCTGACTGAGCCCAGCCAGTCGGTTAGAGAAAGTACGGTCCATGCTTCCCAGTATTCAGACTACTATGCAGCGTCCCGCGGAAGAGTGGACATGTTCCTGAATACGACAGGCGAGATTCAGTGGGAGGATGAGGAATGGCAGGTGCTTAGCGAAGCGGGATGCTGCTGTCGAATCATACCTTGGTTGTTTTCCGGGGAAACATCAGGACCCGGCAGAAGTAGAACCTGTTTATTCCACGGACCATTTCCCCAATGGTACAGTTGCATAATAAATCCCATCGGCTCTCCCCTTTCCAGAATGTGATGAGCGTGATGCGGACATTGTAGTGTGATACGAACAGGCGAGACCTGTGGCGACGCTTCGATCGCTATCATCTTAAAACATAGGTCACTTCTGCAGAACCCCGGACACAATGCTTCTGCCACTGACATCCAGCAATTCTTCACGATGTGTGATATTCCTTCACTCCCATAACGGGTGGAGTACATCGCCATGGGGCCTGGCCGCATCGAAATGTTGAATCCCATCTGTTTCCATTAGTACGAAGGAGTCGAGATCTGAGTGTCGATGTCCTGCCAAGGATGCTAGCCAACATTGATAACGAGTCGGGTGTTGCATAGTGCTTACCAGGCGAAAAGCAGTATGGGGGCGAGTTTCTGCAGAGTCGCAATGTCCCGATTGGGTGTAGACATGACTTTCGGCCATTCCCCCTTGTTCTCTTCAACCCCTATCTATTCCTGGGAGCATGGCCCTTCCTGCTGCGAAGTCCACAAACCTATCATCATCTCAATTTTCTTGATCTCCTCGGAGAGAGTGATTACGGCAGTAGGCGGGAACTTGGAGTTCCAGGCACCAGATGATTTGTGTCAGAAAATTTGGCCAGAAGCTAAACGAACCCTCGTCGATGTTCTCATGGTCCCGACGCCTTGCCTCTTGATTAGTAGCGGCAACGTATCGCATCCCTTCCACCCAAGACACTTAATCCAGCCGCAGCGCCAGCTCAATCATCCTCGAACTCTATCCGAAATAAGACTATAGATTTCCGAATGTGCCATGAGAGATTGGCGAACGTGCGTCCATTCATCGTTGTAGGAGAATTCCGGCAGAGAACTAGTCATCTGGCAAAGTTATGCTTCGAAGACCGCCAATTCCCGAGAAGATCGCTCCCTTTCATCGACAACAAGACGAAGCTGTTGGAATCGACGTGATACGTGATTACGTGATAGCTGATCGAGACAAAAGCAGAAGCATGGTCAGCTATAGGGAACAGAACTTGATGATGGTATCGCAAACATCAACCGCAAAACTGGGGTGATTGATCAGAAAGTCTTTCGCCGGCTCACGCCAAGCAGTAGCGGATGCGTACACCTCGCTCATTATCAATAAGTGGGCGGCCGAATGTCAAGATGATCGGTGGAATAGGTGCAATGCCGGAGTCATTCGAGTCGACCAAGTCGAATATAGATCAGATTTCACAACTGACTCAAGTAATAGTTGTTCATGGGCCCCTATAGCAAGCAATGCGGTGTTGAACTTGTCATCAGTGATTGTGCATTATGACAAGGTCGAAGAGGGCCATCATCCTTATCCTAACCAGTGAGCCGGTCCTAACCAGTGAGCCGGGAAACTGAAAGCTCACTGGGGTTCCGTCTCAATCAAGTCAGTAAGCAAAAACACTCTCCTTCATGGGCTCATATGCAAGATACGTAGTGAGGTTGCTAACCGGCACAGGTGAGCAGAGAACTTGGTATGTGTGCTACTATCGTACCTGGGACGGGATATCTTGGAGCACCGATTCGCCACGGACGCAGGGTACCTGGCATTCGTATCGGATGAAATGTGTGTATTGATGCAGGAACAGAGGCACTGACTGAATTCCTTGTACAGGGTAGGCAGAGGGCATAGCAAAGTGCAGTATGAACCCCGCTCTGCATGATGCGATACAGGATGCAAGGCGAGCGCAAGCCATGGCAGTGATGAATCCCCAGTCAATCAGAATGAGGCATAACTGATCCGAGCTGTGACCCAATAAGATCGACCAAGTGCCACCTGAGCTGATTGATTATGTACGTCGGACCCCTCTTCGGTGGCCTATTTATTGAGCTCTCTACCTGTCCCCTGTCCGAGGACTAGCAACAATCTTCTCATACTTTCAACCCACCAGGTGCAATTGTTGGTATCCCAGCACAATGTCAACCCAAACAGAAGTGAAACCAAGTGCGACCTATGGCAGCACCAATGGGCATCTTGAAAAGTACACTCACCCCCCAGAGACCAAGGAAAAGCGTAAGTATCGAGGCCCTGTCCTTTGCAAGAACAAGACTGATACAATACAGTCGACTACGCAGATTTGACCTCCATCGATCTCTCCGAGTTCGACCGTCCGGGTGGAAAGGAGAAACTTGCGGCGCAATTGAAGGATGCTGCACATGAAGTTGGTATGACACCTGTCCCTCGCTCTTATTTCTGTTCCTTGGATGCACCCGATGCTGACCTGACCTGTGTCCTAGGCTTCTTCTACGTTACGAACTTCGGTCTCACCCAGGAAGAAATCGACCGGCAATTCGCCATCGGACGCGAGTTCTTCGCTCTTCCCGAGGAAGAACGGATGCAGTACCGCGCGCCGCTCGAGGAAGGAATCTACAATGGTTATCGTCCCCTGGGCTCCATCGAGATTCTACCGGGACTGCGCGACAATATCGAATTCTACAACGTAATGAAATTCCTCCCCCAGTATGAACGCAAGCATCCCGATGTCTATCGACAGCACTGGGCGGAGATCGAGAAGTTCCATCGGCATGTGCATGAGCACGTTGCCTACAGGCTCTTCCGTTTGCTGGCCATGATCCTCGAGATCCCCGAAGATCAGCTGGAAAACGGCCATCGCTATGAGGCCAACTGCGACAGCGGTCTGCGCTACATGATGTACCGCGCGCGCTCCGAGGAGGAAAACAACAACTTCAGAGACCTCTATTCGCGTGGTCACACGGACAATGGAACCATTACCTTTGTCTTCCAGCAGCCAGTCGCCGCATTGCAGGTGAAGAAATACGAGAACTCGGACTGGGAATGGCTGCGCATCCCTCCCGGCGCGATCGCCGTGAACATTGCTGACATGCTCTCAATTGTGTCGAATGGATACCTGAAAAGTGGGATCCATCGAGTGGTTGTGCCCCCCGAGGACCAAGCATGCAACGACCGACTGGGACTGCTGTATTTCGTTCGTCCAAGTGACCGACTGATGCTGAAGACTGTGGACAGCCCGCTGTTGCGCCGGCTGGGATACTACGAGGAGGGAAAGAATGCCGATATTGATGTTCCGGCCATTGAGTGGACCCGGGCGCGTGTTCGCAAGAATTGGTCCAGGTCACCAACGGATCCCAATGCGGGTACGACTCTGGCGGGTTTCTCGGTGAAGCATTTCCATGATTGATTCGTATAGCGTATGGAGTACGTCTGGTAGATAGTCTGAATACAGTTCCCTTGAAGTGGTGCCATAGTAATCTTCAGCTGAGCCACCGGCCCGCGAGTTCCACTCTCGTTCAGCTCTTCTGTGCGTGATGCCGATCCAAGAGGGGTAATGCATGGCAATTGAGTCCATGGCGAATAAAGAGCTACGAAACCCCACGCCAACACACGGAGAAAATGGAAATTGATGTGCTGTCATTGCTCAAAGCGTCCGAGACTAATCTAGGGCTAAATCTTGTTCAATCGAGACTTCCGGGTCACAGCTGAGGTGCGGAGCATCTCATTAGTGAGAATCATCACCCCCTCATCCGCTCCGATTCCCGGCTTCGACAGAAGAAAGTCAGGCTGTGTTGCCAATGCCACATGCGCCGTGATGCGTGCGGACACGTCCGTTTCATTAGCTGAACCTCCCAAGCAGCACCCGACCTTTCTCTCCCGGCAGTAGAGTACGGCATCGATACTGTTGTGGATAGAACCCAGGTCGGGCATCTTAATTTGCACAAAGTCCACAGCCCCGGCATCCGCAAACTCCCGAATGTCGTCGAGCGTATTGCACCATTCGTCCGCCACGAGCTGCACCGGAATGGACTGTTCCCGCAATCGTAGCCTGAGATTTTTTAGTTGCTGGATTTGTGCGGCCTTAGTGGCGGCGATGACTGGGGACTCGATGAGAAGATCGTATGGCTGAGCGACTCGCTGGAGCTCGCCCAGAAATGATACCAATTCGGTATCGTCTAGGAACAAGTCACCCATGGTGCCGTAGACATCGAAGTGCAAGCGCGGACGGTATCCTGGCGCCCCTCGTTCCTGTACACGTCGGGATACCTTTTCCACAAATTCCAACATGGCCGAGCCTCGAGGTCCAAGATCATGAACGTGGATAAAGGATGCGTGGGGTAACATGGCAACCTGCTTCATGATCATACGGTCCAATTGCAGGAAGTCGTCGCGGTGACAAGAAGCCAAGATATCCACAGGCCGGTCGACGATACTTGTGCCCCATTCACGGGCGATGATCCCGGCCGCGGGGCAGAGATGAGCCAGTGCCGTGGCAGACAGGAGCGCCTGCGACAGGCCATAACGAATGGCAGAATGCAACCGAAGACCCTGTAGTTCTGGCCACGGCGAGTCGACACGGATAGCATTGGGTCGGAAATGGGTAATGTCGCAGTTCAGCAGCCATGGCTTGACCACAGATTCAAGTAGTGGAAGATGCTCGTTGGCGTTGAAAAGTGGATCGCGAGACGCGGCACCAGAGAAGATGACATCGACACAGTCGCCCACAGCCCATTGGCCATTGGGCAAATGCAGCAGGATGGAAATCACTTGGCCGGCCTGAACGACTTGCTGAAATCCGGGCGTACGAGGGGTGATATTGTTGACTAGGGGATCGTAGGTTGGGCTCTGGCGAACAGCCTCGAGATCTTTCACAAAGTAGCCAGAGAGGCCAGTAACAAATTCAACGTCGAGTGGTTTCATTATCCAAACGGGTCAATTGATCAGGAAAAATTTGCATATCTGTACATTTGCCATTTGAGGAGCCAGCTATATAGATCGTTTAAAACTTACTCTGAGCACGCCTTCGTGGAGTTTTTTTACGGTGGATCCTCAATCCGAGATCTATCATTATTCAGGAGGGAAATTTTGGATACATTAGCGAGATTTGATAGACAGGCGTGTACTCCGTGATCTAATGCAAGCTAGGCGTGGGTGCACACGTCGATCCTTCAGCTGAAGCCGCCGTAATGTCAATTATAGCCTGAATGTGAATGGTCGGCTCAAACAACTGGAGTACCAAGATTCACCGATACCGTCTTGGTCTGGGTGTAGTTGAATAGCGCCTCTTCGCCCAACTCTCTTCCAATGCCCGACTGCTTGAAGCCACCGAAAGGCAATTGCCAATGGACTCCGTTGTACTGGTTCACCCACACCGTACCCGCCTTGATCTTGTTAGAGACCTCGATGGCGGTCTTGAGGTTTTCGGTGTGGATACCGGAGGCCAATCCGTAGGCAGTGTCATTTGCGGCCTCGACAATCTCGTCGGTCGTGTCGAACTTGGCAATTACACCTACTGGACCGAAGATTTCTTCCCGTACAATGTCCATGTCGCTGGAGACGCCGGAAAAGATGGTTGGCTCCATGAAGTAACCTGGGCGATCGACTCGGTGACCCCCGATTTCGACTTGGGCGCCGGCCTTTTTGCCGGAATCGACGTATCTAGAAGTGGATTAGCAACTTGCCTTCGCCGGTTCAAAATATCGACATACCCAAGAATACGATCCAGCTGAGTCTTGGAGACCTGGGCACCATGGGCAGTCTTTTCATCCTCGGGGGATCCAATAACTCGTTGTTGAACGCTTTCTTTCAATCTCTGGACGAATGTATCGTAGATGCCAGACTGCACGTAAATCCGACTGCCTGCACAGCAATTCTGTCCCATGTTGGAGAAAATTCCGTTGTGAATCCACGGAACAGCCTGGTCAATATTGGCGTCATTGAAGACAATATTCGGTGATTTGCCCCCCAGCTCCAGCGTGACCTTCTTCAGGTTAGATGATGCTGCATCCTTCAGGATCTGACGGCCCACGGCTGTAGATCCTGTGAACGCGACTTTGTCCACGCCCATATGGCGAGAGAGAGCAGACCCGGCAATGTTGCCATAGCCGGTGATGATGTTGATGACTCCTGGAGGGAATCCCGCTTGGACGACGAGCTCAGCAGCGACCAGCGCAGACAGTGGTGTGACCTCCGCGGTCTTGATGACCACGGTGTTCCCGCAGGCAATAGCCGGTCCGATCTTCCATGCCCACATCATCAATGGCTGTTGAGGGTAAGCATTTGCTTGAAGTATGGATATGTTCGAGGGCAACTTACGAAGTTCCATGGGATAATTTGACCGCACACACCAATCTAGAGTAGTTATATTAGCTAGCCGGTCCTGAATTGCTCAATGGGCAGAGAGAAAATGATACCGGTTCGCGTCGGGTGTAGTTGAAATTCGTGGGACTCGTGTCGATAACGCGACCTTCGATCTTGTCTGCCCACCCAGCATAATATCGGAGACAACCAATTGCTCCTTCAATGTCGCCCCGGGCGCCGTTGATCGCTTTTCCATTGTCCATAGATTCCACCGCTGCCAGCTTCTCCAGGGACTCCTCCATCAACGTAACCAGCTTGTAGAGATATTGCGATCGTTCGGTAGGAGTGGTCAGTTTCCACTGGCCGTTCAGAGCCTTTCGGGCGACTGCAACGGCCTTGTCAACGTCATTTTCGCGAGCTTCACTGACAGCGCAGATTTTCTGCTCGGTTCTGGTACGATACAGTCAGTGCCGGGGAACCGGTGTAACGGGCAATTGACATACGCTGGGTTTATCTGTGTCTCTCGATCAGTCCCAATTCCCGGGAAAAATATACAGGGCAGCACATACCACATCAATGGTGCCTTCACCGGATCCGGCTACGAATTCATTATTGATGAACCTGCTGCGTTTAGTATGTTTTCCATGGAGTCGAGCATTGGAAAGACGTACAGTCCAGTGGGCTGCTGGTAAGAGAGACCCGTCGGCGTGGTAAGAGAAACAGCAGTTGTTGTCGCCATTATGGAAGCAATTGAAGTAGTTGAAGTCGAAATCGGACTGAACCACGAGCAGGAAACATAGTTAAACTGGGCATTTGATGACAAATCGCGGGGTCCATGAGGGGTTCTTAACAGGTTTTGTATTCGTCGAGGTCATTAGTATTGGAATACATCATTTATGCCTTGTTTGTAGGGTGTCGATAGCAGTGCTTGACCGGTTAGTCTATCCGACATTGACTTGGCACTGAGTCCCCGATTTCTTCCACTTTTGATAAGGCCAGTCTTGGAGGTTGCGGCAGAAAAGATGTTGAAAAGATATAGGATCCGAGTAAGATTCATTCGCGAGTGGTCTGGTATCTTTTAAACAGGACTCATAAGGGGACGGGGATGTCGGCGGAATGTGCACAATGGACTATGCGGATTACCAAGTGGTCTCCGGCAGAGGAACCGCATGAATCCTTGGATGGACGGGAGCTCCATGGCCCATAGATCATCCTTTATACCTCTGTAGGCTTGGGTATCTGACCCGAGATACATTTGTTTGCCGCGTGACTGTCGGAGTCGTTTCCGAATATATATATATATATATACTGTAGGGGTCACCATACCCGCGAATATGGACGGACACCTTTACTATGAGACAAGAAACGAAGTCACATTTGACAGGGGACTTTATTGCCTCTGCCGTGTCGGCGACAATTGTAACTCCTGCGGTTACCATCATTGATCGGTCAGTGTAGTAAATCTCCTTGAAAGCAAAGTTGCTTTGCTGACAAAAACCACGCCACAGGGCTTTGGTTGAAAAGGCGTCATGTAACTGGCCGATAATACGTGGGTTGAGATCCCATACCTTGGATGCTCTGAAGCGACCAGGCCGTTTTGTCTTCTCTCGTCCTTTTGGCCTCATTTGGACATTGTACGCAGCCACCTATGCCGTCGCCAATGGGGCCGACACTATCACCAAGGAAACAATCCCGACATCACCAGTACGGGATCCCATTGTCTTCGGGTCGACCTTCGCTATTAATGTGCCTCTGGGAGTGTGGAAGGATATGCGCTTTGCACAGCTGTTTAGTAACTGCAGTAAGGAGGCGACTGTTGCACTACGAAATGTGCCTTCTCGGGCATTTTCCAGCGTTGGAACGGCCGTATTTCTTCTTCGCGATGGCATAACTATTTCTGGCTCTTTCACATTGCCTTCGTATTGTGCTGGGGCCATTCCAGACGGCCTAGCAACAGGGCCGCACTCGAGAACTGTGATAACGCAAATCGTTGTGCCAGTTTTATCTCAGCTTATGGCGACCCCGGTGCACCTTCTCGGTCTGGACTTATACAATCGACCTAAAGTGGCTGCAACAAGCGAGAGATTTACACTCATGGCACGGTATCTTCCATCGGCGACCGTTGTTCGATGTATTCGCATCATCCCGGCGTTTGGATTCGGGTGTCTAACGAACATGGAGTTACGAGAATACTTTCACAGTAAAATTAGACTAGAGCACATTAACCAATGAACAGAATGATTGATATAAAGTTCATTCATTGCCGAGTATCATTTACATGAGGAACTTTTCCCATAAGCCTTGCAACAGTAACGGCCTCCCTCAACGCCTTTCCAACATGACCACGGACTCCTGCCTCTTCCAACACCATCAATCCTCCGATGGTGCATCCCTCTGGCGATGTCCCTTGATCCTTCAGCAAAGCTGGATGGGTTCCACTCTGCAAAATCCCTGCTGTGCCCTGCATGGCCTGGAAAACAGCTGTATGCGCGAGGTCTCTCGGGAGTCCCACCGCGACGGCGGCGTCGATCATTGCGTCGACAATAACCGCAAAGAAAGCAGGCGTCGAACCACCAACAGCAGTAATGGCTTCTATCTGTGTCGGGGAGACGTGCACAGTACGACCGATCCTGTTGAAAATCGCGTCTGTAATTTCCGCCGATTCCGGAGACAAAGGAGAATCCATGGAGTTTTCAACCGCAGTCAATGATTGCGAGACCAAGGCAGCAATGTTCGGCAGAGTCCGCACGACACGAGCCCGGGGTGTGTTGTTGCCGTAGAGAGTTGTGTACAAGCGTTGTTGTGTCCAACCCGCTGCTACGCTGATCAGAAGTTTGTCGGTGATGGCATCACGGAAGCCAGTCTGTGTCAGCACCCTCTCAACGTCTGCGGGATCAGTCGCAAGAATGATGACGGCAGAGTCATCAATCGCTTTGATATTGTTGTTGCGGGATATGGAGAGGTTTTCCAGATGCGATAGTCGCTCTTTCAGTCGATTTTCCGAACCCTGTGTCCGCACACAAGCGATGAAGCGTGTGAAAACTGCGCTGTTGTTGATTGTAGGTGGGTTCGAGGCTAGGCTGCTGATTATGGCGGTTCCCAGGTTGCCTTTTCATGAATTAGACTTGTAACGAGTAAGTATGCGAGAATAGACATACCGCAGCCTAGGACGCAAAGCGTGGCGCTCTTTAGTTCAGTCATAATTGCCAATAACAGGATAAGTAGAATCTAGGTGGAAGATACGAATTTAAAAGGTTGTCATGCCCTAATTCGGGAAGCTACCCGAATTCAAGGTACTCGGCCTACGATTCCGATAACACCAAAGTAGTAAACATGTTCCGAATACGTAAAAGGAAAGGGAAAGGAGCTATAGCATGCAAGCCAGATGTGATATACAGATAGGGAAAACAGAAATAAGATGAAAGGGGGCTTGCAAAGAGATATACAATTCTACCCACGGAAATCTATTCCTAAAGCGGAATATCCATCCTGTTCTCAACGGCTCGACTCACCATAAGCACAATGGACTCTAACATAGAACCTCTAATACAGTACTTATACATCCCAATGGATGCCTTATCAGATTTAATACAAGCAATATCATACCCCGCACATAGGAGGCACAGTTCCGGTGCGGGGTGACACTGGATTTCGGGCACGCAGCCGAGGTCACCATAGATCCTGTTTCATGTGCGGGGGGATATCGAATCCTAGCGTATTGTGTATGACTTGGGATATCTTTCCGCAACTTCGGTGAGCCTCTGCAATGCATTTTGCGCCTTACTCCATTCTGGAAAACAAACAAATTGTCTATCCCCCACGAACCATGAACCCAGCCAGTGATGACCCATCAGGCGTTATTGGCACAGGAAAAGCTCGCACTGCTTGGATCGTCATGAATTGCTTTGCCTGATGTATACACGCCCAGGCCACACTGAGACCCATTAGATTACCACCGAAGTCAAGAAGGAGGAACAGGGACTCACCAAAATAATGCCTATGCCGACGCACAGGATATTCAACATAGTTAGGAACACTTTGCGTGGCGATTTAAACCATCTGCCTCGATTCAGGTATAGCCAGAATATGCCCGGCAGGCCGAAGCTGAACCAGCTAGCGAAGAGTGCACTCTGTTGAGATTTAGCATTTAGTATTCAGCTTCCATATAAAATAACATACCATCAAACTCAAGAGGTTGTTGAAGACAGGAATAGCAGACGCAATGATCCAAGCCAAAATCCAGAGTGACAGTGCCAGTCCAACCCAAGATCCGACTGCGATGAAGTCCTGCTTGTGCATGCGATCAGTCCCAGCGAAAATCCGGATGTAAATTGTTTTAAATGCAATGTGGCCGTAAATAACACCGGCAATGACAATCTGGGATATTAGCCAACCGAGTCAGAATGTTCACCGGAATTGAACTTACCGTTGGTAAAGCAACTCCATACGCAACCTTTGCAATCAATGGACCAGCGGAGCCCAATGCTGGGGATTCCACTCCATCCCCGGCATACAAGTAGATGACGATGGCCGTGACGAGATACAGGCAAATATCAATAGACTGTAGCAATGCAAGCGCCTTGGGATAGTCTCTATAGTCTTCGAGCTCGGCCATCATGTTGAAGAATGTATTATGGCTGGCTATATTCGGTTAGGACGAGAAGTGATTTTCTTTTGGCTGTTGGCTCACCATATGCGAAAACAATGTTCGATACTGATGTGAATGCGTTGACCAAGCTGGTTTGAGTTGTGACCTTGAAGCTGCTCACATGATTTTGTACACCAACAGCAATCATTGTTACGAAAACGGCAGCTATAATACTCGCAAATGCTAGGAGATTTATTAGCATCCCGTTAGAATGCGATACGAGTGGTCACTTACAGGCCAGTGAAAGCCATGTCATTCTTTTCAAAGTTCGAGGAACCGAGAGAATAAAAGATATAACAAGCCCTACGACCCCAAAGACAAGTGAGCAAGTTCCATGGTCAGTGATGGTATTCATGGCGACTGTGAATGTCAATATGTGACTGGCCATGATAAACACAGTGTACAGCATGTGCGCTATGAAGAACAACTCCCGCCCAATTGGCCCAAGAAGAATCTCGCCGGCATCCGCAACACTAGAGACATGGGGGTATCTGCACTTGAACTGCCCTATTACGTAGCCGGTATAGGTAGCGAGAACGCCGAGTGCAACTAGGATGACAATCGCAGGAGCCAGCCCTAGACCCGCGAATGCAGTTGGAAGTGAGAGAATACCCATGGAGATGGTTTCCGCCACCATCAGCAGACCACATTGCCTGTACATTACCTGTTAGCTTAGTATTAAGACACCGAAATGGGATTTAGGCCACTGCATACCACCACTTCAGTACTTTGTACTTGACCTCGGCAAATTCTTCGTTTCCGAAGACGTCTTGATTAGACGGTTGAATGTTCGCTTTGTCCTCATCCATTATACTTGGATGAGTAACTGTGTCAAATCCTCCCTCTTCAACTTCCGAGTGTTGATTAGGCACAGGCACGTTGACAATTTGAGACCGCATTGTGAGTGAACTTTCCGGCGTACACTTGTTCCTTGTTTCTCTTCTGCCGACGACACATTGGCTAATTTATAAAGTTTTAAATTATCTGGGGAAACCATGACATATCCAATCATAGATAGCATGACCCTACATATCTGCAGCAAATCAAATGCGGGGGATAACTCTACCTAAAAGGGCAGTTCATTAAAGTGTCCGTTGCGTAGATACTGGTGATTGGTCGCCTTGGTATTTATTACAGAAGTGCAAGAGATAATTGTCAGGGACCGACTTTGGATATCTTTGAGCACTAATGGACTACTGATTTTCGAATTGTTTTCATCCGCTTTTGGCCTTCGGCATTGGAGTTGCGTGTGTTGCGCTCTGCGCTAGCGGAAGAACAAGGAGGTAAACAAGCCTTCCCCGCACCATTGCGCCTGACATTAATTGCCTAGTGATCAATTGAGTTTTTTGGAGTAAAATATTGTGTTAGCACTAGCTTCTGTCATATGCAGCGGAAAACCTTCCCAGTTGCTGTCCAGACCCTAGCTAGCGTTCTACATGCAACAGACGTCACTGCATTGATTTTGCTCATATTGGCTACAGTCACTTTAGCTATTCTTGGTGACTTAAGGTAGTCAGGAGAACTATCGAAAAAGAAGGTTTACTGGTATATATCAACATGCGTTGGAATAGGCGGAGGCAAAAACAACATGTACAGACTTTCCAGTTTCCAGGGTTAACCTGTATAGCTTCCGTACTCGAGCTCTATGTCAATAGCAGGACTCTACAGTGAAGTTAGTTTACGATTCAGCCCGATGCCCTATGCTGCGTCATTGTGAGAATCGTTCCGAGACGCCGGTTCATCACTCCGTCAGGCGCCGACAAAATGAATGCTTTGTCCCTTTTTCTCATACAAGCACGGTGGCAATGCGCCATAGAATGTACTAAAGCTCTGAAAATTGAGAGCGTAAATCGTGATTTTGGTTACATCACTGCCCAGGATCGGTAAACACACCGTTGAACCAAAAAGATCATTATAAAGAACGGATGTTCGTTATGTGAAGGGGCTTATATGGAAATAGTACTGCACATAACAATCCAAGAGTCCATCGCCCCTGGTAACTACGTCATCTATTAAAAGTTGATGGCTTTCCACAGTGCTTAGATGGTGGATGGTGCCTAGCACCACCCTCAATGCTCCAACCTCAAGCTCACTGGTTCCGGTACTACAAAGCTTGACAGTACTATATGTACCGCGTAGATCAGGTATTTGCTTCATGTTTATGGTGTTGCTCGCTCTGTAAATACGGCATTCCACTCCAATGTTGTACATTGATACTTGCTGCGGACGTAATTACCAGTAGACCTCGCCCTGACCCTCAAGAGGGTCCCTACTCTGGACCCTCCACCCGCCCCTCGCGAGGGTCGGGTAAAAAACTCGCAACCCTCACCCGACCCTCGACCCTCGCCGAACCCCGTGTGAGTGACCCTCACAGACCCTTATCAACCCTCATTTGTGTCACGGCGCTCTACTAGGATAATCGAAGATCCAACTCATGGGTTCTACCTAGGTAGCTATCGACGAGAATAATCAACATGAGGAAGGAAGAAAGGGGGTGACGCCGTATTTATCAACAAAGCAAACAACTGCATCTCACGTGATAACCAGCCAACGTGACCAGGCTGTCACAATTTGCATAAAATTTTCCGCACTTTACTCAATTTGGATGCATAAAATTGATGATTAATATCAATACAGAACTGTTATTCACACAGTAATGCTTTACGCCTGTTCTAGTACTCTGGATAATAGGCATTGTATAAGCCCTAAAATCAATTTACAATTGAATTTCTATGAAATCTTTTGGAATTATTTACTTTTGATAAACTCCTCCAAGATTATATTAATTATAAGTGATGATATGTATTATTATATAGTTAATGTAGGTTATTCCTTCGATACGGGCTAGCTATTTTATGATAACTAATTCCTATAGAATTCAACGAATATAAATAAATAGGAAAAATGAGAGAGAACTCACTCCCCTCAAGGTTACTTCTGTCTAAGAGCTAAGTAATGATAGTTATAATTTGAAGTAAGCAAATAATTAGCTTCCTAAGTAATTCTGCTGAAAAGGGCAAACTGGCAAAGCTGTTGAGAATTAGACCTGGACATGGGTACCCATACCTAGACCTGGCTTTGGGCCGGGTTTGGGCCGAGTTTCAGGCCCATGGCCCGGCCCACAAGGCCCATGGACGGGCCGGGGGTCAGGTCAGCCCACC